ACATGCGGTGCCTCGGGGTTATTTACCTAGCATTTTTAAGGTTACCAGAGTCATTAGTTGCATTCTGAAAGGAAGTTTACAACACTCTTACCAACTTCAAATTTCAGTCAAAGAAGGCTTCATAAGCCTTGCCAGAGCATTTATTTTGCCATTGGCATTTTGGTTTGCACAGTGCCAGAGCTTTGCACTTTTTGGGAACACTAGGCGAAAGAGAATACACTGGAATTCAGTTCGGCTTTCCTCCTTTGTGCTGGCTAATAATAACATGGCCTACGCCCCGACTTTCATTGAGTGACCTACCAAATACAGAGTCCATAGTGCCCCAAGGACCGAATGCGACCAACTGCGATCGCGATTCAAGATAACAGGCAGCGGTAATTACCCATCCCGATTTCGTGTCGACAGATCTGCATCTTTACGAGGTAATCAATATTTGTTACTTGGCACAAATTTACCTAGCACAGTCTACACTGTAAGTTACGAGACAAAAACTTGATGGCTTCGATAGGGCAAGACGAAAAGTTGAAATCTCGGCAGAATCACGGCATGTTTCCGAAGGTTGCAATCAATGCTCTATGGTGCCAAAGAGAAAGGATCGTACTGGTCCAGCATGAGATAAGAGTGCGGTGAGATGTCCAACGCATTGTCTGAGAAGGACACTTACCCGCCAGTCAAATGCACGGAAGCTTGGATGTTAAGTACCAACAATGTACCCCCCAGTCCCAATGTTAAATTGTGGGGCCGCTCAGTTTATCATTTAGACTTGAAATAGAAGAATTTCAAGCTGTTTTAAGAGGTGACAAGGGCTTAAAGTGTCAGATTTAGGTATATTGATATAGCAACTGTGAGAGGAGCACGTAAAAGCAGCTGCCTAGGCGCCAATGGCGAGCTAACATTGGGACCGGGGGGTACACTGAAGCTTCTGACAACGGAAAGCCAGCAGGCGGCAGGCTTACTACGGCACGACTTTTCTGCTAATAATTGCTCGGTTAGGCCGTTCTCCTGACTATAAGGCTGAAGGATCGCAGGAAGACCTCAATATCCGACACTCTGCAGTGACTAGGATGATGGTTTCGTCGATGCAAAAGGAACCCAGGGTTCGGATCGACAGACCACACAGCTTATCGTTCCGCATGCGGTTTGGCTGTCGACTGCAAACGCTGGCCCAGGCAGCGTGCGAGCAAGGAACGGTTTGGGCAGCAGGCAGGCGTTAGACTCAAAGTTATTTGAATCATGTTCTAGCCCTTGCCAAAAGAGCAGGTTGTCTCGCAGTACCCCAGCCATGTGAAGTCTGCCTCGCTTACCGCCGTCCTGTATTCTGGTGTTGAAGCAGAAATCCTGAGACAGGGCATGATCGACAGGGGGCACATGTCCCCCAATGACCCAGTCGTGACAACGTGCTTTTTCCTCGACCCAGCAACGCTTGGTAATGACGCTGGGAAGTACTGGGTGCGAATAGTACTGTATTGAAGCGGTGGAGATCTTTGATACGCAATATCACGATGTGCAAGTTATTTCTGTTGCATAAACCAATGCCTGATGCAACTATCGGCTAAGCCATGATGAGGCTGTGCTACTTTTGAATTGGGCGCTATTTTTGGACTGACGTCCACGACGGGAACCGTACCAGCGGTCGTAGTTGAGCCAATAAAACTGTCTGAAAATTGCCTGAGCCACTTTTATGTTTCCGGCAAGTGGGACGCGAGATTTGGCGGGGAAAGGAGGGTTTGCTTGCGTGCGACACTGGACGAAGTTATGTCCTGCTGTGTACTCTTGCGTGCGCAACCTCATTATTCTGCTCGGTGTAGAACAGAACCTCGGTGGCTTGACACGGTCCCACATTGCTGCCTCGAGAACGAATTTCTAGAAGCCTGTTGTGTTTGTGATTTACCTGCAACACAGAATCCCCACGAGAACCCAGGCACGTTGAAGGGTGCTGCCTCGGTCAGAATGTAGAATTTGAAGGGAAGCGAGGGAAGCATCTCCACGATAGCAATGTGATCATCCTCATGTCGTGAAGTACTGTAAATCCTGTGATGTCTGCAAACTGACCAGCATGGTACTCTATTGCTTTGACTGGATCGCTCCCTCGTCGTTCCGAGCCATTCAGTCATCAGATCTTCCTCCCACCGTCCCACGCATCCAGATCTCGAAGATCCCAATAGCTCAAACTCTGGCAGGAATGAACTGACCGTAACTTCACGACGCCCCTAAAGCGTGCTAGCGAGCAGTCCCGCCCAGCACTGTGCTGTCTGGAAACGGGCAAGCCAAGACGATTAAGAAGTTCCCTGCCGGCAAGCCAGCTCAGACGATGCTCAATCAAGCTAATAGGATCTACAACCTCAGCCTAGTTGGGCCCTGCCAGTCCGTGCAAATCCGGCAGCCTGGTGCAGGTGCCAGCCAGCAATGGCAAAAGTCGCGGCTACTGCTGCAGGACAGGACAGGACAGGACAGGACAGTACTTTTGACGACTTTGTCTTCCACCCACGACTGGCTGGCCGAGGCCCATGCCAAAGCCAGCGATCCATGGAAGACTTCATTGTTCAAATGCTAGAGCGAGACACAATCTCAACAAGTCTCGTCCCCGACGAGCACAGTACCGCGCTGTTCGAGGGGCCGTCGAGGAGGGGCTGGGGCTGGCAACAATGCTACAGTAATGCTAACCGGGAGCGGGAGTGGGGAGTGACGAGAGCACAGAGGCTAGGTCCTGAGCTGTAGAGGGGAACCTTGAAAGCAGCTTCGAGATTGGCTAGAGCTACGAAAGCTTCATCTCGAGGTCTCCGTTCCTTTGCTTTGCTTTGCTTTGCTTTGCTTTGCTTTGCTCTGGTCTGGTCTGGTCTGGTCTGCCTACCTTAGTCTCGTTTTGCTTTCCTTCCTTTTCTTGCCCCTATCCACACCGCACTACTCCGCTACTGCCACTCCTGTTTCTCTTCTGATCAATCGCTTCAATTATTACAATCTCACCGACTGGCACACCCGGACAGCGCGAGAGAAGATGGCCCTAAACATGCACCTCCTCCAGTCCCCGGATCCCTGATCGCATCCACCCAAGAACCTCCCCCGGCCCTTCGTACTAGTGCAAATCATGGCCAAGGAACGTAAGGCTGCGTTCCTGTGCAGTCTGTCATAGGGTGTTTGTGAAGCTGGCGGTGTGTTTTTGGGTCACTCCACACAAAGCGAGCAGGGCATTGAGGAATCAACTAGCTGCAAGCCACAGTGGAAGTCATGAGCTGTGATGGATGGATACCTCTGAGTTTGGTGCACCGCAAAAGTGCACTTCGAGATGGGGTCCACCTGAGGCAATCGGTGGTGCTTCGTTCTTAGGCATCGTGCAGCAATCAATCACAATGATGTTGCGCGAAGAGGAGAAGAGACGAGGAAGAGACGAGGAAGAGAGGAGACGGCCATGGGGATGAGCGGAGGCCGGCTCTGGCTGATACTAACACTTTCGACGTGTTGCGATGTGGCCCGCCAGCGAGGCAGACAGACCAAGAAACCCATAGGGCGCAAATGTCATCTGCTGCACTCAGGCCAGTTTCCGAGCTTGGATAACAGGGTCGAGGTAGGTTAGGTTAGGTTAGGTACCTTTGCTGTCGCAGGGCCGGTGCTTTGATTGGGCGGTCCTTTTGTCGGTACCGTTGCAGCGATCACTCACCAATTCGACAGTAAACTGTGGTGGGCAGGAAGAAAAACAGCCATCCCATCCCATCCATCCCATCATCCCATTCCACATCCTTCGAGCCCACCCTCAGGATGGCCGCGCCAGGAGTCCAGGACACACCGAAAGGACAGGACAGGACAGCAATCGCTCGCTCCTCTGCGGTCGCGCTTCTCACGCCGGGGCAGTCCTGTCCTGCAAGCTGGGCCACGATAGATCCATCCATACCTAAGTTCCTCTTACCTATTCAAAAATGGTCGTGGCCGTGGTCGTGGTCAAGGGCGAGGCAATCGAGGTCGCGACTGGCTATCCTAGACCATACCATAGCGGTGCGGGCTTTGCACTGCAGTGCCCCCGAACTCCCTTCCACAGCTGCGGACAAGACCCCTTGTAGATTATCCCTGGACGGAGCGCCCATCCCCCCCCCTCCCCTCCCCCCTCCCCTCCCTCCCCCTTCCACAGCCCTGCCCATGCCCCTGCCCCTGCCCCTGCCCCGTGGACCCTGGCCCGGCTGCGCAATTATCCTCATCCTCATCCTCATCCTCATCCACATCCATAAGGTATCCATATCCATTCTGGCCTGGTCACAACTGCCTTTGCCTACCTTACTTACCTAGCTCGCTACCAACCTGCCAGCCGGCTAGCTACTTGCCTCACCTACCTTACCTACCTACCTCTCTCTGTTTCCATTCAGGGTCCGCTCACTCCACTCCACTTCGCTCCACTCTCGCTCAATAATCATTATAATCTGGAGATGCCCGCACAAGCTACACTAACCTCCGATCCCATTTCATATTTGTCTCCCTCAGATCCATCCACATCCACATCCACATCCACATCCACATCCACATCCAATCCGCACATATCAAGGTCCTCCCCCTCCGTCCATCCCAGGCACCGATCAGCATCAGTATCATCGTCTTTGATCTGATCTCTGCTTACTTACTGATTCGCTCCCGCTTCACACCACGACCGAACCCTACGCTCTCCATCGCTTCAAACATAACATACATAACTATCCTCGATCCTCCACGCCACCGCATCTCTTGATATCATATTCCTGTCTCAGATCACACCTGATCAACATTCATTCTTCTCGTCCCTGGCCAGACATCCCCACTGCGCTCTCGCCTCTGCCATATATAAATCGACACAAGCACATCTAGTCAAGGCACTTTCCCCCGACCCTGGCACACACATTAGAGTAAAAACCGGTAGCAAGGTGTGCAGGCATTATCTCCTACAGATTTCAAAAAACGCGGAGCTGATCAAAAGTAGAGGAGAGGTTGTGGCTTCAACCCGGCCAGCAGCCAGCGTCCGCCGTCTCATAAACTCAACCAAAATGGTCTCGATTGCTGAAACCACTTACCACATGCTCTCGCGCCATATGAGCGATAACGAAGAAGCCGATTTTCCACTTTACCCAGATCCAAACATGTTCTCACCCAACTTCCCTTTCGGCGGGCAGAACTTTAACATGGATACTGCATATGCGTATCCCAGAACTCAAGAAGGATATCCTGCGAGTACCGGTTTAGGCTCCTCCACCATGTATGCTGACGCACCGCAATATTCTCTCGAGTCACCAGATCTTCGAGCAGCGCCCTCGAATTACTCGACAGCATCTGGACCTTCAGCGACATCCTCCGCAATGGGATCTCCCCATTCAATCCATGGGCATGTTGTCCCGGCCCCCGAGTGGGCCTCTCACGGACTCGGGTTAAATCCAAGCATTGTGCAGTACGACAACTACAGCCATGGCAGCAATGAGTACAGCTGCCAGCAACCTACAGGTATGGACGACTTCGCTTTAGAGTTTAATTCAGCCAAGCCCAGTTTTGTTGGTGAGTGCAAAAACGTCTCTACGTCAGGGTCTCAGCATGGTTCGATATCCTCCAATTGCGAATCATTTTCTTCCACATCTCCTTTTCGTACTTCCCCAAATGCTTTGGATGCCACAATGTCAATGGCCTCGCCGACCACTCCAGTTAGCGCGGTCCGGACAGACTTCCGAGACGATATTTTCAAATCTCCTACGTCTTTTTTTTCCATATCTCCTTCAGACTCTCGACGACCTTCACACGCACTCAGCGCGCCTCTTTACGCTTTATCGAGCACCGACTCCCGGAGTCAAGACATGCACTCCCCAGTTTCTTCAACATCCCAAAATTGCCCTGCCGAAGCATCTCCATCTTACACGAAATATCATCAATCTCCTTTCTTCTCTCAATCTAGTGGGAATTATGTAGCGCCTCTTGAATCTTCTTGTCGGTTTCCTCTGTCACTCCTGCGTTATTCTTTATCAACTATTCGAAATTGGAACCGTGCACTAACATACATTGCTTCAGATCCATCCATACTGCATCCCCAATTTTCCGTCCGCCCAAGCTCCGCGGCCCAGTCCAATGACACATCTGTCTATCCACCACCAACGTACCCTGAATCGCCATCATTATCGCATATGTCGAGAAGTCCAAGACCGATGAAGCAAGGAAGTCAATCACCTTACTCATACGGCTCTTCATATCCTTACCCGCCTCCTCGTCGACCATCCATTCAATCTTACGACAGTCAAGATGGCAATTTCAGCAGCGAGGAATCGAAAGAAAAAGGCAGATGCACATATCCCGAGTGCGGGAAGATCTTCAAAGACTTGAAAGCACATATGTTGACTCATCAGAATGAGCGACCAGAGAAGTGCCCGATTCAAACCTGCGACTACCATATCAAGGGCTTTGCACGCAAGTACGACAAGAATCGACATACTCTTACCCATTACAAAGGTACCATGGTTTGTGGGTTTTGCCCCGGATCTGGCTCTGCAGCAGAAAAGTCGTTCAACCGCGCCGATGTTTTCAAGAGACATCTGACCTCGGTCCATGCTGTTGAGCAAACACCACCGAATTCGAGAAAGAAGACATCGGGTAACCTTAATAGTACCAAGAAGCTCTCTGGGTACGCACCTGACGCTACCGGCAAGTGTTCAACATGCTCCGGTACTTTCAGTAATGCTCAAGACTTCTACGAGCATTTGGACGATTGCGTTCTCCGCATTGTGCAACAAGAAGAGCCGTCTGAGGCTATCAACGCAGCTAGACTCGCCGAGGTTGAGCAAGACCAAGCTGTGCATGAAACCCTTCGAAACAATGCCCTCCCGATCACCACAATTAACGTCTACTCAGCAGACGAGGAAGATGATGAGGATTTCGATGACGAGAACGATGACGACTTTTCTCTTCGCACGAAGTCACGAAAGAATAAGAACCGCAATCCCGCCAACGGCGTTCAAAAGTCTCGTGGTCTCACGCACTCAAAAGGAGGCGTGACCCTAAACACCAAGGGCCGCAAGAAGCGCAAGGACTACCCTTCCTCGTGGGGATGCCCCACTTCACAAATGAAGATGAAAAAGCGGGTTCTCTGTGTCTTCGATGGCCCCCGTCGTCTCTGGAAAGACGACATGATGCTGGATACAGACTACGAAGTCCGTATGAAGCTCCAGAATGAGAAGGCATACGTCACTGACTTGGACGTTCAAACGATGCGACGAGCGGACGCCTTCCACAATTCCACAGAGGAGGAGAAGGGCCCCTGGGTGGCCGACGATCTCACCGGCATGGACTTGGAGAAGTTGATGGAGGTGAAGCACGAGTAACGATCTAGCAGCCGACTTCATGATATATGTGTTCACGAACATCCTCTTCTACTGTTACGAGCTTTTTTGGGGGGGGGGGGGGGGGCGGGGGTGGGGGGAGCGGAGAGCAGTTATTACCCTTTTCGGCGTACGGGATCTTGGGAACAGGGACGATACCATTACAAAAAGACAAAAGCTCTTTTGAAGTCATCACCACCAACCGGCATTCTATGCAGGCATCGGAGCCTGGGTTTCTGAGCGTCATATACTTCTGTTTTCTTAATCGTCTCGAAACTTGTTCGGCGGCAGGCCGGTCCGTTTACATGTTTTGCAGCCATCGCTGTGTAATTACTTGTCTATCAAAGGGGGACTCGATGTGGTCGCAGTACAGTAAAGTAATTGTCAAATAAGAGTTGATTCACCATTGTATGACATCTTCCCGACCGGCTTCTCACTCTCGGCCACCGTCGGTTGCCTGTGACTTCCTCTGCATCTGACTTGATTGTGTTCGTCACCGTCAGTTACACTTACAGGTGCCGGTATCGTGGCCGAATCGTGCACCACATACCTACTCTACCTACCTAGGTAGGTACCTAACGATACCTACCCAGCTTAGGTAGTCATGAGACGAAGCTGGGCGTCAGCCTGAGAGACCGCAACCTAAGAATAAACAACGTTCAGGGCTGCGGCACAGCACAGCCTTCCCCGACCTCCACAGCCCTCCCCTACCGTAACTTACCTTGCCAACGCGCCACAGCACGGTGCACCAAACATACGCTAATGGAGGGGCACTGTGGTCAAAGCTCACCAACCCCTCCGAGCTCTCCCACGAACGTTCCACGTTCCACCTGACTGTCAAGGTAGACACAGCCTCGTCTGAAACCACAATCAAATAACACCATATCAGCATCAGCATGCTCACGGACAAAATCCGCCTCTCTGGTCCCGAGACTCACGAACCAGAAGACTACCTCTCCTCAGCCCTTGCGGTCATATTCCCCGACGACATCACAAATCAACACGGCGACCGTGACAGCTCAGTTCTTTACCTCTCGCCGTCGCACGGCGCGATAGACCTCACACTCGCAGATCCACTGGGTGAAGACAGCAGGAAGCTGTTCAGCCATTTTTTATGGAATGCCGGTGTGCAGTTGGCGGAATTTATCGAGGAGGGGAGGAGTATACATGGTGCGGATGGGCGGGAAGAGGGCAGGGAGGAGTGGAGTGTGAGGGGGGAGAGAGTGCTGGAGCTGGGGGCTGGGACTGGACTTGCGGGTTTGAGTATGTAATGTTCTTACTTGTTGTTCTCAGTGATCCGGAATATCGGGTCGAAAAGATACACATCTCTGCATATTTGACGGTCCTGAGAATCTGAGTGCCACAGCGCTAATGTTCTTGAAGTGGCTGCTTTCGAAAGCGCGGAGATGGTCGTCATAAGTGACTACCCTGCGCTAGAAGTTCTGAATAATATATCTGCGAATGTAGAGCGGAATCTCAAGCCTAGGAAAGCGGAAAATCCTGCGACAGTTGCGGATGTGGAGGTTCACGGCCATGAGTGGGGAGAGTTGGACGATACATTCTCGATTGAGAACAAAGCTTCTTTTGGAAGGATATTGGTAGCTGATTGTCTTTGGATGCCATGGCAGCACATGAATTTGCTGAAAAGCATTTCGTGGTTCTTGAAGGACGCAGATGGCAGGGCCTGGGTGGTAGCGGGGTTCCACACCGGGAGAGAGAAGATGAAAGGGTTCTATGAGGAAGAAGCTTTGAACGATGCAGGTCTAGAAATCGATAAGATCTGGGAGAGGAATGCCCAAGGTTCTGAGAGAGTGTGGGTGGAGGACCGGGGCTTTGAAGATGCGACCGAGAGGAAACGATGGTTGGTCGTCGGGATCTTGAAGAAGAAGGCTGGGCGAAGACAAGCTCTCTAAGATGCTCGATTTGTACAGTGACTCTGTTTCACAGGCTTGACGTTGAAGGGCAATGGGTCTCTGGCAAAATTTAAGAAACAAGTTGCGGTCTGAGAATCAAAAAGAGACTGGCAGTGCATAACTGGCAGGGACTAGTTAAGTCTTGCTTGGTACATCGATGTAGCGGATACCCATACTTGGAATTGAAGCATTGTGAATACTAATTGTGTACATGAATGACATTGGTCTCTTGCGGAGCTTGGGATGGGAAGGCTATTTGCTTTGGCCCTTGTTCGATGCTCTAGCGCAGTTTTGTGAGATGGAATTAGCAGCCAGCTAGCTACCTTATACTTGTGCCTGCAGATTCTCTCGCCCACACGGAGCGTACGACGAAAATCAACTCGGAAGTCAGGCATTGAATTGCCGACATTCAAGTATCATTTCAGTGTTAACCCCTAGTCTCAAATACATAATGATCATTCTAACTTGCCAGACGAAAGCTAAACGAATTCAGATCCCCATTGTCCAGTTTCGCCTCTCACGACTTCATTCGGTTGGTGTCGCACATGTAAAGCCGAGAATCCCAAAGAGTGGTCCTATACCATCCAGCACTTGGTTGGTAGTGAAGCACACAATCATCCAGATCCGCGCTCTAATGAGCCCTATCTACCACTTGAACTACAAACTTCACCTCTCCATCCATCCACTCAGTTCGAAGTACTGATGCTATAGCTCCTGTCCAACTCTCCTCATCGTTTACATTGACCAATCCTGTAGGACCGAGTACCTTTATGCTGCTCGGTTGTTGCTCTTGATTTGAACCAGCAATCATGTTATGTATATACTGCAGCAAGCTTCCGAAGCGTGGGCAGGTACTTGGCTCTAATGCGACTTGCGGGTGAAGTCGTCGACCATGACGTATAAGGTTAACTAGGTATTTAACGTTTACTAGGTCTTCGCCATCTCCCGCTTCAATGCTTGGGCCTGGCTCCTTCGCATCGCCATTGGTTTGTCCGATTTGGGACGAATCCTTGATTTCGTAATGATAATCGTTTAGCTTTGGGCCCACAGGAGATTTCCGAGTGGGAGCCGCACTCTTGGTTTGTCTGAATTCTAGCTGTGGAGTTACTATCGAGGTAGGAGTATGTGCCCTGTGACCGTGTTCCAGTCTGGCATGATCTGGTCTTGATTTTTTCTCTTGCCGTGTCTCCAAAGCGTACAGTCGTTGCCTCTCGTTGGTTACCATTCGGCGCATCAAGGGGGTCACCAGTGAGATGATCCTAACAGCGTATCAGTATTGTCCATGAGGCGGGGAGTATCATAACTTACTTGCTCTTCATCTGAGGCCACCTCAACTTTCGATATTTGCCTCCTACAACTTCCGCTGTAAAGCAACGAGCTCCCCATCCTTCATCTTCCAAGAATGACTTCACACAGGCGAAGAGCTTCAACTTGACCATATCCGTGTCTCCCCTTCCCCGACTTCCTACGCAATCGCCTCGTTCTGGGTGATTCGGGTCCAACATATAGGCTTTGGCAGCAGACTGTAAACGGAGGAACTGTTCGGCAGTAAGCTCCAGAGAGGTGAATAGCTTCGACATTGGTGCACCTTATTATGTTAGCATTGCTACGCGAGCAGAATAGTGGCATATACTGACGGGTATACTTTTTAGATGCTGTTGACGGTCGCCTGAATAATGCAGTAGCTGAGTGAAGACCAATAGCCCGTGCATCTGCAGTGGGAACTGGAGAAGTGTGCCGCTCAGATGTAGACATACCCTCCTCGTTATCTCCCTCTTCAGGACCCCATAGCTCTCGTTCTAAAGCCAATTGATCTGCGTCGTCTCGGGAAAGCTTCTTGCGACGCTTTGAAGCATCACGAAGCAGCATTTGTGATTCGCTGTCCAACTGGTATGTATCGTCTTGCTCATTTCTCTTGCGCTTGTCGTTCCTGTCGAGAGGATCGAAGCTTCGCTTGAAGTACCCGTAAGCAGCTGTCTGGAAATAGTGCGTATAGCTATCGCCCACCTGGCTGCAATCGTGCTCTGCAGCATCAACCCCCTCAGCTGTCGCGGCAGCCTGAAGCAGACTCTCAAAGTGATCATGATCACTGGGAACCGCCGGCGCACGCAACCCAACAGCTGGAGACTGCGGAGGCTCGTAGTTTGCAAGACTTTCAAGAAGAGCAGCTGGATCCTCTAAGTCCTCTTGAAAGGTGGTCTCCAGCCCTGCAATGAGGTAAGTATCATCTTCATCATCTTCGAGCAAATAATCGAGGTTGGAATCTGCACCATTGAGATCCTCGGCGCGTCCATCTGCGCCATAATTGTTAGCGGCCCCATTCGGAAGATCTTGCAGTATCGGAGAGGCTTGATCTGTCGCGGATGTCCTGGTCTCAGGCGCCATTAAGGGATGAAGTTCTGGCCCTTGGAACATGTGCGACAAGTGAGGCAAGGAAGTGCGCGGAGCTTGTTTGCTTGCTTTGCTTTGCTTCGCTACGCTTGCACCCCGCCAAATATTGTACCGCGCTAGGGATTAGGTGGGCTGGGTAAGGCACGTCAACGACACCAGCTGGCCGGGTACATAGGTACTGGGCGGCCTGCTGGCTGGTACTGTACCTGTAGATACTAAACGGTCAGTCGACAGTCGTAATTGGATAAAGCACCTTATAGCCTAGTTGTATTCCCGCATACGTGCCCTGGCCCTCTCCTAGAATTAGTTACCTGCCTTATTGGTACCCTGGTGCCTACCTAGGTTGATTCCTTCCTGATTTCTGCCAACCAAGAACACCTACCTAATCCGACTTCCCTTAGGACTTGCTTCTCCACGTAAGACATAGAAAATCTAATGGAAAATTTTGAGGATTATGTTTGAACCCTGCTTGAATGTCCTTATTATATTTTATAACTTTTATGTCAACTATGTGCGAGATATCCAGCCATCAGGCGGAATTACGGTTCTGCCAAAAACAGGCAGCTTCCCGGCCGCACGTATTGATTGTTCTACTCGAGTAGAGTACAGTGGACTGGAAGTTCTGTGCATTTATCTTAATTAATATCCGTTTAGTTTCCGTTCTGTGCATCCCATGTGTGTGGGGTACGTCGTAAAGTCATAACCGTCAATCGTCATCATTCAGAGTTGTAATAAGGAATCAAACAGAACTGCCGATCCAAGTATCTCACTCCTGCTTCTTGTTACCAGTATCCCAAGTGCTGGCTTTGCTCATAGTGCGTTTCCGCATCATAGCCATGATCGTCCTTTCCATATCTTCACTTCCCTTCTCCAGGTCTGCATCTTCCCGATCATATCTCGCCTCTCTCTTCCTCTCCCATATATACCAAGTCCCTACAATGATCGCTGTAATTGGTAAAGTTACTACCCAGTAGATCCAGAATTGATTCGAGACTTGAGGCTGATCAGAGTCTGCCTGGAAATTGAAGAAGGTCATGGAGAAGACGGAAGCGAGATAAGCGCCTGGCTGTTAAAATCAGTACAAGGCGTATAGGTGGAGAGAGAAGCCCAAACCAAAAAACAAGCACCTAGAAGAGATATTACTTTCATAGCTGCGGAATCTCTCTTGCTTGAATGGGCGAGCTTGCGCTGTTCACCGGCCATCTTAAAATTCAATTTGCTCTCCTTTTGAGCAATGATATTGTATAACTAAGATTTATCAACATAAGTGCTCAACTTTAAAGATAGGAAACTTACGGCACTTCTCTGGATCTCCAGGCGTTGCAAAGTCGTATGGGCGTAGCTATCAATTCCCTGCAGCTTCACCCTATAAAATTCCATTCTTGCATGCATGCTAGCCTGCAATGCTTTCATAGTCTTTTGCTGTCTCGGTTCAGGTAAGGCTGTGTAGAATTTGTCCATCGCTACCTCAATCCCGCTCAAGATCTCGAGATATGCCTTTGGTCGTTTCCATAGTACTTGGCTATGACACTCTACCAGATCTCTGTTGACGGCGTCAAGATCTACAACTCCTTCCTTCACATATCCTTCTCTTTCTTCGATCTCGCTCCGCATACTAACAGCATGTTCTAGTCGCCTAAGCCAATCACGTGCGTCTCGCTGCTTGATGTCGGATTTGAAGGATACATCGTGGGAGAAAATGATGATCGGAAGTAGCATAGGATGTCCAATTTGTAGAACGCATTCTTTCAAATGCTTAATACATTCGACGATGTCGGAGGACGGCGTTCCTTTAGCGAAGCCAGTCGTGATTCCATTATTGACATTATGAGAGAGTATAAGTTCCCAGCCACGAGTATAGCCTTTCTTTCTGACGTCACTTTTACGGTACACAATCTCTATGTATCGTCAGATATCGTTGTTGAAGGCAGAAACAAAGGGGAAATATACGAAGGTGGGGATTTTCTTCATCCTGATCCCAGGCGGCCCAGAAGAATGGCCCAACGGCACTTGTGCTCTCAATTGCTCGGTATGGAAGATTCAGCGTTACTACCATCGACTTGTATACTTCAGGCTTTAGACTGATAACGTGAGGTGTGAAGGTTTCGGGATGTTGAGCATTCTGTTGGAGACTTGGCAATTTCAACTTCTGATCCGGGAAATCTCCAACTTCATCCACTCCAAGCTCTTGGAGACTTACATTAATCGCATTCCCGCCAACTGCACCACTCCATCTGGAAGCTTCGGGGGAGCGAATACGCCCTGTATATCGTACCAGTCAGCGGCTCGAACGTTGTATCGCCATGATGCATATCTTGCCCTTCGATTGAGATAGTTCTCAAATTCGTCTGGTGTCAGTGGATGTTCCTCGACCGTATTGAAGCTTGGATCCTGGCGTTGTCAGTTTCTTGTTCCCGTCCCAGCTCAATTGGGAGGACCCCTCACTGAGTATGAGAAGAGCTCGAGGTATGTCGTCGCCTCCGAAACATTCTTGCAGCGATCCACGTTCGCCTTGAACATATAATCGTCCATGGCGGCGGTGTTGATGCAAGCGCACCACCTCAAACAAGCTGTTGCCTGGGAATTCTCGTAGCAAGTCACAAGGGGCGGATCAATTAGCAACTCAAGGAAGGCGCAGCAGCAAACAGCAAAGCCATGATGACAAGAAAGAACGCGAACGAGGTGGAGGGCAAAATGCAGACATGCCGCACTACTCGGTGTCGGTGGATGGTAGGTGGGCAGTAGAGTACCTAGGCAGCTAGGGTAGGATGCAGCAGCCCGTCTCCGCCTGTGCAGCATGAACAAAGTAAGCCCAACCCCGCCAAGAAACGAGGGAGAGGGAGGGGGGAGGTACTGTATAAGTAACTGCAGATGGGCATACGGAGGGGAGGGTACTGGGGGCGGGGGCGGGTGTGGGGGTACATACTATTCCATTACCCCCTATCTTGAAGGCGAAAGCTGGGTTTGGGGAATGGCTAAGGTAAATTACTACATAGATACCTAAGAAATGCACTGCACTTCAGTTCTCTTCTTTCAGGACGGCATTTCTTTGTTCTCTAGGTACCTACCTGCCCTCCCCTGCCCCCGCCACACCGCTGCGGTGGGTACTAGGTAGTAGATACCTTAGGTAAGGTCGGGTCGGGTCGGGTCGGGTAAATTCCGTTAAGGTAAATTTACCTGGGCAAATTTACTTACTCGTAGCTTAGGTAGGTAATATAAGGTAAGGTAGGTAGGTAAATTACAGCGGTCCAGATTCCACTCCACTCCACGCGCTCTCTCATTGGGTGCCTCCGCTGGGCAGCCCAGTCTCACCAGTCAGCACGCACGATGACGAAGAGTACCTACCCTCGACCACGGCGCATCTCCAGAACCCAAACACCTATCCCGAAAGGAAACTACATAACACTCGACGCCAAAAATCCAATGGAGACCTTCGCCTCTAGTTTTCTATGATGGATATCGAAGAAAAAGCTGCTTCGCCGGTGGGCTCAATGGTCTTCACGGCCATCGCCTTACTGGTTATCAGTCTAGGAGTTCTGTTACTCTTGCGCCATTACCTCCCGCTCCGCACAACGCCTGCGTACCTTCTGGTTCCTATATTCTTTGCACTTGGGTTGCCGGCTAGCATTATACTACTTGTGCCGATAGATCTCGCCTCCAGCGCAAGGAATCAAGATGCTGGAAGTCGAGGAATCTGGCTGCCGGATAGGCTACTTCTCGTCGGATGGCGGATCTCGTACTGGCTCACTTTTGCCTTGACATGGTAATCCGTCAGTGCTCCGAGTCAAGCAAATACATTCTGATATGAGCTCATAGGTTTATTCTGCCGATCCTAGCAGAATACGCGGACGCTGGATACAGAGACCCAAGGGGACGATTGCTGTTCTCATTACGAGCCAATGCGCAATACCAGGCCCTATTATTTGGAGCCGGAATTATCGGAATGATCTATGTGTTTGTAACGCAAAAAGCCTCGTTTGCTTCGCTAAAAGCAACCGTCATGGCACTGGCTTATTGCTGGGGTTTGATGTTGGCGATTTATCTCATGGGTCATGGTTTGGTTGCTCTACCTAGGAAGCTGTTCAGAAAAGCGAGCATTAGTGGGAGCTTGAAGCGGATACAGGCCGCAGCTGCGAAGGTCCATGAGAAAATGGAAGACGCGATTCAGAATCTGGAAGACCTTGAAGCCCAGGTTTCGGAACTGGCCCAGCGAAAGACCGGATCAGCCAGCAAGTTCAAGGATTGGATTGAGGAGCTTGCGGACGATTCGCATCTCCCGGAATCTCGACCCAGAACTTTGACTCGACGTATGTCTGTCCCAAGGATTACTGTACCGAACGTGGTCACGGAGCGGTATCTAGCAGAATTAAGTAGGCAGCTCAATAGAGCACGTCATGGCCGTGCGCGGTATCTCGATGAATGGGATCGATTGTTGCAAGATGCCGTGCACACCCAAGCAGTCCTCGACTCTGCCGGGTCCAAGAGAATAGAGATTGGGCTAGCGTCACCAGATGCACCCTTGATACGCCGCCTCACTATTTTAACGCCGTACACGCGATACCTCTACTGCTACGTCTTCCTTCCGTACTTGAGGATAGGCTTAGGCATATTCTTATCATTTGCGTCATTCTCTATCATTTGGTCGGAAGTGATCAAGTCGATAAATCCGCTTCTGTCAATCATCGCCGTCACAGTCGTCCATCACCCAACAAGTGAGCGTGGACAGATCGGATTTGCTGGTCAGGTTATTTCAGCGTGCTGGATCCTGTATATGTGTATAGCAGCGCTGACATCTCTGACCGAAGTCAAAGTGTGGCGTGGGAGGGCTTTGGTAAAGAGAAACACGCATGGAGAAAGTGCAATGTGGTATGCTATGCAGGTTGCAAAGCTTTCTGTACCACTGTCTTTCAATTTTTTAACTTTCCTGGCTCCGGACATCTATGAGGACACAGTTTTTTACTGTTTCCTGGGACAGCTTATTCAATTAACCCAACTTGGAGCTTGGTTTGACTGGTTATTCCCGACCTTCATCCTCGTTCCTATTTGCGCAACACTCTTCAATCTATATGGAAAAACGAAGAGCTGTATTGGCTATAGTGGGGTCATTGATAATGACGAAGAAGAAGAGAATGAATCTGGATATGGAACCGGCTCCTGGCGCGAAGGTCGGGATTTGATCGAGCGAGAATTGCAAGGTCACTCTTCACTAGGAATTCTAGCAGCTGACCGACATCATGTTCCGAATAACCCCAACAATCGGGCTGCACCCACAGATTCAATCCCCCCTGCCCAAGGACGTGCTTTGGGGCAAGCATCAGCCTCGAGGCCAAGTGTGGTAAGTCCGTCTTTTCAGAGCAAGATTCTTACGCCTATCGCTAAAGAAAATCGCCCGCTCTGCCCTAACACCCTTCGCCTTTGTGAAGTATCGACAAAACAGTGTGCTAATGCTGAGCGCTTAGGATCCCCAACACCGAGAAACTGCACCCGAAGACGAGAACTTCTTCGAAGCATTTGGTCACAGAGTAAGGAATACCTTCGACACAGTGCAGACGCCCAAATGGTTCCAAAATGTAGGAGAAGGTATCAAGCGGCCGAAATGGATGAGTGGGGACAGTGCTGGTCAGCCAGAGCCGAACCGTAGTGGCAGTGACTTCACTCGTTGGTTTGGTGGTAGCAGGTCTCAGGGCCAAGTCCGATTATAGATAGGTTATATTCTTTTCAAGGCATAGCGGCTGGAGTTTGAATGGAAGTTTGAAGCAATAGCTTGGATGGTACGGCATAGACTTCTGGTATAAGTATGTATAGACCCAATAATATAATCAAGAAACCACAAGACATCCTGTATGTCTGTCCCAAGCTTAACAAACATCCACATTCTAGCGGTATACTGTTAACATGAACAGAAGTATTGACTTCGTGTACTTGGACCACCTTCCTTCATCAATCACGACGCTGATGGAATACATTCAGCAGCCCATAGTTTTCTCACTCGTCATTATTTTCGCTTTCGTCCTTCCTCTCTATATTTGCTCCTCCAGCAACACTACTCACAAATTCCTGGTACTTGAATACCTCCCCCCTCTTCCCCAATCCACTAGCATGTTTCCCAAAAGCCCTCCTTCCTGTAAATCCACTCATAACTCTGTCGATTTCCCGTTCCGTCAGTGTCTTCTCTCCAGGGTCAGGTGCTGTGTGTAACAATGCATCTCTCAGCTCGGATAGGTCAATTTGTCCGCTGTCATCTTCGTCGAATGCCGAGAACGCAGAAAGAAGTTCCGCTGATGGGCTGAGTGCTGCCAGTTGCAGAGCAATTGCATTGAGAAATGTTGGTAGAGTAACGGTTTGTGATGTGGACGATGGAAAGAAGGGAGTAATATCTGATGTATTTGCGGACAGACCTGATTCCATCATTAGCACAGTTTTGACGAAGTATTAGCCTTACCTACCAAGCTGGGTCAACATATCCGCAACATCCTCCCTTCCGATTTGCCCATCACTGTCTCTATCTAATATCTGAAAACACTCTCGCAGTTCTCTGACCTGCGCCGCTTGTAATCTTGAGAGCGAATTAATATCTCCTGTTTGCCTCGCTGTTAACATTCCTCCAAATCCTGGACTCGTCGCACCCCTCGTTGGCGAAGACTCTCTCTCCCTCTGCGCAGGCGCAAGACCTCTTGGGGTCCATGTAGTTGTCTCTGTCTCTGTGTCTGTACTTGGTGTCGTATTACGCGCCAGTCTCAAGGGTGTGGTCGCTGAAGCTGTAGCCATCTTCGTCGGGGACGGGTTTGGTGTTGATTGACGTAGCGGTGATGGAGATGTGGGATTGCTCTCGGGACGTCTGAAAGGCGATGATCGTGGGGATCCATAGGAGAGGGGTGATGGTTTGTACGAGTTAGCCATGTGTGATAACCTGTCAGTTGCGTGATGTTACGAGGTAGTCGCGATGGAAGGGCAGGGTCGGACCTGCAGTTAGGTCTTGGTTCGAAGATACTGCACAGCGGGGTCCGATCCCAAGTTCTTGGTTCGACCAAATAATGTTTGCCTATCTAGAAGCGGTAAGACGCAGAATGTGCACGGTCGAGGGATGGTATGGAACGAAAGTAATATGATTGCCTTTCAATTTGAAATGTTCAGTAGAATGCGACTGCAGTGTTGCTGGCCGTTCTGGTTGAGGCTGAATGAAGGCCGATGTAAACAAACGAGAGACCGGCCACGCTAAAATGGCGCGGCTCGGGATCTGACTCGGCTGACTACCTTACCCAAGGCAAGGCAAGGCTGTGCTTCAGCCGCTCCCGTCAACATTCGGCACTCGGCACTCAGCACGCCTGGGATGCCCAAGGTAAGATAAGATAGGTAAGATATTTACAGTACAGTACTGTTTTGTACAGTAGGTAAGGTAGGGTGGGAGCGATACCTATAGTAAGGCAAATTTCCCGAGGATAGATAGGTAATTAAACTTACCTAGGGTAGCTCGGATAGGTAGGATGGGGAGGATGGTCGCCGTTGGACACCTGGCCCGGGGACAGGACGGTGGTGGCATTACTTATCAGCTCCACGCGGCCCAACCCCCGCCCCAGGGATACTTACCTACCTACCTTACCTAGGTAGGGACCATCACGGGGCTCCGCTCCTGCTGCTGCTCCTGCTCCTGCTCCGGCTCCGGCTCCCGCTCCTGCTCCTGCACCTCAATCGGCCAGGCGCTCAGGGGTAAACCTCCATCCAATAATAGCCAACAGGAGCCGCTGCCCTGCCTTATCCCCTATCCCCTATCCGCTATCCTTATTCACATTCACCTTCACATCGTAAATTTACAAACACTCTGTGTGAGCCTGGCCATCAAGCCCCAAATGCAGGCTCCCGCCTTCAACTCATAAAATTCCACATTAAATTGAAAGCCCTCAGAACGCCACGAGACTAGCGAATCTGTTCCCTTGGTACTCCGTAGGTACACTACCTTGGAACTCAACCATTGACCTATCCGCTCCCTGCACCCCTTGCCTTACCGCTCTGCCGCTCTCGCTGCCATCCGTCCTCACTCTCACATGCACCAGCACCAGCACCAGCACCAGCACGCACGGTTCCCCCTCCCCTCAAATGCTTGCCAGAACCTTGTCTGGACCAAAAGTGGAGCTGTCGCAGATATTGCCCTATTAATGTTCCGAGGCGGTACCAGCGATCATGGCTTCTTCATATACAACCCCAATTTACAAGATCAGGGAGCTCCAGATATCACGTCCCGCCATGCAGCGTCCTACCACCAGAGGCACGACGGGCACGACGGGCACGGCTGAGACCAGGGATTCCAGTGGTAGCATAGGTGCTGGCGGAGCGCGAAGAACATCGCTCTCGTCTTTTCCGTCCTCCAGATCCCCCAGCGCCATGTCGAGACACTCCCGACCCTCGAGATCTCCCAACCCGCCAATGATTGATACCGATGGTACTTCAAATCCCAGCTCGACCTCGAAAACCCCCTCGAGTGGAGACTCCTCCCAGCACTCTTCCCTTTCTGCTACGAAGCGCTATAACCCAGACGCCCATCCAAGAAGGAAGCTCAAATCCCAATACCCACGCGGGGAAGCAGAGAACCATGTTGAATATATTCTAGTGGCTTCATTCGATATTGACAAGGGGCCCATAATGGAACACCAATATCCTGTTGCAATCACTGGTGATGAGCACATGCTGGCGGAGTTGATGTTGCCAGACCAAGCCCATGTTCGTAATCAAGACTGGACGATATTCTTTCTGCACAAGGACACAAGCCAAGAGGATGAGGAGGCAGAGATGAAAGAGGAGAGGAAAAGAAGACGACAAAGGAGGAAAGATAGAGCTGCTGGGCTGCTCGATCACGAGGATGTTGAATCTGGTGAAGAGGACGATGAGGAAGATCTGGACAGTGAGGATTCAGATGGCAGCGAACCGGAAGGTGGAGAAGGTTCACCATTGATCTACGTCTTGAATTTGGTTAATACGAAGCAAGATAAGACAGCTAAAAGAGGAGCTGTTGTGAAAGCTATGGCGATATGCACGCGGCATCCTTTCTTGCACATTTACAAGGTTCGTGCGAATCCTTGACCTATGTGACGCTATTCTGACGTAAAATTAGCCATTATTACTGCTAGCCCTGGAGGAGTATTTCAAGTCACCTCACCCTGCGACGCTGGCGTTGTTGTACGAAGCAGTAAATACTATGGACCTGTCATTGATGCCAAAGCTTAGTCTCCTAGAACGACATTTATTACAGGCGAGTGATAACAAGGACTTATTTGTTGAAAAGTTTGAACAGATGATTCAGATGCGCATGGCAGAGGATAGAGGGGAGGTTCCGGAAGGAGCAGCCGCAATGTCTGAAAGTCCCGAGAGACGAATGGATCTCACTCGAAACGGAACGAAGGCTCATGTAGTCGCCCATTCGATGTATTCGGTACCACGAGACACTCACGAATTTGAGACGAAAGTGATGTATAATGGAATTCCAATCCCGATCAAGGTGCCGGTAGCGGTATCACCAGAGACCGTTGGAGATTTCTCTCTCATCAAGCTCATCCAGACCTTTGGAGAAACTCACGCGAAGTCACCCCAACCATTTGCATTACATCCGCATTTGACGACGAGCGGCGCGTACACTCATCCAATCATCGTCCTGGCTAACGCCATGTTGACACAGAAACGGGTCATCTTCCTTGGTCACAACCGCCCCTCCGGCGAAGTCGCTGAGGCTGTTCTTGCGGCTTGTGCATTAGCCTCAGGGGGGATTCTCCGTGGTTTTACGCGCCATGCATTTCCCTACACTGATCTGAGTAAGATCGATGATCTTCTGAAAGTTCCTGGTTTCATCGCTGGCGTCACGAATCCTACTTTCGAGAATCACCCAGAATGGTGGGATCTTCTATGCGATTTGCCCACAGGGCGGATGAAAATAAGCAACCGCATAGAGGGTGCTCCTCTAACCGAAGGTCTTGCCCAATTTCAATCTCAGAATCCAGGTTACGCGAATCTTGTTAACGCCTCATCTTCGACAAATTCAGCGACCGATCCCACGGGAGATACAGCTTTCATGGGAGACGTCTTGCGAAGTCTCGCTGCTAGGCATGGTGAAGGTGTCATTCGTGCCAAATGGCGAGATTGGGTCGAGAAATTCACACGTGTATCGGCAGCATTCGAAGAGACTGTCTATGGAGCAAGTGCCTTATACATTGGGGTAGAAGAGGCTGAGCCCGGAAATGAAAATGTTTCTGGCCATGGATACGTTTGGGCTGACGAGCCTTCGAAGCTCCGCGAGTTGGCTGGTAGCGTTCATCGGATTGAAGGATGGAGAAACACTCGAAGCTACTTCAGTTTCAAACAGGTAAATCTCTCACTTCTGCATAAGTGAAGGAAGCTGATCATGTTAGGATATTGCCCAGCTGTATAACTTCAGGCCTTTGAAGGCACTTGACCTCCATCACCTGCACGATCGACTCCGAATGACGAAATTGACGCCGAGTACCAGCAGGGAGATTTATCTAGCATTGTCTAAATACACCCACTCTTACGATGAGATTTGCCAACTTCTCACAGTTGCGCCCGAATCTCATGCAGGGCTCTTTTACGTTGCGCTGGGACTGTTCCACAAGGACAAGGATGTAAGGTTGAGGGTTGTTGACCTGCTGGAGAGAATAAGCGAACATGAAGCGGGTAGACATTGGTGGAAAGCCCTTAGTCGCTTCGAAAAGCTCGCATATTATCGCATACGAAGAGAGGCAGAAGCTGAAATGAGAAGCAAGCTGGGAGAAAATGGAGATGGGCCTCTCGGGAATGGGCAATCATTGATGACGGAGAAACGAATAAGCTGAGCTTTTTGAGCATCGCAGCATTTACGACTTATGAGGCTATGACCTCTCTTGGTGTTGCCGAACAACAATATATTTACAAAGATACCCACGAGCGTGTACCGATAGAGAGAGAGCACTTCACGGCCAAGAAAGGCAACGGAGTTGGAATGGACGTACAAGTTCCATCGCGTCTATAGCTTTTGTCTTGAGGCCGAGGTACTTCTATGAATATAAGCCTAGCTACAAGAGAGAGTATAGCAGAGTGGCATGGCCTACTACGCAAGTAGATATTTCGCCGCATAATTGACATGATCTGTCGCAAAAGTCGAGATGAAAAAGTATGAGTGATCATACCCCTATTCCTTGTCAGCAAATCGATCTTAATTGGCGTGGCCAGGCCAAAAGGGATGCACTCACATCTTGATATCTGACCCTCAGCCCCTTCTTTCCACTTTTCTCCGCAGCCTCCACCAGGTTCTCTGGCAGCAGTTGCTTCTGCTTGTAAAAGTTGTCACCGGTCCCAACATCCACCAAAGCTTCAAACTCCCCCTTCCACCCCTTGAGCAACTCCGTCGCATCATGCTTCTTCCACTGCTCCCTATCCTCGCCCAGATATCCCTTAAATGCCTTCTCGCCCCAAGGACAATTGCTGGGATTCGAGATGGGCGCAAATGCACTAACGCTTTTGTACATGCCCGGGTGCTTCAAGAAGAGAGTAAGAGCGCCGTGTCCGCCCATACTGTGGCCCGAGATCGAGACGCGTGAGGAGTCGAGTTCCGGGAAAGAGGAGAAAAGAGCTTTGGGGAGCTCGGACGTGATATAAGATTCCATCTTGTAGTTCTTGGACCAGGGCTCCGCCGTTGCGTCGATGTAGAATCCGGCGCCACTGCCGAAGTCGTAGGCGTCGTCCTCACCTTGGATTTTGAGTCCTCCTGTAAGACAATTGTTTAGCTCATCTACAATCTCATCCAAAGGATGAAGCACTAGAAGTGAAGTGGGGTGAAGAGGACTTCATACTTGGAGAAGTATCTGGGTACACAACAGCTATGCCTTTTTGGCTCGCCCCATATTGGAAAAAGCCCTTCTCAGCACCATTGTCACCAGTACAAGTCAGACCAGCGAGGTAGAACAGAACTGGAATTTTGCCTTTCTCTGGATTAGGCGGGAGGTACAGGTTCAGAGCCATTTCGCAGCCAGTGGTTGACGCATCGTGAGTGAGCTTGAGGAGCTTTCCTCCGAACGAAGCTATGGCTCCCGTAGTTTTGAAAGACATTTTCAGAGATGAGAAGTTCCGAAATTGACTTATTAATTGAACACAGTGAAGAGTAATCAGAGTCGGGAAGGAGGATATTTGACGGTTTACAGTTGTGAAGCTCTTTCACTCATGACGGTACGTTTTAGGCTTACGACCCCTCAATGCCCCGCTTGGTTGGGAGCTGGAGCGAGCCGTGGACTTTCGCATCCGGGTTAGGCACTGGTTGCTTCGGAGATCTCCCGGCATCATGTGGTGACTTTCGGGATCGTGTACTCTGGCAATTTCCTCCTCCCTTTCCATGAAATCGGTGCTTAGATTTTTGGAACACTTTACTTGAGTTTGAAAAGAGTGAGGCGGGCAAAGACGAGGATAACACCCACAACCACAGCTCTGTAAGGACTTCTCTGCTATTCTTAGAAGCACTTTCCTCCTCCATCCAGATATCAGCCTGCTAAACGCCATTTTTACGCCATATCCGGCCCAATGCAATGCAGAAATGAAGCCTCATACCCCGAGGCCTTCACCTCAACCACCAGCCAACCTTGAAATCCCTTAAAGCCCACTACTGAAGAAGCTCCTCGCACGTCCAGTCTTCGTACCTGATTCGCCGTCAGCAATTAGGTATGTATATGTTATAGCTTCAGTAGTACTAACATGCCATCGGGCATATATCTCCGTACGATCAGCGGGATCTTCTTCTCTCTCAACTCCTTGATAGCAATCTGCAGGGGATCCGTCTCTCCCTCCAGATCAACTAACACTGGCGCATTCATACTATCGGGAGCATTTCATTAGCTCAATGCCAATAATTTTATTTGTTCCTCGTTCCAGTATTGTGAAATACCAACCTGATCTGCAATGCCCGAGTACCCAGGATTCTGGCTCTCTCGTACTTGGTCATATAGGGCGTGGTCGTCCGCTGGTCGTTAGGTATCTTCTTATCCTTTGGCGCCTTGTCTTTGTGTGATCGATTGGCTTTTGCTGATGGATCGCCCGAGCCCGATGAGATGATTCCCATCCCATTGTCCCCAGTGGCTAGAAGCTGATCAGGGTTTTGACTGGCATTCACATCATCCACCACATTGTTCTCCTCATATGGATCCTCTGGCTCCGCGGCATCATAGTCGCCCTCGTTATCGTCGTAGGTAGGCGAGAACCTGGGTCTGATCAGCAATCATGTTGTCGTAAGAGAGCTCTGCGCGTTGCGTAGCCACGCAGAACTTACCCGCCATCACCCATACCCTCATCGTCAGACATGGTTCAGCAGAATCAGGAAGTTTTGGAGATGGTGATTATTTGAAGGTTTTCGTTGAATGCGTTTGGTAACAAAGTTGTTGTATTCAGCTGTTGCAAAGAAATTGTTCAAGGCTCGAATCTGCGATCAGGCACTAGTGTAGCCTCAGAACAATTTAAGGTTTAGCGCAAATGCCAAGAGTTCATCAGCCACACCAGCGAAATATTTCGTTTTCACAAGGTAGGTGGTAATCACCTCAGACAAACCAATACAACATCATTTCGCAGGAGCGCAAAGCTCGCAATCAAGCCTCCCAATGGCTTCAACAGTGGGAAAGAGAAAGGCTGCAGCCTTTTTAGAAGACTCTGCGAAGAGACAAAGAATTGAGAGACTGCTTTCTCCTCCCAGTAAGTACCGTTCCGCACACAACTAACTTCTGCCCACGATATTAACAACTCTGCAGTGGAGGCAACCCAAGAATCTGAGGATGACGACAATGAATACCGGCAAGAAGGTTCCGAGTTTTCAGAAGAAGAACATATTGCGAATACCCCAGTCACACCATTTTCTCCAGGCCGGAAAAAGTTCCCTTCAGAATTGAAGACAATCAAGTGCACGTACGAAGGCTGTGCCAAAACATTCAATAGGCCAGCAAGACTGACAAGTCATTTGAGAACGCATACGAATGAGCGGCCATACGTATGCACATACGAAGGCTGTGACAAGACATACTTTGAGGACAAGCACCTTCAACAGCACATCAAAGGATCCCACACAAAAGAGCGATCCTTTCCATGCGACTGGGAGGGATGCAATAAGAGTTTTCTGACATCAACTCGTCTGAATCGGCACAAGAATACACACACAGGCCAGCATGTATACCGCTGTACGACTTATCCGCCCTGCAATGAACCTTTCCGCAAGCACCAAACCCTTCAGCGCCATATTCGCTCTGTCCACCTTCTACTTGCACCATATCCATGCACTTATGTCGACCCAGTCACTTCTGTTCCTTGCGAAGCTGGATTTGATGGTGCTACTGGCCTTCGCCAACATGTTGATCGTGTTCATGCAGCTAGAAGAATAACATGTTTCCTCTGTCATGCGCCAGGATTTAAGACAGATCGAGAACTCCAGGCTCATATTCGGAAAGAACATGCCAACTGCGCCTTCTGTGATATCAAATGCTCAAGTCAGCGAGAATTGATGAAACATATCGAAATCCATCACTCGGGCATTACTATCGACCAGCGAAAGAACGTCCTCTGCACTTATGCTGGATGTAACAAGCGGTTCACCAAGCAAAACAACTTGAATACCCACATACGAACCGCTCATATGGGACAGCGTTTCATCTGTGGTACTTTCGACCTTAGCACCTACTCGGAATTGGCAAATTTCGTTACCGAAGATGGATGTGGGGATGATTTTGTGTCAAAGGCCAGTCTAATGGATCATATCCGTACTGCTCATCTTGGACTTAAGAGTCTGGTCAACGCAAACCGTAAAAAATCAAGCTCCGAACAAGCATTGTACCATCAGGATTCCGAATACGATTGTATGGACCCAGCTAATGGTTGCGGAGAGGACGATTATGCTCACACTCTACGAAAGTCTAAGCGTGGCAAGAGCGCCAAGCCTTCACTTGTTGATGAGTTGTCTGGTATCGATCCCAGGAGGACTATCCCATGCCTCGTACCTACTTGTCAGGACATGTTCATACGGAACTACGATCTCGATGTTCATATGCGTACCGCGCACCCTTTCGTACCTGCCGCCATTGATCCTGGTCTTGCTGGACCGAGCAATCAGTTTCCATATCCAAGTGTCGATTTCGATCTGTCTCATATGACCATAGATGTGGGTGATGTAGAGCAGATCTTAGATCGTAACCTCCAACAGCCACTTCCTGGATTGGAAGATGACCAAGCTGATTTCAACTGGGAGTTTCAGAGGCAGGCACTTGAAGGAGGACCGTTTTGGGTCGGCGCAGATACAGGTGTTGGTGACTTTGAAGGGAATTTGGACGAGTGGACTCAAGAAGAGGAAGAGATGAGAGGGTTGATCGGTTGAGAATTCGATCTGCTTGTGATCCAACACGACAAAATGAGGACAAAGATGATATTGACTGCATGTGGGCTGGTGTTGGACATGTTAAGCATTGAAAACCAGCGGCTCTACATGAGCAAGAGCTGCATAAACCCAGAGCTTTATGGAAATTTAATTTACTCTGATGGAGTATTGTAGTCTACATGTATTGTTCAGTGAATGTTCTGCTCTTGAGTGTAGCCCTACGCGGAACCGACCTTGGAAATTTTACCTCTGGTCTGGCACCTAGAAACTCTCAACCCCCTCTTTAAACTATGTCCATGTCCTCCCCGAGGTCCCTTAAATTCGGCGAGCAGGGGCATTCGGCCAGCCCACCAATTAAATCAGTTTATCAGGAGCACCGGCACCGGCCATAGGCCCGGGCTCGGGCCCGGCAGCTTGGCGTACTGTAGCGTCAGTCCCCACCGTACCTGCCTAGGTAGGAAAGCTCCGAGTCTTCGGCCCTCTTTAAGTCGCGTCAAAGACATTGAGAACAATACATAACACCGTACAGCAAAGAACAACACGACAGGTCCCAGTGCACAAATTCACCGATTTGAGATCGAACTCGAGAAGACTTGTCATCTCTCTGTACTCCAAAGTCAGGCTTGTTACCCGTGAAAGTCTGCTTGGCTCACGCATGCCATTAGATATCAACACGCGACTGCCCAAACTCCTCACCCCCCGAAAAGTTCCTTCTCGAAGTAACTACTATTTTCAAAACAAGATCGCCCACCTCGTTCAAAATGACCTCCGTATCACCAGTTCGTCGAGTGCTCAGCGCCCTCGATGCGAACACGCCCCTCAGTCGACCAGGCGCCCAAAGCCTCAAGACAAGCAAAAGCAGCAGTCCTACCAAGCCAGTCCAGATGGCAGAAATAATACCGCAGGCATCTTTATCGGAGGCAACAAATTACGCCTCGATTGATGAGGGGACTCCTGTTTTGGGCGCAAAAAGGAAGTCCTATTCTCAAGATGACACTACATCATATGGCGCGGCCAAGAGACATAAGGAGACTGCTGGCATGGAAGAAGATGCTGGAACATATATGCAAGCGCAACTTTTCAGCAGTGATGTTCATGAGGTTCGTCAACAGTCTCAACCCCAAAGTGAAGGAGCATGTTATTCGAATTACTCCCAGCCAGAAGACATGCTAACTTAGCCCAGGGATTTCTGGGACATTCTTATGATCTTGCAACGGCACCCTCCTCACCAACCTCCTCCTTTACCTCTCAAGATAATTCAGGACTGAATGATTCTCAAAATACCACAGTCACCATTCCAGATGAAATCCCTCTGCCTCCACGCCATTCTCCACTAACGCGCGAGGAGCTTCGTCAGGTACGCAACCATCTGTCAAGGGTTTATGTGCATATGCTAACCTCCTCTAGAAAGCTAGAGAGATCAAACTTCGGCTCAGTCTTGCAAGCTACAAAGTTCGAACGAATCAGATTGAAATTCCCATATCCCGTCTAGAAATTCGATCTTCTACCACAGCATCCAGAACATCCCCCTTTCCACCAATCGCAACTCTTTCTTCGCAAATTCAACAACTTTCTCGTCCATCAAATGCTCCACAAGTGCCAGATATCAAACTACAAACACCATATACAGAGAAGAACCTACCGCAACCAGTCACGATACCATCGTCACCCCCTTCCTGCATCTTGACACCAGGGAATGGCAAAAGGGTTGCATCTCCAACTAAAATAGTAGTTGACGTGACGCGTGAAGGATTCGCGACCCCTTTATTACCCAGACAACGACAAGGCGTGTTGAACCCTCCATCTTTATGCGGCAGTCCGAGTTGGGAAGATAGAGGTAGCGATTTGACAAGTAGTGTAGTCAAAGGACGAGCTGCGGATGGGTTACTGAGCTTGATGCACCAGTATAAATGAACGAGGTGATCATCGAAGGTCTTGTCACGAAGCTATTGATGTTCCTGTGTCATGCGTCTTGAGGATGTCTAATAATTCCTTCGTGTTGCATGGTTGGGGCTTTTGTTGAGCCAACAGGGCATTCTAATGTGCAGATAAGACAAGAAAAATGGAAGGATTTCATCGAATTAAATAGGATGAGTCGATAAGGGCAATTTCGGGGTTTGCCTATGCTCTCTAGAATAGAGCGGTGGTGATCCAGCGATGAACTGGCAAATTTGCTTGGAATGTTGCTAAAACAGACTTGCTACAATAATTAGACATTCAAAGTGCGCGATGCTTGGTTGGCTAATCGCATTGTGGATGGAGAATGCTCCCTATTTTCATAATGGCAAAGTACTAACCAAATGATAATGTGCACTTCAAGCATATATGTTTGAGAAGGGGGTGGCATCTACCCCAGCTGCCCATGGTGTACCTCCCGTCCCCTTGGGGGCATGCTACGCGACCCCTTTCATCTCGCTTAAATTAGCGACATAAACACAGCGAGATTGGAGAACTTCCCTCCCCTCAAAACAACAGCTATCATATAATAGCCACCTCGTAACTTGCAAAACCCACACCTTGATGCATCGGATATCAATCCTAGTAACTGTCCATTCTCGCCAGACACATGGATGGTTCATTCGATTGCTCACCTTCGGACAACTCAGAATCCCTGTCCAAACAAGTGTGATAGCAGGTAGGTTGATACCTCACCTAGATCGCCAGGAAGCCCTAGTACGGTTCGAGCTCGCGCGGATGTGACGTCTTTGACTCTTTGATGCGCAAACCTATCTTTGCTGCATGATTACTTCATCCGCACCTGTCATTTGCATGTCGTGGAATTGTGCATGGCGGTGGCATTTGACATGTCATTTCTCAGCTGAATGCGAGTGAGCGACTCTGGCACAAATTCATCGGATCTGGCCAGAGACACAAACAAGGTCGTTAAAAAGCGAACCACAGATCAGAGAATTAATATTTGTTGCGCATGTAAAATTTCATATCCAATCGTACAGATCTGCTCACTCATCAGCTAAGCAGCGCAAGCAGAGTCAAAAATATGCAAGAGCCCTATACTAGTCAAATATTGTATCGAAGTCGACGCCGGCGCTAAGCCAAGTCCATAATCCAAAGATGTAAATCACCGCAACGCCAGCCACACATGCTTTTCCTAACTGGTATATCTCCTCAACATCCTTGCCTAGCTTCCAACCAATGCTGAGACTTCCATCCATAGCTTAGAACGCCTAAGAAAACAGGTACACGAAAATAATGAGAATTGATGAGAACTGCTGCAGCCTCTTACTCGGCATTCATGGAATATAACGAGGTATCGAAAGAAAACGGTTTGTCAAGGACAGAAGGATCCACCATGTCGTCCCATGACTGGTAAGTGACGGCCGGAGGGTCGGCGTCAAACATGGTAAGGTCATCTTCACCATTGACGTTGAATCCACTCATATCAAAAAGACCCTCGGTATCGCCAGGTCCAAATGGCATCCACTTATCATCGAAGATGTCGAGGCTGATATCTAGGCCAACGCCATCAGAAATATCACTGTTCGGTTCTGAAACACCGTCCTTGCTTGACTCTGGCGTATCGTTCGGGGTAATCGAACGATACACATTCATGTCCGAAATTGCACCACCTGCGCCAGTCTCGAATGGCTGAAAACTATGGAAGAGATCATGAGGATCAATTGTAACATTAGCCCACAAGTTCGGGGCCACCGCCTCCACTGGGTTCTCTTTCGGCTTGTTGGCATCCTTTTGGCTAGTTTGGCCCCTTCCAGTGGCGTCCTTGCCAGGAATAGACTTAGATGGAATGTTTGTCTTTCCCTCTGTAGCACTACTCTGGCGATTCATAGAGACTTGACGGTTCATTGGCGTAGCTCCGGCAGGGGTATTGTCTTCTTTGGCAGTCGGCGTTCGGCCTTGTCTTGAACCAGTCACCGCCATTTTAGCGGCAACTGGCCCACTTTCCGGTAATTGGGCAGCTACAGGTTTCTTCGACTGGCCTTGACTGTCTAATCCAAGTGTGCTGGCTAGATTCTCTTGGACATATTTCAATGGGTTCTCCAGCGGTCGTATATGCTCCTCCTGAGTATGGGCCTTCAGTGCCTCAGGGGTCTCGAAGCCGATATTGTGTCTGTCACACTCTGGCTCCGAACAGCACAAGGAAGGCTTGCTTCGTTGTTTGTTATCTGACTGCTGCCTCTTCAGATCAGGTGATGTTGCCTTGGACACTTGAGGTGAGGAATTTGAGCCAGGAGTTCCTTGACCCGGTACGGGAGTACTGTTTTGTTTTTGCTTCTTTCGAGCAGGTATATGCAGATCCTCTTGCTTTAGGGTATTTTTGCCGGCGTATGCAGGCGTTCCATGGGGCGATGTAGCTCCAAATGCAAAAGGTGGTTGTGAAGAGGTAGGAGCCGCAGGTGTGTTTGAGCTGCGACTGTTGTTTCTTTTATGCAAGTTATTGAGCTGCTGCTGCTGTTGGTGTAGATTTGCGGCATTCAACGGGGTTGGCGGCTGATTGGGTTGTGACTGTTGAGCCTCGCTTTGTGATGCTGGAGCCTGCAGGTTCTTGGCGCCGCCGTCAGGCTTCTTCATATTGGGATACCGTTCGCTCAACACTTTGACAATGGCTCCCATCATGGACCTTGTGCTCTCAATCTCTGCCATACTGATAGAGAAGGTGTCCCTCAAAGTGGGATTGGGCTGATTGAAGTCGCCACGAAATTGCCTGCCATAGCGAAAGCGCTAAAGGATTTAGTCATGAACGGCAAGAGAAATATGGTGTGGAATACATACTGCCTGGAAAAATCTCCTAGCTTGAGCTTCATCATGATCGACTTGGAACCATCTCGGTAAGGCTTTCGAGACATTGATCATGCCCGAGTGTACGCTGAGTAAAGCCGCCGCGGTTTTCTTTCTCGTTTCTTCATCCATAGAGATATCAGGAATTGTGTGTGGTAGCTTTGCTTGCTCCTCTTTCGAGATTATGGCTAATCTGGCCTGCTCTGCAGTCATTTTGGAGCCTTGGTTTGCATTCTGCGCAGCCCGGATGGCATTTTCGTACTTTTTCCTTGTCTCAGGGTCCATTGCAGCAAGCTGCTGTGGGGTTGGAAGTTGTCGCGGCTGTTGAGTCGAGTCTTGCGCAGGCTGGGGAGATGGGCGTGGCTGCTGAGTGTTCGGGTTAGGAACTTCAATAACATCATCACTACTGGCACGCTTCAAATTCTTAACCGGTTGGGCAGGTGAAGATGTTTGGGCGGCGTTTCGAGCATTTGGTTGAGGTCGGGAGCTTGGCCGATTATTCGGAATACCAGGGGCCGATTCGGAATGAGCGTTAGGACCGGAGTTTTGGCCAGCTTGAGGTGGCTTGAGGGCCTGTGTAGGGTTGGGTTGAGCTTGTCCCATCTGACCTGGATTTGGTTGCCCAGTCACATGGGCGGCCTGGGCGTTGGCTTGTTGCATCCGACTCAATTGCAGGGCCATCATTTGTTGACGTTGCTGATGCTGCTGAGGTGTCATTTGTCCTTGGCCCTGGGCTTGAGCTTGTTGTTGGAGCTGGTTCGCCTGGTTCCTCATGTATATAGCACGTATCTGTTCATCGCTTGCTTGTGCCAGTTTACCACTGGGATGGGTTCGCATCGTATGTATCTCTTGTGCAGTGGGTTGTCGCAACTGGCCGAGGCCTGGCATATTCATACCGTTGTTGAGAGGTATCATAGGAGCCACGGGAGCAACCATAGCCGGAGGTGCATTTGGACCTATGCCTTGCTGGGCACCTGGCTGCATACTAGCACCCTGAACCTGTTGACGACTTCGGATTGCCTGTGTGTAGTGCAACTTCTGAAGATTCTTGACAGCGTCGAGACTCCCCGTTCCCGCAAGGTTCGGATTCTGTGCTATCCATTGCTTAAGCTGACCCCATTTTTTTATCTCTGGTGGACTCCCCTGGGGCATGCTGGCGTGGTTGTGGAAAATCTGAGGAATTTCCACGTTGTCCATCTGCTGCAGAGCGCGCTGCTCTATCTGCGCAGCGTTCGGGCCGACACGCTGTTGCATCTGATTCTGCCGTAGACTAGCCATTTGTTGTTGCAAAAGCATTTGCTGTTGAGGATTCATGCCAGGGGCCATCGATTGAGGTGGCCGTTGTCCTGAATTCCCCATCATGAATTGATTCGCTCCATTTTGAAGATTGAATGGACCTGGTGGTATTTGTTGACCGGGCCGAGCCTGGCCAGGACCTTGCATTGGCATCGGAGGGCGTCCACCAGCCATATTTGCGGTATTCATTTGCCCGGCGCGGGATTCGTGCCATTGCTTCACCACCTCATTCAGTTTGTCTGGCGGCATGGCAGCCAAGGCTCTTTGAGTCTCCGGCGTCATATTCTGAAGCATGGCAGGATTCAGTCCAGCAAACGTCATACCGTTTGCTGCTCCGGGTCTATTCCCTTGCATGAAGCGGGGATCTAGTGGCTGGCCAAATTGAGCATTGGGATTCACCTGAGGTGGTTCTGGATGGGCCATCGGCTGTGAGGGCGTTCTCAATGGTGCATTGAGCGTCGCCATTGCAGGGCTTTGCTGTGGCGGATTCGGGCCAGGCCCCATCCCACCTGGTTGACCTCGAAGCCCAATTGTCTGCTGTGCTTTTTGCTGGGCATTTAAACGTGCCTGCGATTGTTGTTGTTGTTGCTGCTGCTGTTGTGCATGCTGCATTCTTTGTTGTTGGATCTGCTGAGCATTGAACATCTGCTGCTGTTGCTGGGCTCGGGGGTTAGGATTAGGCACCATATCTATCCCTTGACCAGCCATACCCGGCTGTGGGGTTCCATTTCGTGGAGGAACACTGGCTGGAACTACCATCTGCCCAGCTTCTTGTGCTAGTACGCCTTGCTGCTGCTGTTGTGCTGCAAGATTCTCCATGTTACCCATAAATGATCCAAAATCCGGGTTTCCACCCACGGTGGTAGGTGGTTGGCTCTGTCCATTCATTGGGCTAGGGTTCATAGATCGTTGCGGTTGCATAGGAGGCGCAACCTGCCCACTTTGAGCTTGCTGCTGCGAGAGAGCAAGCTGCTGTTGGTGAGCCTGGGCTTGTTGCATGCGCTGACTTCTCTCCTGGCGAAGTCTGTTCATAGCTTGATTTCGGTAGTACATGAAGATGGGATCTACACCTTGGGCTTGGTACTTGTTAAATTGTGCTGGGTCCATTCGCTGCTGCAAGGAAGTTCTCAGCGTATTCTTCTCCTCTTCCGAGGCCCCAGACATCAGTCTGTTGGTAAGCTCGTTTACAACAGCATTGTCCTGTTGTGTCATAGGCGGTTGACTATTGACTGGCCTGCCGCCCATGTTCTGTTGCTGCGGCATGGGAACAAACTGCTGTTGATTTTGAGACATATTCTGTGGAACTCCTTGGTTGGGCAGTCCCATAGGAGCCTGTGGTGGCTGTTGTCCTGGAAGTGGTGAAGCTTGCATCTGACGCTGGAGATGTGAAAACCCCTGCTGGGGTGGTTGCGGAGGCATGACTCTAGGGGCTTGCCCAGGCATGTTGTTTTGGCTCATCATCATTTGCTGCTGAGCTTGGGCTTGCTGAGCTTGTGCCTGCGCTTGAGCTTGTTGGTGAATCTGTTGTTGCATGCCGGCCTGGTTTGCTGCTCGTCGTTCTAGTAACTGCTCCAGTTTCATTTGCACTTCCTGCTTGTAGATTTCCTTGACTTCATTAGTGGCGTGATTGTCTCATACATCTTCCTACACGAACCTTGTTCTGAGATTTGTCAAATATGTCCTTCTCGAACCGGATGCCAATTTCTATCATTTTTTGCAAGCTGGGAGCATTCGATTGGGATTGACTGGCCAGGCGCAGATTTCCAATTCTAGCGTTAAAATCGTCAGCATAGATACTCGGGGAACACTCGAGAATCTTGAACTGAATTATGTTGATACTCACATGTTAAATATCAGACCCATTCGTTCGTTGTGCATAATCTGCGTTCGCCAACCAGTAAGAGTACCGGTTTGCTGCTGAAGGGTTGAGAAGATCATCGACTGGATCTGAGCAGAGGCATGTGGATTCTGAGGTTGGCGCTGCTGCATTTGCTGGGGCATCATTGGCCCAGGGCCGGCGCCCATTTGTTGTTGAAAATTTGTTGGATCCATCTCGAGAGCAGGTGAGCTACGCTCCGAACCAAAAGATTGAGGTTTCGGTACAGGTCCGCGACCTGACCTACACTCAATGTTCTGAACTTGAGAATGTGCACTGTATCAGTCGTGGTAGGAAATTCGAAATCTTTGGGCGTTGATCCTGGTGGGACAGACAGTGTAGCGTAGCCGATAATCAACAAGCCGTGCCTTAGTCGTCCTCCAATATCCACATGGAATTATAACTTGTGCTCCACGAGTATCTGCTCCTCGAGAACGAACATGTGTTTGCGACGCAAGTGGAGCGAACGAGAGTGCTGCTGTGGATCGAGAGATTCGCGAGGTGGGAGGATGAATCGGGCTGGGATGGAGGCGGAAGTACGATCGAGAATAAAGGCTTCTACGCTTTCATTTAATCGGTCGGTATTGTCGTCGAGGTATTTCCGCAGCTGAGGTCAAGGTTGAGGAGGTGCAAGTGAGGTGTTCAGCGAGTTATCGTGAGGAGGTCGCGGCGCATGGACGGGGTCAAGATAAAACACCAGGGCAACGCTAGGGTAACAGATCAAAGAGGTGATCTGCCGGACACTACCACTCCAGTCTCCAGCTGAGCCGGAGAGAATATCGTGCAAAGATGCTGCGTAGTGCTATCGTGCGGGTGCCGTATTGTCTCGTGAGAACTCAGTCTCGTCGAGAAGTGTGGTGAAGTGCAGTGCAGTTGTTGTTCAGTGGGTGAAGACGGTAAGGTAGGTAGAGATGAAGGTCGAGGAAGCAGGCAGGCGGCAGGGCGGCAGGGCAGCGCAGGGCAGCGCAGCGCACAGGGCACAGGCTCAGCAGGGCACTTGCGCTTGCGACGGGGGAAGACGAGGGCTCCACTAGAAGGAGCGCTAGCTACGCCCAAAGGAGGTTAGCGACACCACATATTGGCTCTTAGCTGTGCACCGCGAGCACCGTACCCAGTACCATACCCTCCCATCCCATCCCCATCCCATCCCACCATCCTATCCTATCCCATCCAGCCCATCCATCCCATTAAATCTATCAGGCCAGGACTAGAATAGGAATACTTCAACCGGTCCCATCAAGGGATAAGGTTACAATCTACTTGCAAGAGAGGAGAGAACAGAAAAAACGCAGCCGGTAAAAGACTCGTGGATGGGGATGGGTGTGCTCAGGGAAAATACCATCAACAGGTAATTGAAGCCGAGCAGGAAAGGCTGCCTTGGCGAGAGGTTCATACGTTCCTACGCAGATGACAACGATTACTGGTAATCAAACAAACTCAGTGGTGGATTCTCCTCTACATGCCTGGCCGACCAGCAAGATATCGGCAGGGAAAGCTGGTAGAGAAGCTATTTGGTTGGGATCATATTCATCAACGAGTCTTTGACAGTACGTGCATCTGCTTGCTGCTGCTGCTGCTGAACAGTAGGTTTCAGCTTCTGTGTTCCAGTAAAAAAGGACCACGCCGAGAAGCAAAATCTACTAGGCAAGATTACGCCCCCAGGTTATTACTCGCGCGTTCATTGGATGTGCCCGTCTTGCCCCAGACATGCTGACTTTGCTGAGCAATATGAGCGGCCACCCGGCCAGTGTCAGTCACCAAGGTAACCTTCCCTGGCAGGTAGGCAGGTACTGCAAGTAATTTTAGATAGGTTGGTAGAGATCTGTTGGCGATCTTGGGAGATCTGGCGGACGGCATCGTATGTTTCGACGAATTTTCGACGGCAGCAGCAGAGCAGATGCAGAGAGACGGTAAGCTAGTGAGTGCTAAAGGGAGGGAGAGGCGCAACAAGGGTTGCTCCTCCATGCAGTCAGTAGTGTCGTTGACGAATCTATCCTTCTATCCTGCCCTGCCCACGGGTTTCAGAGCATCTTGCTGAGCTATGCGCCGGGACCAGGACCGCACGAGCTCTCCCTCTCCATACTTCCCAATATCACGTATCAGAAGCTTCTTCATTTGCTTGTAATTTACCGTGCCGTTGCTGAAGTGCAATAGAATAATGCGAACTCGGCCGTGGAACCAGGGCGTACAGCAGGAGGGGGGAGAGGAGTCGAAGGCGAAGGCGAAGGCGAAGGCGAAGCTGTGTAGGACTCGACTGTCAAGAAAGATGGGATCGATCACCAGCTCATACCCCTCCTACACTTTACGCCTGTCACGCTGTGCCGAAGAGAAGAGGAGAGGGGCGAGAGCACGAGTAACAATGAATGATCACCTTAAGCCTTGAGCCCCTTCCTAGGTAAATCTACCTACCTTACCTACCTATCTACCTTAGATGAGGTGTAAGGTTAAGCTAAATAAATGATAGCTGGAATAAAAGTGCTTGGACGGGCGGTGGAGCCACCCTAAGAGACTATTTTCGCGCACAACACAATACAATACAACACAACACAACACAACAATGCAGATGAAGATGAAGATGAAGATGAAGGTGAAGAGAAGGAAGAGCAAGAGGGAGATAACATGTTATAATCATCCGGCTCGACTCGAGTCCGGTCAAGCAAGACAATCGAGACAATCTGCTGCTAAGATAAGGCTGGGAGACGGACTTTCGCAACTGTGGCCCTCTCCCTTCTCCCTTCTCCCTTCCATTGGCTTGGTGGCACGCTGAGCGAGGTGGACCGCCAGCAAACAATGAATTAAATACCTATGAAATTTACCTTATTACTGTACGAACGTTACCTAGAATCCACAGTCACTACTGCACTACTAGGTACAGTACAGTAAATTTACCTACAGTACTGTATGTACTGCACCTGCACCTGCACCTGCACCTGCACTTACCAGGGTGAATGGAATGATGAATGATTTAGCGCACGAGCAGGGGTCATATGCCGCAGGCCCGCCATGAGAGCCAATGGAAAGACCCGACTCGACGAGGCTAACAACCGACTGCCGGCTGTTGGCTGCTGGCTCCTGGCTCCTGGCTCTGGGCTCTGGGCTCTGGGCTCTGGGCTTCTGGGGACGTTGGTTCACTACTGCCACAAGCAGCGAAGTAAATTACGAATCCGTCTCGCGTCTTTCGAACGTAAATTTACCTACCTAGGCCATATCACATGAATGTCTGTCTTCGGGAACAGAGAGCGCAGATGAAAACAGGGGTCCCAGCTGTAGGGTAATTTACATTTTACCAGGGAATAAGAACGACAACCCCCCTGCATTGACTCCAAAGTCAGTCGTCTAGGTCGATTAGGCCTAGGAGCCTAGGAGGTACTGGACAGTAAAGGGGCGCCCGGCTTCGCGATGCACTTTTCCCTCTCTACTCTCTCGCCTTGCTATCTTGGATAATCTTGGCTGGCTTCTGATTGATGGCAAAAGAGAAGAATACGACATGTACTGAAGAAAGGCGGCACACAACTAACTGTATTTGGTGGGCGAGTGTTGTGAAGCGTGCTGTGCATTCGGAGTACTGGGTGGTAGGTAACCTTGATCAGAAAATGTTCCGTACTTTGGTGGTACAATTTAGTTCCGTATTAATAGAGGGCCATGCTCCCAGATGTTCCCAGCTTCAGATGAGACTTTGATAGCGGCCTGGAGGCGTTTCTACACTAGGTATCTATCCTTTTTTCGCTAGATACCTTACCTTATATTACATTACTTAGTGCCCAGGTAATCACGCGAGCCTCCTCCCCGCCCTCCCTTCGTACCTTACCTACTTACCTATGCCGATACTTAAGGCAAACTGCCTACCTATCCATAGGTAAGGTAGGAGGCAAGTTCGGCGCTCCAGTCATGCTTCCCTCCTTGCATACTGCCCCCGAATGCCATGCGTCGCAGCATTCACCTTTTGGCCAATATTGCAAATACATCCGTTGGCAACCTGAGCGCTTGCTCACGATTGCTGGCGGCTCGAACTTTGGCCGGATAGGTGTGAAGCAAGCCTTGCAACAGAAACCGCCAGAGTGGAGCAGGAGACGCAATTTATCCAATCACCGGACCGGACCGACGAGCTATGCAGCTTTCCCCGTCCGTGCCGAGTTGAACTCTTCTACTGCAGATGGCAATGACAGGTACTCCCTTGGAGATAGAAATTCGATACGAAATGCGGAAACCATGGGGAAACATGAGCCATGTGCTGGGCGAGATTAGCTGTCTCAACACACGCTTGACACTCCGCTTTGCACTCCGCATGTCTTGTGAGAGCCTGGATATCCCTGTTGATTTTGTTATTGCACTTGCTCCTTAGGTCCCCCATACTCCTGTACCATTTCATCTATCGTCTGAATTCGTATCATCCGATGGAAGTGCTGTGTTGACCGAAACACACAAAAGTGATCAAAAGCTTATTGCATAGCTCGAAAGAAACTCTCTTCTCACCGCTTGTTGCGCGCAACCCAATGTTCAAAATCATTGTTCGATCACCATCACGGTCTCAACGCTGTCAGGCTTGCAAGACCAGCCCAAACGCTGGGGAACAGATAATTTGTTCCCATATCAATGGCCTCGTCATGCTCTCTTGAGTCTCGAGCCTATTCAACGCGATCTGCAACTTGTCAAGTGACAAGTAGTGGCAAGCAGGGCAACCACTTTTCTCGGCCTCCAAATTCAACAATCTCCAGAAGCTACAAGAGTTTCGCTGGTCGCCTCACTCAAGTCGCTGTTTTCAATCTAGTCTAGTAAATAACAAAGATCATCCCCATTTTAGTGTCTTGGAGTTATGTTCTGTACCTGCAAGTCTCCCCATTCCGCAACTGACCATACAAGGAGCTCGGTCAATGTAAACCTACTGATCATTACCCATAGATGGGTAACCTGCATCCCTTCTCTCCTTTCACCTTAGGTACCTCAATTTCCTGAGATCGCTCCTCAGAACTGCAGAGAATGACTGACGCGTGGACAGTTTTATGGAGACTACGTATCGCAAGAGGTGCACGAGTGGTACTGCTGAAGCCTTTCCAAGTCTCCATTCGAATGGAGACCATACCAATTTTGTGTTTTCTCTCTATACATTTCTTTCGTTAAATGAAAATTGAAAGGGAGCATTGTCTTATCTGGTCAACTCCTGCGATCGACAGCATACCCTTTACGATTATGATGCCTATGTTGATGATAGCGAGCCGTTGGGAAGACTTTGTGAACATGGTAAACCATGGGCCTCGAGAATCGATGAGTCCTAAAAGCCCTTGCTATCATCTGGACACAAACCCACATGTACTCAGTCAAGTTATATCTGCTTCTCCAGGATTCTGGACACAACGTTCCACCTGATTATGAGGCTGAAGCTTGATGCTAACGTACCAATAGTACTACTTCGCACCTCCGTTGGCTAGAATTACGACCACGTAAGTAAGTACTAGACTCCCCGCTGCACTTTCGGAATCTGACGCTACTTTCCAGATCGATGCAGAGGATACTCCACCGAAACAAGCGAAGAGTTCAATAGGGTGAGTCGAAGTATCAAATCGGCCTTGATTGAAGCTAGAAAAGTGTCAGCATAGACATGTAAGTAGTTCGGGAAATGGTCAAACATCTGGGAAGTATCTTGCTTCTTCAATAACTTCCGAGACATGAGTGAATGTATAATCGCTGACTTTGACATCATTGAAGGGGGCTGCAAATCGTCCCTCAAGCAGCACTGTTACCTGTCTATACGGGATAGCCGGATCCATTTAGGTACGTTGCGTCTGTCTTGGGTGGACTTCGGGCTACATTTCTATGTGAGCCTACCATTATACTTCTTTATTCCGAGCAAGCCCTGCTAACTATCGACAAGCGACTGTGTAAACGCTTCATAGTATTCACTACTACCCTATATCTCATGTTCTCTGCTTGTGGGTCTAATGCGCTTATCAGATTACCAACAGCCATGTTCGAGCTTTTGATTGAGGCTGCCAAAGCATCACCGGGTGGCTGGCAACCAAGACGGCTCTTGTTTATAACTCAGGTCGGATTTCGGCTCGGATTTGGTGCCATCCAACTTTGCTCAGGTCTGGGGACTGTTTTCATACACAAAGGGGTACTGGTAAAGGGCTATCACCAGTCGACCCACAACTGCGGTTCGTGCCTACATCATGAGAGGCATTGCCTGGTTCGCTATTTCGTCCAGATTTGTAAGGCTGTCAAGGTTCTTTTGCGTTGGGATAGCTCTAGGTATCACACCAGCTGCTCTCACCAACGGCCCGGCATATCAAAGCTACTCGAATGCCTTGGCCAAATCTCAGGTTTCGTAGGGTTTATCTGCGCTCTTTGCAGCTGTTGCTCTTCTGGGGGACGCGGTGACACTTCTACTCATTCTTCCGTGGCTCGCTCATCTGCGGGTTCCGCAGAAGCTTATCGCCCTGTCATCTGTCTTCAGATTTGATGTTTCCGAAATGTATGTCGGTCTCTTGGCATTGCCACAACAGTTGATAAAGGTTTCTCAGATCATGAAATTTGCCTTTGGAGTAGTAATGGTAATGTTCGCCTGTATATCTGGAACGTGATAGGGATGATTTGGACTAACTGTTCTTGATCAAGGGGCTACTGACTGGTGGTGTCGTTTTTCTGGGGACTGACTGTAGGGAGAAGCAATCGAGCAAGGGGCTCCTATTCGGAGCATTTGAGAACGTTTCTGTAGAAGTCATAACTTCCCTGATCACTTCAAATGCACTCTTCGGAGAACGAACAAGCACAACAATCAGGTCCGTTATCCTCATGCTTCCCACAGACTTCATTATTCCGTTATCGATGTTCCTCAGCCACTATGTATCCTTCAAAGGGTCCTTTACGGCTTGGACTGTGAATATCTTCATTGGGGTGTTCTATTCCTTGGCAATTCTTGCCGTTTGGCGTATCTGGGAGGCAAAGGCGTTCTGTATAGACTTTTGAAGATAGCGGCGGACGGTGAGTCCGAGGGCAATGGTGGCGCTTCAGGGAATTGGCCTCTATTCCATGCCACTTCTATACCTAGTGGAATGGTGTATCTGATACTTCGTGTGAGATGGGTGATTATCAGGAACAGGGGGTGAATAAAAGCATTTAGATATCTTCCTTTCCGCACGGAGAGAGTGAGCCAAATGATGCATGCTGTGCCCAAAGCCAATGCACTTGACAGACCCGGGCTAAATGATCACAAGATGCAGGTTCATAAGTAAAGTGCAAACAAGGCTTCTATGCCACTCTCAGGTCTCATGTGCAGTCTTTACCAGACATGTATTTTGAAAGCTGGGGATTCTCGAGGTATGCTTTCTACCCTCTTTCCACATAGAACAGATGCAAAACCAAACTTGAGAAAACGTCCAGAATTAGATGCTAAAAATACTCATTAATATCTAGGTTCACTGTTCTATTTAAATGGAATTTGCCAGCGCTAGGTAACCAATTTCCTCTAACGATGATGCCTGAGTGCCGAGGACGACTAACTTTGAAAACAACAACCAAATCGCCATTTCAGGCACGACCAAGGCCTACACAGTCTGCAGGCCGCCACAAAGGCGATACCACATCATTGGTTGCCCAATGCTCCGACTTTCAGCGGTGATGTACTTGCGACTGTTGAAACTGATTGGCTTGCCTACGCAGGCAAGGAGAAATTCTGCTTAAGATGGGTTACGACGTGGAATGTACAAGGAGTCAAACGTGTTCAGCTCCAGAGAGACGATGGCCGGAACTCAAAGCTCATCCTAACGGTTGAAGACAGTATGATCCCTCGACCGGCATTTGAGGCGTGGGACAAGTCACAGCCTCTCATGTCCATATTATCATCTCTCCACTACTACCTATCTACTCATCAATGTTTACATGCTAACTTCATCATGCAGAGGCCGAAGCTGTCTACCGTTGTTACCTTGCGCGTGAAGCTGAAGAAAACGTGCAGAAGATATTTTGTAGAAGATTTGGAGCAAAGTTTATGGGCACTCACGAAGAAGACCTCAATATGAGTATTTGAGCGCCTGCAAGATTCTTTTCTTGTTATCTCGATGTCTTCTGGCTTCCGTTCTCAGCAAGTGTTTGTTATTAACTGCTATGTTGGCAGTGGATCATTCAACGACTTAAACTTCGAACCAGAGAGGCAGCTCAAGTAGTTCTACCAACCCTTCCTCAAGAACTTACGGCCTCTGCGAATACCCATACCGCCACTGTAAGCAAAGATTCAACCCTTATCAACCAAACTGCCCCAAGTACTCAATTACAAATCCGCCGCTACATTCAAAACTATTCAACCATGGCAGACGACCACATTGCAGAGTCCTCGTACGATTATAACATCCCCTTTTCGCCAGACCGGTGTAGCCAGTCAATAACATGCTCTTTCGCAATTGCCATGTAATCGGTCAACGCAAGCCACACCATCTGACAGCAGACATGCAGCTTCCACATAGACACCTCCCAGGGTTACTGTTACTCACGCAAGCAAGCTCCACAGCTCCGCAAAGCTCTCTGATGTGCATCCTATCTCCGCATCGACTCCTGCTGGAACCACTGTTATTAAAGCTAGACACATATCTGGTCCTGCTTATACCGTTGAGAGTTCCCCAATAGAATCAAGAAAACGAGGTCAAATCGGTTCGATGGACTTCAGCGAGAGAATGTCAAGTCGACCTCGAGTCACCGACTCGCCTGGCCTAAGCTCGTCCGGCGGCACATTCACACGAGCCTCCCACAGCACCTCCACTCAATTCAAGTTTGCTAGCCAAAGTACTCACAATGCTCAAACACCAAATAGAACATCCGCTATATCAAGCCAAACCGATGTCAGAAGACTTGCTAATACTAATATACTATCGCCATCTAAATCCTCTAGACTGCCAGCTTGAAATAGACCTGGATTTCAGGCCGCGAAACCAAGCACGGACAAGCGCCAGCAAAGCAATTCTAGACGTGGAGGAACTTCATATAAGTCATGTACTACCAGTGAGCAGCGCCATGCGATGGAACGTCTCCTCTCCGTGGAAATTGTGCGAAGGCCAGAAGATTACCATGGAAAGACACTGAAAGGAGAGTCGGACATGATAGACTATACTCTTGGTCATGGACGGTTGACTGTCAGTCAGTCTTCTTTGCCACATAAAAGTGTTGAAAATTCGAGAAAATTTCACAATATAAAATGATTCTACGTTGTAGTACACTTTTTCCCGTTACATATCTTACAATACCTATGAAAGTAACTTAAATCTACTTCTTTACCTCCTTCTTCGCACTATCCGCCAACTTCTCCAGCTCATCGGTCTTCTTGGTGAGAACGTCCTGTACATCTTTAAAAGCTTCCTTCAGAATCTTTTCTGCATCATCACCTCTCGTCTTGGCAACTTCCTGGAGTTTCATCAACTTTGGGAGGATCTGGTCTGCACCAGGAATCATCTTGGCGTATTGCTCGATGTTCTTTCCGAACCCGCTCTGCTTGGTCTTCTCGCCTGCCTGCTTGACATAATCTTGCAAGCTGTCGATATTACCTGATGAGACTGCATCCTTGACTTTCGCGAAGATCTCACCGATGTTGCCCTGCTTAAGTGCATCCGCATTCTCTTCGATCAATTTCTTGACTTCGGGACTCTTGTCGAGATATGGCTTAGCTTGTTCGAGACCCTTCTTCCAGGCCTCGTCTCCCAACTTCCTGACTTTCTCGGTCTTCTCCTCGATCAATTTCTTGATCTTACTGACAGTCTCCACCGAAACGCCACCCTTGACAACATCCTTGATCTGTTGATATGTTTGGTCGAGTTCCTTCTTTGCTTCCGGTCCATACGAGTCAGCCATTCCTTTCAACTGGTCCAATCCACCCCCAAGCTTCTCCTTTAATTCCGGGTGCTCATCAATAATCTCGCCCGCAGAATCCTTTGCGAGTTCTCCGAGTTGGCTCATTGCCTTCTCGAGAACTGACCAAGCTTTGACAGCAGTCTCCATGCTCAGGCCAGACTTTGTAGCCGCCTTTAACTCCTTGTATGCATTATTGACGATCTTATCGACCTCCTCGCCATGCTTGGCTTGTACCTTGTCGAGGTCATTGAATGCAGAGTCGACATATGGCTTTGCGCCAGGAATGAAGGCGGCATATTCTGAAGACAGTCGAGTCAGCAAATGCTTGATTGAAGATGCTTCATGCACGGGGCACCTGTTCTTAATTCGTATAGGAAACTTGGCAGAGGGGGTATGACATACGGCTGGTTGTAGATCGGAGCCATTTCAGAGCTTCATTCGGCTCAGGTGCGGAGTCTTGAATGCCTTGGGTAAGCTTCTGGAGCTGGGCCTTGCTGGTCGAAGCTGCATTTACAATCGACTTTACGCCTATATATATTTTTTAAGATCAGCACAGGCACGACTCAGTATCTCAGAGAGATCAAGCTTTTAGGAACTTCGAAACTGACCAGAAAAATGATAATAGCCGTAGCCAGCCTATCTGTTGTTAGCCGACCTTGATGTCGACCATATTGTTGAGCATGATTGAAGCTTACCAGGAACACCAGAGACCCTCCGGCAAGTCCTCCTACCAGACCTGAAGCACCGCCAGCTTTCGCAGCTTGTTGATTCGTAGTCTGGAAGCGCACTTGTCGAGTAGCTCGTAGTGGCGTCCGCGCTGAGCGAGCTGCTGCTCTCGTGGCTGTTCTTGCAGTAAACATTATGAGGGGTGGATGTCTGAGCTGAGTGGTGGAAGATGAATTGACTTTGGGTGGGGGGGAGGTAGAGGTAGAGGAAAAGGAAGAGGAAGAGGAACAGGAAGAGGAACAGGAAGAGGAGAAGGACGAGGACGAGGACGAGGACGAGGACGAGGAAGAGGAAGAGGAAGAGGAAGAGGAAGAGGAAGAGGAAGAGGAAGGACAAGGAAGAGGGGCAGTAAGTCCTTGAAGTACTGTAGCGGAGCTCTACCTATCATCACTGTGGTAAATTTACTTGCCCTGCCCGAGCTAAGGGGACCTGGAGGCTGGAGCTTGCTTCGCTTCCCTGCCTTCCTTGTCATGTGAATGTGAATGGGATGCGAGTGTTGCCCTGTGGCTGGCGTTACCTTACTGTAAGCCAAGCCTACCTAAGGGAGTGCCCAAGCAGCCAAGCCAGCCAAGGTACGAGTACCCACCTACCGTACCGTAGAATGTGTGTCGTCATGTGGGGAGGGGAAGCGAGACCCAAGGTACGTCATCTGTTGTTTATCCAAGGGACTGTACTCTGGTGTTCGTACCTACGAATACCTGTAAATTACCTACCTGTACCTACCTTACCTACCTTACCTTTACCTGCCCTTACCTACCTTTACCTGAGACACTCTGTATCTACTTGCACCAGTGCAGTGCAGTGCCCACCTTACATAGTGACCGATTTCCTGCTCCCCGGCCAGCCTTGAGTCCCTTTTCCTGCGCATAATGTCCAGGAAAGCAAAGCAAAGCAAAGCCGAGGGCAATATGGATGATGCGTATAGGTGAAGATATACTCCAACTTGCGAACTACCTATATCGCTGGCTCGCTCCAGGCACGCGTTGTCAGGTGGTACCAGTACAGGAGAAGGCGGGCAAGGGGGAGTTCCTGGTCGCCTCGCCTCAGGGGAATCGACAAAATGTGGGGGCAACCTCAAGCACAGCCATAGACACAGACACAGACACAGCCACAGCCACTGGCACTGGCACTGGCACTCGAGGCACTGTAAGCGAGACACACGTTCGGATTTCTGTTGTTGACATAACTACCTGTGGGCATTGACTGTTGACTGTGGACACCTCAGTTGACAGTACCTGCTGACTGCCCACGTAGTCACCGAACATCGAACAGAAATATCTGATAACGGGGCATTATTATCTGTGGGTTACCGATATGCTCGTGTGAGCCCCGCTATGCTTCGTGAGCCTGAGTGGGAATTTTGTCAGCTGTGAAGGAGGGATTCTCTACGAAATCCACTCTTGTTGGCTCCCGAATTTTATCCTGAGAAGTACTCATCCGATCCTATCCAAACGATGATCAACCGATCGGGACTATCTCAAATACAGGACTCTCCCGGGACCCAGTTTGGCCAGTGTAAACCATCATGTGCATACTCTGATTTGTTGAAAGATCAGGAAATCCATGATGCCGACCCGCCAAATAATGTTGGAGCCTAACCGAACTGGCGTCTATCTATTGAACATTCCTCGATACTAAGTCAAACTTGCTACTTCGTGTATTACGTACAGCTTGAGCTTCAAAAGAGATCCTACGGACCGCAGGCAAGTCACCTAGGTTTTCAGAAATATGAGCTTTTCGCCTCATGCTTGATGTTTTAACACTCGGGACTAGGAAAGATTAAGTCGTGATGCAATTCAAGCTTATATCTGAAAGCTTATCGCACTGTCAGGTCAAGGCACTACCCTGTACAGTACCTACCACATGCACCTCTCTGGAGGGAGAATCGAACCAGACAGTGGGGTTGTGGGAGCCGCCATAAATGATGTCCAGGGCGTCCCTTTCCATGTTCGGCCCTTCGGCCACCTTGTCTGGCATGATGGGACTGCCCCATCAGTATGAAATTGCATATATAAGGCGTTGAGTTCAGTCGCACTTCTTCCACCGTCATCCCTCGGTGCTCTCTTCGTCGTCGTTAGGCCTGGTCGTTTTCCCTAATTATGTCTTTTCTTAAGTTCTTGGCAGTTACTGCTTGGCTTACCTCGCTCGTTTCAGCGTTCGATACTCAGCTGGCATTCAACTCATTCGTTGAAGTTGAGAATCGGACTCTCGATGAGTTGCATCAAGCTGCCTTGAAAGAAGGCGGTACGGTTACGGTCTGGCATGGAGGGGACGAGAAAGCTCAGCAGGATCGTATGAAAGCTGCCTTTGAAGCTCGCTTCCCTGGCCTTACACTGAACATAACGGTGGATCTCAGCAAGTATCACGATGTGAGCGTGGACCAGCGTGAGTGCCCGCAATCGATGATGCCTCCTCAGCCAAGTCCATCTGCAATCGAACGCGCCGTGAACCTACTTCCGTCACTTGGCTTCTGACACTTGCTGATTATTTGCTTATGTAGAGCTCGCGTCCGGCAACGTATACGTGGACAGCATCATCTTGCAGACTTTGAACGACTACCCAAGATGGAAGAGCCAGGGCGCGCTTCTTCCTTACAAGCCTATTGGGTTCGATAGTTTGTACCAACCACTACCTTGAGTCTCTCCCTGCTGATAAGCGATAGACATATATGAAGAGTTTAGAGATGTTGATGCTTACTACACGGGTTTTTACATCTTCAGTTGGGGGAACACGTTTTACGCCAAGTATCTCAACGGAACAACGCCTCTCGAATACACCGATTATCTCAAGCCTGAGTTCAAGGACAAGTTAGTTCTCACGTATCCCAATGACGATGACGCAGTTCTGTATCAGTTCGATCTCATGTAAGTCATTCACTGTACTCTTAATATTCATTCAATGAGGAAAGCGATGCTGATCATGGATGACAATAGCATGAGGCAGTATGGCCTGGGTTGGTTCGAGAAACTGCTTGCTCAAAATCCAAGATGGGTCCGGGGATCAGCGACACCAGCCACACTTATCGCGAGTTCCAACGGGACTTACGCTGCAACCTTCACGTCAGGTGTTGGTGTTCACGGTTTCGATCCAATCAACGTCACCTTCCCAGTCGAGGGTTCTTTCGTCTCGTGGCCCCAAACTGGTGCTATTCTGAAGGATGCTCCACACCCGGAGACAGCAAAGCTGCTTCACTCTTGGATCCTTAGCGAGGAGTTCCAAAACTCCACAGGAACCTGGACTGTGAGAAAAGATCTCGCTCCACCGGCAGGCTTTCCATCAATTTTCGAGATGCCAGGAACAGATGCCACGAAGTTCTCACAGTGGATGTCCGACCGTGCTGCTGTTGAGAGACTTCGGTTCTTCTTTGAGGCAAGAATCGGCAGCGCCCAGGGGCTGTCTTCTCTCATCGATGATTTGTGAATGGTTGCAATTCATCTGTCGGAAGTTCAATAACTGTAAACATCTAGTTGATGGTTTGTCAAGGAAAGATTTCAATGAATCATTGGGTTGCTCTAATTTATCAACCATTTTGGTTCGGATTTCAGATAGAAACCAAGTAGGAAGGGAACACAATTGCTTAAGCATCCTCCTGACTGTGATCGAGGATCCAACAGCTACCTCAATTTATACTTCTTTATCTCCCGATAGACCATTTATGACCCTCAAAAAACTCGGCAAATATCACGCATGAAGCGCGAAACGAAGGCTGTCAATATAGCCTGAGACTTTTCCCTGGGTTGTATTTGATGACGCCCGATCTGGCCCGCATGCTTGCTTCCAATTTGTGGCCACCCTTGAGAGAAGGAGCCTATCCACATACCGATGAGGAAGGAACAAATGGGATCCATGAGCATGTATGCTGTTTGGCATACTGTCAGAATTCTCGGGGGCTAAAAGAACATCAGCAGAATCTATCTGCCCAAACTGTCTTTGCGGAAAACTCACTCCTGGTCCACTTCAACCTAGCTCAACCTGCTCCACATACTGCCACTTGTCTTAGAATGCAGAGTCGAGTCACTGACAGGCAGCCCAGATCTGAAGAAATAGTAATCCGTTCAGCAGGACCACACGGATGCCCGCTTTTTTGGCCATTGTTGATCCCCCCATCAGCCTCGTTCAGCTTGGGGTATAACATGATCTGTTCGACACTTGAGTTGTAGCTCGCAACGTGCCTAATTGCCCCCCTTTTATCTAGAAACTGTACGGTGATGGATGTCTTCGATTAAGTGAAGATTTGAAAGAACTTTTTTTTCTTTATACTATTATGAATGTTCTTGTCTTTTAATTCATTGCCATGTTGCCAATCTTGAAAAAATCATCTGGGGCGTCATCAACAACCTGAACTGTTTCTCAGGTAGCTACCACGACCACAGCGACAACCTCAGACGGCCTTGAAATATGGAGCACCTTGTTCATTGCAACGAGGCGTATGAGACCAGATTGGGGGTTCTGATGCAATAGTTCGCCTGAGAGATTTTTATGGAGGAATGAGAGGGATGGGATGGGCTTCGGTCGACTTTTTCTCCCTTATACATACTAGGGAGATGCTACTTGTGACGACGAGCTTGGATCAAAAGCTATCCTTTAGATGATGGTAGCAGATCAATCTCCCGAGTAGGAAGCGAAATCGAGACATCATGGACGAGTGCATTTCAGATTCATGTTTGAGACATTGGTGTACCGTCTTGATAAGCTGATCTTGTTACATTTCAACCATAAAGCGGAATGATGGGAGCAAGGCTCCAAGGGATTGTTTGACACTTTGTCAAGAAGTTCCTCGTCTCGACTTCGGAGTGCGGGTCGTTCCCAAGGAAGCAGACGCCAAGCGAGAGAATCAGGATCTCAGGAGTTCACAACGTCACTAGCAGAGAGCCAGTTCTCTTGTGAGCAAAAGAGCCGAATTTGTTTACACCTGGCGAGCCAATGAGCCAAGACGAGCGTGATTCCGACGTGGGGAGACAGAATTTTGATATTTAGGTGCGTACGACAGCACACGAGATGGAACGCACAATCATCCACGGGGACACAAGTCTACCCTCCTCTAAGATATAGACCCCAAAATGCAAAACCAAGATATCATCTATCCATTTCATTCATAACTCGTTCCTTCCATTCTTCTCCCCAAACATCTCCCAGACACTCTTGGGTGCCTCGTATTCCCCAACACTAACACCCACATAATCCATATCCAGCCCAAATGCCTTCGGCCCGCCCATCTCCAATCCCCGCTCTGTAGTCCACATCGGCGGTGCACGTAGCGCAATAACACTCACACGAAGTCCATACTTGTAGTCTGAGATTCCCAACGGCGCACCATTCGCTTTGTCGAGGAAGGTGATCAGGTCCGGGCAGACAGCGAGGACTTGATCGGCTTGTCCCGGTGTTTGAAGAATAGCGCTGAGGTTCTCGTTCTCAAAATCCACGAGCAAAGATGTGACGGTGTCGGATGTAGCAGAGAGACTTTCGGAGAATGCTTCGAGCAGGACACTTCCACGAGTGAAACCCTCAGCAACGTGCCGGGTAACAGATATTATTTTGCCGGTGAAGAGGAGGATGCCGTGCTCGGAGGCGAGAAGGGAGGTTACGGGGTCTTGTTTGAGGGAGCGGGAGAGCGCAATGGAGCGGCCGATCATCCACGCTATGGTATGGTCAGAATTAGAACGCCGCAGGGGTTAAGGTGAGAAAGGTACCATGTGAGAAGCTGTTTTTGGGTAATGTCCTGGCTTCAACGCCGTGCACTGGATTGACGCACATCCCGGAGAGGGAGCCAAGATCTGTACACGCATCGCGCATGAGATCTTCTGCGTGGAGGTTATCACGAGCTTTGGGGAACATCTCGAAACGTGTCAGCCTTGCATGAAATCCTGATGAGGTCCCAAGCTTACCTTTGTACTTCCAACACCATCTGCTACAGCAGCAGGGGCGATGGGAATGTCTTTCAAGCATCTGACTGTCTGCCATACTTTGGGGTAGGCCCTGGCTACAAGATCTGAGTCTAGCGCGCTTTTATTAAATCGATGTGCAGCGAGTAAAGCTTCAAAAGCGTTCATGCCTCCGATTTCGTTCGGAATCACGGCGTCAAATTTGGAGATTCCGGCTGCTTGCATCACACCTTTCATAGCTTCGGTGACTCTATAGATATATTAGCGGAACTCTGATTAGGATGCTTGTTAGCTTACTCTTTCAAACCTGGAATTCGTTCAAGATAAACAGTAGGCGATCCCTGTTCCAAAGATTTAGCATTTGCCTAATAAAAGATATGCATGCTTACCATAAACCCAGCGACAAGGACAACAGCATCATCTGGAAGTGTATCTTGCCGTCTGATGGTGATATGCTCGCCGTTCCTTAGGGCTAGCAAACATCCAATATATGCTGGGTACGGCTCGCCGCAGCTTCCCACGCCCAGTACCCCCGTCCCGTCCTGGAGGAATTGGAGATCCAGCTCTGACAAATACCAAAAATCACCCTCGATCCTGGGCCGATATCCATTGATATCGATATGCTCGGGAACTTCGTAAGAACATCCTTTAGTGGCAGCTGACGAGTCCCCAGCGCTCGCTATCCTCAACAGTGGAGGTGAGAGTTTCTCGCGCGTCTCGCTTGTTATGGGCGAGTCCGGTGAGGTGTGTGTCTCTTCGTATCCTTCTACTAGGTCTCCCACAACCCTGACTAAAAGTCGAGTTGCGCCATTTGTGACGTACGAGACTGGGACAGCATCGACTTCTACGACCTCGATCGTTTTGATGTTTCCACCTGCTGCAACACACCTTTCGGTGGCAAGAGCCTTTGCGGTTTCTATTTCTTGACCGATGGTCCTGGATCCTGGAACGACTGTCATATCAACCGCGCCACTGATTTTCCCGATCTGTGAAACATTAACACACTATTCATCTTCATTCTAGTGATACGTACAGCTGCTCCGACAGCATTGGCAACTTCAAGATACTTTGGCCTGACGACTTCACTAACACCAGCAATCTTCCCCGGGATGATAATGCTCCCACCTCCCACCAGAATTACCTTTGCATCTCCTTGCCTTGTCTTGACAATATCGATTGCTTCTTCCAGAGCTCTGTGAATTTCGAATAGAGCAGATGTACGAACTTGGGCTGACACATGATCTCTAGCGAGAGCTTTCTTTGACACAAGATCGGTAGCCTAGTTGATCACATTAAGAGTTTCTCGTGAAATCTGAAGAGGGATCGGACTTACTGTCAGTGTTTGGCCTCCAAATGAGATGCCTTCCTTATCAAGATCCGCGCCAACCGAGTCAGGGCCAACAGTCGTTTGAGCTCCCCTGACTCTGACTAGTGATCCTCCTCCTAGGGCAATACTTCGCACATCAGGAATAGTGAAGTTCGTCCTCACACCAGCAATCTTGACGAAAGCTGCGGATTGTCTCGGGTAACCCGTGTTCAACAACGCGCAAATGTCGGTGGTTGTTCTGCGAGGCTTTTAGCTTCGGAAAGTATCGACTAGGATCGGATACTCTTACCCTCCTACGTCGACGACAAGGATCTCGCGATCATCTGACATATCGGAGGTCTCTACTTTGGCTAGTAAAGCCGCTCCGCGAGCACTATTCGTTGGTCCTGAGGAAAAACATCGGACTGGGTACTCGGCTGCTGTGGAAGCCCTGCTTAAAGTGCCGTCGTTAAGGGTGATGTATAGCTTGCATTTTCCAAGTTTTTGAACGGCGTAATGGAACCCATCAATGACATGTCTTGCGAATCGTCGCAGACTAGCATTCAATATGCTAGCGTTTTCTCGCTCGAGGAAACCTAGCCTACCGATAGCATATGAGCATGAGATGTCATACCCAGGGCCAAGTTCTTCGGCAAGAACTTTTTGAGCCTCTTCTTCTTGTGTCGGGTTTGATGGTGAATATATGCCAATGATCACCACGCTGGTAATTGATTTCGACTTGATGATGGATGCTTGCTCTTTCAGTTGATCGATGTTCAGGGGTAGTATTAGTTCTCCATCGACTAGCTGATCGTCAGTTTTGGTCCTTTCACTCCAGTTCGCTGTAATAAGGAAGGTTTATGGCAATGAAGCATACCTTGGTAACCGCCATCCACATACCCGAAGTGGCCTTCCATCAAGGCTCGAAGTTTGGGAGGAAAGTCCACGAAGGGCGGAGAACCCTTCGAGTACGGCCCACATAGTCGAATAATTGCAACTTTGTCTAACTTGCTCGAGTCTTGTTCCAGGACAGCATTAACAAATTGCTACAGATGATCAGCATAGTTCGGTCTCGCATGCATAATTGCTGTAAGCGGGGTATTTATCGCTTGGTAATGGCTTTAGTCCGAGGTCTTGCCGCCGAAGTTGCAGCTTCTACACATTTCGCACTCTCGGATAGCATCAAGTTAACCCCCCTCTTTCCCCTCACATTTTGACTTTACAAAGAAGATTGAAACGTACCGTTGTACCAATTTTCACAGATCCCACGTGATCGGATGGTATCTTTGCTTTTTGTACGACAGCGGCAATTGCTCTTTCCACGCCTTCCTGTATATCTGTCGTGGTTGGAGTTTTGTGCCACGCGAGGACTTTGTCATTCTGTAAGATAACACTAAAATTTGATCAGGAACTTCCAGGGCTGGACAAAAAGTATCCCTCACCTGTCTGTGTTGGTACCGCCGACGTCAATTCCAATGACACATGAAGCTGGCTTGCGGGGAGGCATGACAGCCTCGACGTAGACTGGCCCTTCAGTGGCCTTGAATGTAACTGGTGGCGACATTGAAGTACATTCCAGTTGTTAGATGAGAGGAAGAGAAAGGGCTGTTGGAATTGACAGCATGGCAGGATCAAGTGGATCGTGAGAATAAGGTGCACGTCGGCTGGGTTTGGCATGCATGTTTCCCATAAGACACGAAAAACTTCCATCGCCTAGATCATATGTACCTAGGTACGTTCGTCGTCCACTCCAGGGCTCTCGGCCACATGGACTGCAGCAGTGGGATGAATCTTAACGGGTAGACCCAAGGTTTCCCCCCCCCTTCTTACCAGAGTCAAAGAAAGGCAAGCTACATTATTTGCCTGTGACGTTGGAGGCAAAAACGAAGGCGTTGGCGAGGCGGAATATTCATGACGGCGTCGCAACGGATCGCTGCATGGACGCGGATGGGACGTCGTTTGGTGAGCGAGATATGACTCGGATAAGATGGCCGATTGCACGCTGAGTGGTAGGCAGCGAGTCAGTAGAGTCAGTCTGGACGACAATTGCCACTGTGTGCACGTGGCCAGAGTTTCCCCGGCACGAAGCTGCCGCAAGAGGAAACTGAGACGAGGATTCTTTTGAGGGTGCTGAGGGTGCTGGCCAGTCAGGACGGGAGTCAGGTGTCAGGTGTCAGGACTGGATCTGGATCTGCATTGCTCCATCCTGTGCAGAGTTCTGTACTGTACCTACGAGTACTGTACCTACTGTACTGTACTACTGTGCTCACTCACTGTGCTGTCCCTGTGTCTTGGGAAATTTGCATTCCAGACTGACTACGCTTGAGGGAAGGCGCAGCTGGGGTCCGGAGGAGAGGGGGGGGGCGAGAGAGAGATACAGAGAGAGAGAGAGAGAGAAAGAGAGAGCGAGCCCAGCCGCCCTCGGAGGGAGGTGGAGCGGTCACAAACACTAAAGTACCTTCCCGCAACCTTTGGAGCGAGAGAGAGAGGGAAGCCATTTGAAAAGGGGTGTGATATTTGCAATGCAATGCAATGCAATGCAATGGTGGCGCGATGCAGGAGGTTGAGATTGAGGGTGTCGCTGTGGGAAGTTGGGTCCAGGTATGAACTGCCTCCCGCGCAGCGCCCCGAGGCCCCGTAATCGATGGTCGGTTGATGAGTGACTGAGGCCACAAGGCTTAACGGGCTCCCGCGCTCGCCGCGCAGGGAGTCGGCAAAATAGGGACAGGGACGGGAATAGGGATAGGGTTCATGTGGAGAGGGATAGGGATAGGGATAGGGATAGGGATACGTACAGTACTGTAGTTTTACAGTGACTGAGTAAGAACAGGTACGAAAGTACCTACTGTAGGAGCTAGGCATGGGGATTGGGAGTGGAGTCGGAGGCAATCATCCTCATCGGGCAAGGCGATTACTCGTTAGGTTCTACTCCGAAGTAAGGGTGAGGCCAGTACACTGGTACAGTAGCTCAGTAGGGTACAGTAAGCGAGTAAGGTAGCTCAGTACCTAGGTAGGCAAAAGAAGGGTCGAGGATCTACATACCTTACCTACTGTAAGGACGACAGTAGCACAGCACAGCACAGCACAGCACAGCACAGCACAGCACAGGACAGGCTGCTGCAGCTGACGGGAGCTGGGAGCTGGGAGCTGGGAGCTGGATGCTGGGAGCTGGATGCTGGGAGCTGGATGCTTGGCACTACCTAAGGTAGTAGCTCTCCAATTCCAAGGCTTTCCCCGTGCACTGTGCAGGCCCGCAAAAGGGCTTCCCCGGCCAGGCCCTCCCAGGTTTTCGCATCATTACCTTACCCTCCCCACCTCACCGAGATCCTATCGATTGGCTGTCTTTTTTCTGCTACTGCTTCCTTCTCCGGAGACTGTAATTTACATTTCCTACTGTAAATTCCACAGTTACTGGACTGGACTGTACTGTAGTTTACTGTATTGGTACTCAGTGTCCTACTGTCCCAGGACCACGTACTGTACTGTACTGTACTGTACTGTACTGTACGCCTGGTCTAGATCAGCTTCCCTTCGCCTTCAGAACCTCGGGCCTTGGAAGCATTCGGTTAGCCCGTCGTGTGGAAGTCTAAAGTCTATTTGATCGAGGGGCGTCCGGCATGGCCAATCAGCTCGAGCAGCCTCTAGTTTATGATTGCTTCATAGCTTCACGGCCCTGCCCAAACAAATTATTATTCCCTCTTCATCATGGCCACCTTTTTTTGAGGCTTGCTGGTAGATTACAGTATATGCTGCAGTGTCCCGTCTTCCCCCTCCCGTCCCGGAACGCTCCAAGTTTTCGACCAACCTGAATCCACTTTCCATCGTGCTGGGTCCAGCAGGCAGGGAAAGTCGTTCTAGATCTGCTGCTTCAGTGATTTACATTGAACTACTTGAGCAGGGCAGAGCCCCCTTCGCAAACAAAGTCAGCATCTAGTTTCCTCCACCCGCCGTCTGTTTTTGAAGTGCTTAGCAGCGCTCTTGTGCCGCGAGGTTTAGAGCCCGCCGTCTGAACTCTATCTCGACCTCGTGTCTACCATCAATCATGGCCGAACAAGACCGGCATACACCTGAGGAGGGAGAGAGGGACGACATCTCGAAATTGGCTTTCACTGCTGTAGCCGCGCCAGGTCCTGAGTCTAGCAGTGCCTCGACACCTCCTCATGAGATACATGACCTCGATCAGTATACCCCAGTAGGAGCTCCGGCGAGTAAAAAGGAAGTCTACTCCTACTACCTTTATTATGCAGGAAACAATGGCATTGGCTCCTTTCAATAGTAAGTCCCATGGGAAGCTTATAATCGTCCCATCACCCTCTGACTTGATCAGTTCCAATCTTCTATTCCAGAACTTGATCTACCAAGCAGGATTCAATCCCAATGTCCTCCCCCTCGGCAGTTCCTCTTGCGATGTTGACCCTGACGCCCCTTGCCATGTTTTCTGGGGAGGTGGAAACAAACACAAAGCTTATACTTCTGTCGTTCTCATCGGATCCGGCTTGACGTTCCTTTCACAAGCACTCGTCTTCATCACCGTTGGAAGTCTGGCAGATTTCGGTAATTGGAACCCATGGGTTGTAAGGGGCTTCTCCGTTCTGTCGTGGGCTTTTGAGTTTGGATTTTTGGGCGTCACCACGGCCTCAAAATGGAGGGTTGCTATGGCTTTGTACATCATAAGTGGTAATTTAGATCCTTTTACCCGGGTCTGACTGAACGGAACTGATTGGTATTGATCTATCTACAGGCGTCACGTTCTGGGCCTCGTATGTCTTCTTCAATGCAATTTTCCCTAAATTAGCCCACGACCTTCCAGAAGTCCGGCAAGCAAGAGAGGACTTACTCAACGGCACGATTGACGAGGCCCAATTTGAGCGAACATGTTCCATGAGCAGATCAAGGATCATGAATATGAGTTATGTGTGGAACAACGCCGGATTTACCATCTGCACCGCCCTCTCGCTGGCGGCACTCGTAGGTATTGGTGCAGATGATTCAGTCGAAAAAAACAACTGGGGATATTCCGTGTCAGTTGCAGTCTGTACTGGCTTTTGGATCCTACTTGCCATCCCGTGGTTCTTGTGGGAGAAGAAACGACCTGGCCCTAAACTACCAGCTGGAGACAGCTACTTAACTTTCGGATTCAAGCAGACTTGGTTCGCTGCGAAGCAGGTCTGGACTTTGAAGCAGACCTTCTTCTACCTCGTTGCCTTTTTCCTTCTCGCAGACGGCCTCAGCACGACACTCACACTCATCTCCATTGCTCAGGCACAAGTCGTAGAATTTTCTGCGATCTCAAATACATACCTGATCATGGTCCAAGGAGGATCCGCTGGTATTGGTGTCTTCTTCGCATACTATGTTCAGAAGTTCTTCAAGCTGCGAACCAAGACCATGCTCCAAATCACCAATGCGGGCTGTGTGATTGCTTCTGGATGGGGAATGCTTGGGATTTGGACCAACAAGGTCGGCTATCACAATGAATGGGAGTTCTGGGCGTTCAATGCGACCTTCGGATTGACTCTAGGGCCTCAATTCTCTTACGGCCAAGCTTTTATGGCAGAGCTGGTTCCACGTGGCAGAGAGTATATGTTTTTCAGTCTTTTGGGAATCGTCTCGAAGGGATCTGCTTGGATCGGACCGATTGTCAGCAGTGCCATTGTCGATGCAAACGGCAACCAAGTAAGCATACATCCTCGTTTCTTCACTTCATACCCAATGTTCTTGCAATCTCCTAAATGCTAGCCACGCGCTGAAAGCTGTATGAAACTTGTGCCTGACGATCACATCCCAACCTTCCATCCGCAGATCTTGAGAAGCTATAGTACTAATATGCCAACAGTGGACCGCATTCCCCTGGGCAGCGTCTCTGATTGTCGTCCCTTTCGTCGGGATCTTCTTCATTGACGAGGTGAAGAGCAGAAAGGAGTGTTCTGAGTACTTGGCAAGAGAAGCAACTTCTTTGAGGAAATTACAAGAGGAATCCCATGGAAAGGCTCATACAACCTAGCCTGATATTTTGTTCATATATTTTACCTCAGATTCCACCGTATAGTACCCATATCATGAAAATAGACATATGTTACTCGATACCACAATATACTGTACCGCACGTTTATTCACAAATAGAGACTGCTAATCTTGGCACGCGAGGGTGGGTAAGATCTCTATTTTCTCAACCAACTGCCAGGGACTGGGGTGAGGGTTGGAGACTTTGGTGTGTCTCCGCTCAACCCCATTATTGGGGTATCATACGGTACCTTGACAAGCAACTCGTTTGTGATCCTCCCCGGACGACGGCCTGGGGTAATATTCAAAAACAAGAAACATTAGATCCCGGATCGCTGCTATGCTCTATCGACCTGATTACTGTCATGCCGATCTTTGGTGCCGAGCTCGATTTTTATCAAAATTCCGTGAATCACCTGTAGGAAACTGAATTATGCGCTTCCGTCCCAAATCGATTTCATCTAAGCAGGTAGTCAATATTCAGCAGAAGAGCTGAACATCTGCTCATGGCCCGGGGCGCCTTGGAAGGATTTCTTTGACATCTCCGTTCGATCAGACGGGGGTCTACCAGACAAGCAGCGAAACATCTATGTGAGGCTATCGAGAAGACTTGAGGAGCTCATCTCAGCCTGCCTATCACGCACACGCCAGCATTCCTCAAGACGCCACAAGGGTCCGAATCGCCGATCTGCCCCAAAAGTCTGGGAGGATGAGATGGGATTATTGGCGTTTGAGATCGTACGACTTCGGAAGTAACAGAGTTTTCGGCTGAGACGTGAAGGCTCGAAGCTAGAAAACTGCTTGTCCTGAAGTGGTTCATTGCACCGTTTGAAGCGTGGGCTGCAAGCCGGAGGCGTTCACTGTTGTCCTGCTGTCCAGTTGTCCAGTTGTCCAGTTGTGCTGTGTGCTGTGTGCTGCTGTGCTGCACTGTAATAATGCACTTCTGCGGAACAGGGAATGGGCTCGAATCCGAGAAAGTTTAAAACCCGTCGTTCGACGCACGATTCCTGTCCTGTGTCACATCCGGTGCTTCCCCGGATGGCGCCCCATCATCCCATCATCCCATCCCATCCCATGCCATACACCCATCCGTTTAGCAAGTCCTTCTGGAGGTATGCTTCTTTAAAACATCTGCGTCCAGCGAGTCAGGATTGTTCGCAAGTAAATTTATGTATGGTGAGGCGTGCACCCGCTGGGGGATGGGTCTCTGTTGGTCTGCTAGACTTCTTCCAGCACCCACTGCATTTGAAAGACGTCGGCCAGCTGCGGATGGACACCCGATTTCATTAGTGACCTACTGGACCTGGGAATATTCTGAACTCTCATGGCAGCAGATCAAGCGCAGTTGACATGAAAACAGCAAGGCAGGGCAAGGAAGATATTTGGCACTCCTCTTTGGAAGGGAGGCAGCGGAGAAGAAATGCCATTTGCGGCATTCTTCTCCTGTCCTTGCGATAGTGCTCAGTGCTCAGTGCTCAGTGCTCAGTGCTCGAAGCGTTCGTCAGGCTCCCTTGCATCACTAGACCTTGGCCTTGGCCTTGACCTTGACCTTGACCTTGACCTCCCTTGCATCCCTTGTTGTGGTGGTCTAGGTAACTGCTGCATTTTGCATGTAAATTTAACTTGCGTTACCTAGGTAAATTCACGGCCGTAAATTCACCTCTGCCCTGGTGGTAAATTTACCTCTGTCCTTGATTAAATTTACCTACCTTAGGACTTAGGTAGAGGTATTCCTTCTTAGGACAGGGGCAGGGGCAGGGGCAGGGGCAGGGGCAGGGGCAGGCAATTTCGCAATGGGATCCTCCCTTGCCACGTGAGCTCCAGACCATCCATGGATTTCGCGGACGTCGGTACGGACTAGCGTCGTGGGCCAGCCAGTGGTGTTACAGTAAATCTACCTAGGTAGGTAAGGTAGGTAGGCGAGGTAGGTACGAGGTACCGTTGCCAGGGCTGATTCGGTCTCTTCACCACCGGCACCTACACCTGCACCTGCTTCTGCACCCGCACCCACTGCGTCTGCGTCTGCGTCTGCGACTGCGACTGCGACTGCCAGCTCCACGATCGACAACCGCTGCATCTCATCTCATCTCATCTCATCTCATCTCATCTCAACCTCACTCTGCATCACCATCACCATCACCATCACCCTCACCCTCACCCTCACCATCACCATCACCATCACCATACGCACCAGCATCCATCCCCCCGTCCATCTCACCACCACGCCCAATCCGCCGGCCCACCATTATCACCAACCAACGTTCCCTCGCTTCCTCCCACTCGAGAATCCCTTCCGGCTATATAGTAACTGTCTAGCCGCGCCACTTGTACTGTATGTGTATGGTTCTCGCGAGTGTGTCGAGACCAACACTGTAGCTGCTTCGTACGACCCGAGGAGCTGACAGCCAGCTCCTCCGCCAGGTATATAGCAAGCACGCTCAGCCGCTCCCTCACCGTCGCCGGCATGATTCTTGCGAGGCATTGAGACTGACGAAGAGATGGCTCCTGGAATGGGAATTAAAGCTCCGGTCCCCAGGACACGAACGGGTAGGAAATCTTCAAGGTCACCCAACTAGCGTCCATACTCACATGTCTCGCCTCTAGGTTGCCTGACCTGCCGCAAACGCAAAGTCAAGTGTGATGAGGCAAAGCCTATTTGCGGACGTTGTCAACGTCTCCAGCGAGAATGCACTTGGAGTGATGAATTACAAGTGATTCCTCATAAACGCCAATTCAGCCCGGCATCTGGGTCCTCAACGGAACAAAGCAATCAGCTGAGCAACTTACTTTCCGGTCAGAACTTTGTGATTGAGTTCCCCAATCTTGATCGCTCTACTATCCCTTACATGCACCACTTTATCACGTTTTGCTGCCGCTTTCTCGCTTATTCCAATGATAACGAGGGCAATCCATTCCAAGAAGATCTCATCCCCCTTGCAAGTTCATCCCCCGCTTTGCTCCACTCTATGACTGCTTTAGCTGCGGGTCATCTATCTCGCAGTCAGCCTCAACATGTCATTACTGCCGCCAATCACTATTCCAAGGCTCTCCGCGAATTGAACTCAAGTCTCTCAGATCCAGTCATTGCCCGTGCCGATTCTACCTTGGGAGCCTGCCTACTCCTATGTGTGTACGAGGTATGTTCCAATGTATGTTATCCAATGTTACAAAGCTGATTGGTTACATAGATATGCCAATCCGAAAGCTCTCTCTGGCTCGAACATCTTCAAGGAGCACGAGACTTGATTCTTTTCCGAGGTGGCCCAAAAACTAGCGATTATCTGACAAGATTCTTCTCTCTGCTCGACATATCCGGGTCTCTCTCCTCCGGTGGCGGTCCCTTGATTCAAGGCAATTACTGGATGGACGACACCTCAAGCCAAGATCCTGGCCAAGGCCAGCCTCGACGTCGCTGGCCGTACTATGATGACGGCAATGTCATGACCAACCTTTTCCACGAGCTAATGGTATTCATGGCTAAACTCTCACGCCTTTCAGCTTTCTCGATGAGCGATCTCGGCGTTCAACAGCCAGAAGAGATAGCTGCTCAAGCCGCTGAAATACACGATGAGCTTTTGGTATGGTGGCAACAATGCCCTCCTGCTCTGCGAGATCAAAGCAACGATTGGAGGACCCAAGCACGCCCTCGCAAGTTAACAGTCCCCGAGACTCTCGAAGAAGAAGCATTTTCCAGTACCAAATCCTGCAAGGATGGCTGCATCATTTACTTGAATCACATTCTCGACCCTCTGGGCGGTCAACCCCAGAAACAAGAAGTTATTGAGGCGATTGCAGACATTCTGGAAATCGCGAAAGAGATGCCAAGAGGGTATGGCTTGGAGATGGGATTGTATTGGGGGCTGTTCATGGCTGGCATTGCTATTTTTAATGACCCGGCTGCTGAAGAATTAATCCGGTCAAAGTTGAAGGCGGATACAAATTCTAATATTTACGTACGTACCATACTCTCACAACCATTTGCATATATACTGATCATCTACAGCATGCTGATCGCGCTCTCGACCTACTCGAAGTATTGTGGAAACGACAGCACCAGTATAGTAGGAAGTACGACTGGAGACAAGTTCAGGTCCAAATGGGCATCCACATGTGAGTTCCCTAGGCAATGAGTGAAGCAGGTTCTAAAGGATATTGTAGATTCATCCTAGCATGAGGATATACCCAAGATTTGACACTAACTCAAAGACCGCTTCTGCATCTAGCGGTGTTAGCATCGCCATTCGGCCGAAGTACGGATGAACGAGACCACTGCTGAATGTGCCATCGTGCAAAACTTGAACTTCACCAATTCCGACTGGCAACGATAGGTCACATAACTTAGCTATTCGAAGTCTCGTGCGAAAATGGACCGCGACACCCTGCCTGGTATTACCAAGGAGCTGACAAATGACTTCGTCAAGACCGGGCGGTTTCTAGCTCTATGGCTGAAGGGCTTGAATCGGTTGGTAAAAGTCTTGATCTTCAAGGCACCCGAAATCACCGTAGTGGGTCTGCCGTCGCAGCAATGGAAGCTTACAGTCACGATATTCCACGGTATTCCGAGTTAGCAGACAAGGTGGGACAACAACGATCCCGATGGCCAATTATCAGTGTGAAGAATGTTGCAAGTCGTACGGCGATACAAAAGTATGATCGCCGATTCGGTTCACGACGAAGGAACTTCATAACCGCTCGAAAGCGACCAACAAAAGTCCACCTACATCCAAAGTCAATATGTCCTCCATTGGAACAATTCTCTTAACGGGAGGAACAGGCAAGTCTCATCTCGCATTGCACGCCTCCTCTCAGCCAAGGCCAATCTGACGCTCTTCGCTTCTCGATCCGGCACTTCTTCTCTCCTTCCCTATTACCAAGGTGTGAAGTTTGATTGATATGACCAAGCTACCTGGGCGAGTCCGTTCTCGAACGCATCAATTGCAGCCGCGTTCGTGGTAGCACCAGAGGACTAGCACTCAACAGCACAAACCTCTGTACACCTCTCTGGATAGCGAAGTCAAGGTGTGCAGAGGTTTGTGCTGTTGAGTGCTAGTTCATTGCCCGTTGAGGATGGGCCTACGATGTTGAAGATCTCAAACTATCTCCTTACTCTCGATGTAGAGTATGCAATCCTGAGACCGACATGGTTAATGGGTATTATACCCCGTCCAACCTGAAAGGTGCTCCACACTGACGCGAATCAGAGAACTTCTCTGAGGTCTAACACTAGCCTAGCATCTAGAAAGGAGATCGTATCGTTACAGCGACAGAGGAAGGCAAAGTGCCTTTCGTGGCAGTATCCGATATAGCGGCAGTCGGGTTCTACGCGGTCACAAATGAATTGCCTCACAACACCGACCATGTGATTCATGGGCCTGACATTCTATCATGCGCCGATGTTCGTTCCCTTATCCTTCGTTCTTGTCCCATTTCATTTTTCCTACAAACTATTCGGAGTTTCAAGACGTATTCTGACAACCACCTCCTCAGGTTGCAGCTGTTTAACCATCAAACTCAATCGCATGATAGTACACACATCCATCAGTGAAGAAGAAATAGCCAATTTGCCCTCCAGCATAGGTTTCGCACCCGATCTAATTTAGGCTCTTGCTGCGATAGATACCGCCATCCGCCGTGGCGCGGAGAAGAGATTGGATGATGTGGTATTGAAAATCACAGGGAACAAGCCGAGGACTTTGGACGCGTTTGTGGATGAGGTGATCGGGACCGGCGTCTGGGAGAAGTAAATTTAGATTACGACATAGAGAAATGAATGATCAATGAGTGGCGTCGTTGTAGAATATCCCCTCAACTGCCGAAAACACACTTTTCCAGGGCACGGCGCTGAACCGAGGCGCTAAGGCTGCCTGGACGGCAACGAATTTCAGCGTTCTTCGCTTTATTATGGTCTCGCTACAGGTGTGTTTGATATGGCAGTTGAGGGGATAGCTTCAGTTAGATAGTGAGATTATTACATCTGAACCAGGAAATCTCAAGTAAATTCAAAATCTATCTATTATCATCATCTGATGCCATCAATGATGTCCTCTCTGCTCTTCTTTCTTTCTACGTCCGCTACCATCAAACCCGCATACTGAAACAAAGATACTAAAGATAATCACCATGATCGCCCCTCTCACCCCGTCCACCTCGTTCCTTCGCATCCTGAAAAACACACAAAAAAATATAATGCCATTTTAATGCCAACATCCATTCCTTCCATATACTCCCCCGTCCCCAGTCTCCCTCCCCCTTCCGTTCCGCACAGCTTCCTGCTTTCGAGCTATACATGCAGTACACCAAAACAAAAATACGCTACAGTCCAACCTTGCCAACCCACCATCGCACATCTCCCGTCACCACCGAAATCCTACGAATGCAGCGGGTTCGGCTGACTAGCCGCCAATACCTTCTGCATCTCCTCAATATCAACGATTGTCTCATTGAACACAGACGCCAGCCGTGTAACGACTTGGTTCCGATTGTACTCGCCGCGCTCCTTCCACAGAGACTCCATCAACTCTCTATTGATCTGCTCTAGTTGCTCGATCGAACAGCCGCTTGAACCGTCCACTAGATGCGTGATAAGATTTTCGACGAAAGAGTCGTCGATGATGATATCTTTCTGGGAGGAAGCTTGTGAGGAGGTTGGCTCGACCGGCGAGTCGTTCAGTAGGTTGGCGAAGCCGGTCGGATGGGACTTGGAGACTGGCATATGAGGACCGGTGCTGAAGGCTGGGACTGTGGGTGCTTGAGATTGTTGGCTTCCTGAACTAGGCGTCTGAGATGGTAAGAGCTGGTTGAGATGGCCGCGGGCCATGGCGTGAGCTTGCGAGTGCATCCAATCTTCGCTGCTGCTAGTGTCGGGTTGGGTATTGCCTTGGGTATCTGGGAGTTCGGAATCAATGCCTAGCCTTTCGATCGGGCTGGATGAGTTGTTATGGCTGATGCCGTTGGTGGCTTGTGTGCTCCAGCCTTCTGAAGTCTTCTTCCCCGAGGTGGTAGTTGAAGCATAGTTGGCCAAATCTGCAGGAGAAGTGTCATGAGAGATCTCTTGGAATACAGATCGTTGAGACAGCTGTGTATTTGGTCGAGATGGTCCACTAGTCATACTGGGCTGACCTGGCGGTTGCATTGCTTGTGATGCTTGGTCATCGGTCCCGCTCATCTGGACATCATCACTATGCGATAGTCCAGAGCCGTTCTGAGCGTGCGAAGGTCCAGTACCCGAAGTAGAAGTAAAGCCATTCGACAAGCCGCTGGGAGTACGAAGAGGTGTGACAATCGACATGGGCTGCTTTCCTGGTAAGCCCTCCCCTACGGTCACGGGTCCCGAGTTTTGTTCATCCGAATCCAAACCACTCTCAGGCATATCAGATTGGACAACCGTTTCGAAAGTACGCTCTGCAGCAAGACGCTTCTTATGCTTCTCCTCGCGCTCTTTTGCTCTCTGCAGCTGTCTTTGGTACACATTCTCGCAGTCTGCAAAGGCGGGTTGTGCCTCGATAGTTGCAATATCAACCTCAACATTCGCGAGCAGCTCGTTGGCTTTCAGTGCTCGCTCTTTGTCTCCAATGTGTTTGGCATCCTTGGCAAGGGATCTGATATCAGCAAGAAAATCTTTCGGACGAGCATAGAATCCATTGGATAGACGCTCTTCAATTGTCGTTGTTTCCAAGTTGTAGAAGAATTTGTTATTCGCAGTCTCCCGGAGGCCTTGGACGCCATCTTTATCGGTATCGAGTTCGAAAGGTCTAAACTGGGCGATATCAGGACGCACGAATGCAGGGTCATGCTCATCATACAGATACTGAATCTGGTGTTGAGGGATGACTGGAGTTCTGAATTTCTTGTACTTCCGGTGGATCTGATCCATAATTGGCTGAATCTGGACTTTCAACAAGTTCAAAAGTTGATGGTCTCTCTTCTTTAGTGCCTTGATTTCTTCTTTCGTGGGCTCCTTTGGTGGCGGAGGAGGCGCGACCTGTAATACCTCAAGCTTCCTCTTCTTCCTATTCAATGGTTCAGGGAAGTCCTTCGGAGCCTTCCGGACGTATTCAGCAATCGTAGCGAAGAACTCTATTCGAGATTGCTAAAACATGTCAGCTTGATCGAGACATGAGAATTGTTATCAAATTTACTCTTGAAGGACGCTCAATGACGAAGCGGTTTTTTTGTGAAAACCCAAACAGATCCCTAAGCAGGTCTGAATTGACTTTTTCCGTGGGACTGTCGGTAATTCCAAGGACCAGTACAGGATCGGTAGGCGGGATAGAGCGTAGCAAGCCAAGGAAAGTTGTTATCACAGCCTCACTTAGTGTGTGGTACCACGTATCGACTCCAGGCAGATAGATAACACTCGGTTTATGGCGTTTCACTTCGGCAAACAACTGCACAATAGCAGCTTCGGGAGACTAAGGTTGATGTCAGCAATGTCACTAAGAGTGTGGGAACGAAATAACTACTCTTGCAGAATCGCTATATATCGTTGGTAGATCAAAACTCTGCACATGGAGCCCTTCAAAATGGTTCAAGATTCCACCACCCAAGTATGATTGGCCCATGCCTGGCTCTCCACTAATGAGCAGCCTTGGCCTAAACACACGAGACTTCTCGAAGTCTTGCTGAAGTGTCTCTCGTCCGAAACCATGGTCATCGTCGTCATACTGCTCGTACATAGCTTCTTGCAGGGCTGTGGTTTTCTTTTTGATAGGGATAAGGCCGTCTAAGATTGACTCGATCTCCTTCAACTGGTTTCGAAGGAGAGGTTCGACCGCCTTAGGTAGCGGAGCTGCTCCAGATGATGTTGCTCGCTCGGAAGAAGGGATCATCTTTTTGACAGAAAGCATGAAATCTTTCGCCGTAACCTTGATCTTGTCAGCATCGACCAGGAGCTTGTCGTTCGACGAGTAGATTTGAGGGTATGTGCGCTGGATGGCGTTCAAAGCTGCTTCTGTGCAAAGAGCACGAAGATCAGCACCCCCGTAGCCTTTTGTGACGTGAGCGAGTGAGGTTTTGAAATTGTCATCGATACCCCAATCCTTGGTGTGAATATTGAGGATAGATTTTCGAGCATCTATATCAGGGAGCGGAAAGTAAAACTCTCGGTCAAAACGCCCCGGACGCCTTAGTGCAGGATCGATATTGTCTGGTCTGTTAGTGGCACCAATAACAATGACCTGACCTCGACCATCCATACCATCCATCAAAGCAAGCAATGTCGAAACGATAGAAGCGTGAATTTGTTCTTGTTTGCTTGATCGAACTGGTGCAAGCCCATCAATTTCGTCAAAGAAGATGATACTTGGTTGGGTCTTTCTTGCTTCCTCAAAAAGCAGTCGGAGCTGTCTTTCGGCTTCACCAACCCACTTGCTCAGGGCATCGGCTCCTTTGCGCATGTAGAATGTTATCTTTCTTCCTCCAGAGCCAACACTGGCAGCAAGTGCTCTTGCAAGTAAGGTCTTTCCCGTGCCAGGCGGGCCATGGAACAAGACACCACGCGGTGGAGTGACGTGAAACTTCAAAAAAAGCTCGGGATACAAGAGTGGCATCTGCACCATTTCTTTGAGCTGGTCAATGTGACCTTCCAATCCACCAATCTTACTGAAGTCCACATTTTGGTCAACACCTAGAGGGTCGGCATCCGCCAGCGCTTTCTGGCTTTTGACTTTCCCCAGATTTGCAGGTGTGCCACCGAGAGCTGCCGCAGGATCCTGGTGTGTCTGGCCCAGTCCAGGAAGCAATCCAGGTGGAAACGCAGATGTTGGGGTCATGCCCACATTGCCTCCCACTCCAGATGGCCGTTGCATTGTCTCATCGTCACTGCTATCAGAATCGACACCACCTGTAGCTCCGGTTCCCCAGGGACCACCAATGACTGGTGCTGGGCCACCACCGCCGCCAAATGGCCCGAATGTCGTGTATAGATTTCGTTCCCAAGGCTGGCTGGCACCGCCATTGCGTCCACCTCTAGCAGGGCGCCTTGTGGGAGTGGCGGCGGCATCTTCGCCTTCGTCCGCGGCGTAAATTTGGTCCATTGGCTTTATAGAATAGTCGACCGGCTTTCTTGTACGACCTCCTCTCTGCTCGTACAGAATCTCGGATGGTTCTCTTGCTGCTGGTCGTCGTCTCCTTCCACTAGGTTTGAGATCTGCCAGTTCCTCTGCTATTTCATCAGGATCAAGTGGCTCATCGACATCTGAACCAATACTCCCTCTTCTCCGAGAAGTGCTTTTCGATTTAGCTTGAGCTCGTCTGCTTCTCCCAGGACGGCTTGACTCCGAATCATCGTCTTTGTTTCTTTTCTTGGGTGATGCGTCTGATGCAGAAAGATCATCTTCTAGGGGGTCCTCATCGGGTTCAAAGTCACTGCTAGCTTCTGCGCCGCTCTTGCGTTGCTTAGATTTTGACCCACGAGTTAATCGCCGACTTCCACCTGCAGGTTGGTCTTCTGTAGCCTCCTCGATTGTTTCAGCAGGTGGTTCGATGTCGGAAGCAACAAGGCCGGCGCGTGATCCTCTGATGCGACCAGAGCGAGCTACAGGCATATCATCATCGTCGTCATCGTCTTCAGCATCAAGACCAGTCGCCGCAGGTTGTGTTGCGCCATCGTCTGGATTGGCAAGCTCATCGGCATCGTCTTCTCCCATCACCGCGTCGGACTTGTCTAGTGCTGCATCGGCTTCATCTTGATCGTCTGTTCCCGCAATTTCGGTAGCCATTGTAGTATCGACACCTTCTTGTTCGTATGAACTAGTTTCATGAAGCTCTTCCTTAATCGTAGATGCAGGTTGTTTGAGCCCTTTGGATCCTCGAGACGCGCGAGCTCGATGTATGGGTTCAGGACTGTGGCCTTCTCGTACAATATGATTCCCGGAAGTTGACAATGCTATTGGCTCATCGCCCTCCTCGGTGTGTGCCCTCGTGCTTCTACGGGCAGGAACGCCAGCAGATCTTGGCTCTGTGCTCCCTCTCCCACGTGTGCGAGCTGTACTGCCAGCCCTGGTTGAGCGTGCTGCAGCTTGAGGGGTTCCGGTACCGATCTTTAACTTCACAATCTTTCTTTTCGGACGCTTTGTCAGAACCTCCTCATCAGAATCCTCATCCTCTTCCTCGGCTCCGTCAGTAACCGGCCGCGATCGCTTGGTTGGGCGCTTCGACGTGGGTTCGTCATCGCTATCAGTGTTCCTGATCAATTCTGCAATGGAACTGTCGCTATCTTCACCATAGTTGACCGACTTTTTGATGGCTTTGCGGACTGGCCGACCTGTTTTCTCGTTCATTTCGATGTCCTCTTCGTCCTCAGGATCAGAAAATGATTCTTCTAGCAAGCTATCTTCCTCGTCATCATCCGACACGTCAGATCCCTTGTATTTGGAGCTCTTCGAGCGCTTCTTCTGCGGTCTGCCACCACCTGAATGACGTTTTGAGGACGACTTTCGAGACTTTTTGGGTGACGCTCTGGCCTGGGAGGGATCGAAGTCGGTGTCGTTGGAGTCGGACTTGTTAGGATCGAAGGTATCAAGCTTACGCTTTGCTGGCATGGCGATAATACGCGAAGCGCGACCTGAAGATGTAGAAAGTTCCGAGATTAAGGCAGTCTGGCCGTGGATATTCGAGGTCCCGCGTTTGTTCCGACATGTATGCACGAGACGTGACTTGGCGGATGGCGCTTGCTCAAGTAAAGCGATGCATCTGCAAAGTAGACGCAAATGCCAATGCGGCAATAAAATGCAACCGTCACGCTCCCTGTCGCAGTAGATGATTGAGAGATGACGAAGTTGTAGGATTGATGGGGTGCTTCAGGTCAGCTTGGGATACGATGGGATGAATGGAGGATCGCGATTTACTGCGCTAAGCCAAAACCGTACTAGTAGCACACTAGACACAACCACCTCAACACCAAACCAGCCCGCCATCTGCGTAACTGCGTTTGAGACCCAGAAAAGGACGGTTAGAAAAGAAGTTTGAGGCCTGGGTTAACATCCTCAAGACTTCTCGGGTCGCCTCAAAAGTTCCCCAGAGTCATGGCCCAAGTCCCGCGACTTCAATCCCCGGCTTTTTGGGTAACTTGAGGTCGATCCAAGAGGTTACAAGTGAGGTCCCAAAAAGTCTTGTTTTTCGAGGAAGCTTTCCTTTGTCTTCTTCAATAGTGATGAGGCTGAAAATAAGCTTATCTATTTATGGGTCGTTCCTGACTTGACCATTTTGCGGGGAATGACTAAACACGTGACCATTCCCAGTGGTCTTGCACTTGTTCTGGGCTACCTTGACTTGTTCGGCATCTCATCTCTGCATTTCGTTACCATCTAATATTCGTTTAAAATTTGCCGCTGGATCTCTTGCGGGTTGCTTGCAAGTTTGGAACATTTCTCGCTGGGTACCTTACCTCGCTTCCTTGCCTCCACATTTTACCAATTAAAGCGGTTGTAATCTAAGGTAATGTAAGGCGGGTCAGCGACCAACACAGCATTTGTCCGTTCTTCTCAGGCATATTCAATGACCAGGGCTATACCATACTCTCCAGCTCGTTGACAGCTAGTCAGAATGGCATTGGCTTTGGTCCTTATACACATGCATGACTGAAAATCCGTGAAATCCCACCTTGTTCCCCCTCAGTCCATTGCGTATCACAGAAGTTTTCACCGTCCACCGGTACAACTCTCGTTACTACATTGCCGTACAACCTTCCGCACTCCTACATGTCCAAGGCGGCACACACTTTCATCTGAATCCATGTTGGAATGGTGCAAGGGGACCATCATGACATTTCTTGGGCCAAAATTGCCGGCTTCTGATAGCCGTTGCGGAGATGGGCTTCATGGGGTACTCCGCATCGGGCTGTTGAATGGAACTCCACTATTTATGGTATGACCTCTACTTCTCAAAGCTATTTCTGTGTCGCCTCGTATCGTTCATCAACCACTCTCCCATCTTCTTCCTCTTTCTCTCACTTGAAGATTCTGCGACCCGAAAATGGCTAATCACTTACTCGTAGAAGGCTTCGTGATCCTTGGAGCTATTATCTCGTGGATCTCGGCTGCTCCTTCGGTGTTAACCACTTTCAGCAACTCTGTTCAATATCAGTTCGATACAGATGGCAATGCAATCGATCTCACAAGTAAGCTTGAGCCCCCTATTGCTCATCTCTTCTCAAAGTGCAATCAGATTTAGATTCGCCATTAGGCTTTATTTGGCTTAAATATAGCTATAAATCCTAACATTGTGGCTTCATAGGCGGCAAGATCGACTTCCTTGGTGGTGCCTATGTCTGGTATGGTCTTCACTTTGGCTGTGGCAAGGAGTTCTGTGGAGTAGCAAGTTATAGCTCTGCCGACCTCCAAACATGGCACTATAATGGCCTTGCCTTCGATCCCAGCATCCCGAAGATCAAGTCTCTCTGCAGTGCTCGATTATCAGGCAACTGTGGTCGACCTCATATTATCTACAGCGCAGTCAACGACAACTACGTTCTGTGGGTCGATGCTCAAACTCCAGGCTATGCCATCTTCACGAGCAATAGTCCGATTGGGAATTTCGTCTTAAGCGAAAATAGATCCTTGGTCGGATACCAACCTCCAGGTCCTTACAAAGCCGGTGATTTCGGTGTTCATGTCATCGACGACATTGGATACCTTGCATACTCCTTGATCGACTTCACAACACTAGGTGCTTCCATCTGGCCACCTTTCGTCCAAAGCATATACGTCCAAAAGCTTACACCAGACATGCATAACACCACCGGTCCAGCATACCACATAGTCACAAACAGTGATCTCGTGGACATGGAGGCCGAATCTCCAGACATCTTCAAACGAGGTGATTACTTCTATATCACTGCTTCCAACACCTGTGGATTCTGTACGGGCACACTTCTGGTTGTTTACCGTTCGAAGAATATTTCTGGATCATGGACTCGTCAAATTATCAGTGCCGATACCTGTGGAGGTCAGACAACAGGCGTTCTCACTTTACCTGCTCAACATGGTGGATCTGCATCATACATCCATACGGCCGACCTCTTCCGTACTGCTCCTTTTACGGGAACCCGCACTGCTGCCCATGGTCACCAGTTTCAACGTCTAGACTTCAATGCTGATGGATCACTCAAAGATCTGGACTGCTCGCTCTCGAAGTCGATCACGATCTCCCTCACCCAGGGATCCGGCGTCCCAGATCCAATGACAGGTCGTGCCGTCTCCGCTACGGACGGCTCAGGTGAAACAGGCTCTTATTTCGTTTCTTGCAATCTGCCATCATCTCAACTCTATCAAACCTGGAAATCATCCAAGAGCGGTGCACTTGCAGAAGTAGGAGTAAACATCGCTGGCGCCGCACCGACTGACAATCTCACAATCACCATTTTCCGATATGACAACGATACCAACTTCTTCACGCCTCACTACGTTTGGGAGACGTTAACCACTTTCCAGCTAACTCCCGCAAATGTCTCAGAAGCTCTGGCGGTTGTTCGCGTTCCTGTAGGAAAGGCTATCAAGCGAGGTGACAGACTTGGCATTGCGCTTGTATCGAGTAGCATCACCCCGATGTGTACGATGGTAAAGAAGAGTTCTCGTTCTGGTCATGATAAGAAGTTGTTTGCGAGTGGACCCGGTCAGGTCAGTTTACGGGGAAAGGATGGGACAACTCCGCCGGTCCAGGTTTTGGATCAAGAAATCAAGTGGTACGCTATTGTGAATTGATGGCTTAATCAGCAAAGTGTACTGAGGTCCTTTAACAGGCCAGGAACAGGTGATACTTTTTGTCAAGCAATTAATAGTAACGAGAGTGTCTCGTGTCATACTGAGACAAAATGAGCTGTTTCCACACAGTTAACTCCAGCCAAGAGGCGCCTTGGAGAAACATCGCGTTCCATTGAGAACTTTCTGCCATTACAATTTCGACTTAAATCTGTCTATCACTTCCTCAGATACAATTTTATCTCTCAGTATACTTCGAGCTTGCCTGTAGCAGACTTTGGAATCTGGCCCACAAACACCACACCCCCTCTCAACCTCTTGTGTCCAGAAACTTTATCAGCGACCCACCCCACAGCTCCTTCTCCCAAACCACATCCTCAACATCCCTAGCAGCCAGATTCTTGACTTTATAAGCTCGTGGTACCTCAGTAGTTTCGTCTGCATTCCACAGTCCCAAAACACACGCATCAACAACTTTCTCATGCCCACCAACAAGCCCGCCCTGGTCTGCTGGCGTAGCCTGGGCACGCTTATTCCTGATAAGCTCCTTCAGACGGTCCGTGATATACACATGTTTATCTGCTGTAATATGGCCGATATGCTCTGTTTTCATGTACCGTCCTCAGCCAAACAAATTGCCGTTGCAGTGGGATTGCTGAGATATCTTGAGAATACATTTAGTCCCTTGATGAAGGTGTCGCCATCCTCACCACCGTGAAGTAGCTCACCTGCTTCGTTTGCGACCTTCACGGGTTGGTTGGGGAGTATCTTGCCTGCTGAGCTAATCACTACCTGTCAATCATTGAACAGCTGAGTAGAAACGATTGGACTCGTTTCGCTCGGTCCCCAGGCTTGTTTGATAGGAAATTTGAGATGTTTCCAGACAATTTCGATCAGGTCTAGCGTCAATGGTGCTGCTACGGATAGAATTATTTCAACAACACTGCGGAGGCCATAGTTGTCGACTACGAGGTTTTGGCTAGTAAGAAGATGATGAGTGGGACAAGGTATGCGAAGGTAACTCTGTACTTTTGAATTGCTCCGAGGAAGTCTTCGGGTTCGAATCTGGGCAGGACGACTACCTTAAAACCTCTGTGTATTGAGTGTATGATGAGGAGGGCAAGTCCTAGAAGATATTAGCAGACAAGGCAAGTGTGGCGGCTGGTCATGGTCAGCACCATGTATGTGACAGAAAGGGACAACAGCAACAAGGGCATCGCTAGCCTGTAACTCAGCAAACCCAATATAAGTCATGAAGCGAATGTCCGACAACAGTTGCGATGGTCTTGACATCCTGGAATGTGTACTGACGAGAGGTCTTGACATCGACGAAGACAACTGTAGATGATATATCAATACTGGGCAACTTGACAACAAAGGTGTAGACTTACCTTGGTCGTCTGAGAAGTGTCTCTTTCCTGCAAATATAAATTCCCAGATGTCGGTTCGGGGACTTCAATTGGGAGAAATGGAGATTCAGTAGCCATTGTAGAATTCTCCACCTAGTGAGATTCAAGGACAGAGCCCAAATACATGACAGAGCGACGAAAGAAATGTGAAAAAACGAATAATGCAGGTCGTACCTATATTTTTATCCAGCCTTGAACTCCGAAACTCGCCAATCAGTGGAGTTTGGCACCAAGCACAGTTGCGCAAGACCTACCAACAGAATGAAGTAAGCTGAGTCTGCCTGGTCCAAAATCTGAAGCCCTATCCCTTCCACCCAAAGAGTACTTTTTAGTGCGTTAGTTAAGGTATTGGACAAAGCTTGGGCAGGGTATTTCAATAGGTCTTCATCCTTGAAAGTGACTGCTCGGGCTATTTCCCCTTCCAATTTACTCCGCTTTATCGTGCACCGACAAAACCTACTCTTTGGGGGTGGAAGGGATATTTAGGGGTTGCGTTGCCAAATCTTGGAATTCACCACAGCCTATGGAAGCAACAGAAGCTGACAGCAAGACATTTTGGTTAAGTATGTCCAGCTCGGTGAAGGCACTCATAGCGTGTTATTGAACTGGAAGATGTGGGATCCAAATCTGGAATCAACTCTGTAGCCAGGGGCTAAGGAACGGGTTTCGGTGGAGATGTGGCTGTACATTCGGATTACGGGCACGTTGAGACTTTACTCTCAGTTGTCCGATGACTAGTCTAATGAGATGAAATAGTTCCTTCATTATAAATAGGAAATGGTGCGTTCACAAGTCAAAGTAATCAACCTTCCAAAAGTAGGATTGGTCCATTTCCTAGTCCACAGGGACTTTCCCGACTTCCAACGCGGAGAGGTCTCTCCGGAGGAATTTCGGACGATCCAGGAGCCAAAACAACTCTACCATTTGTCTTCAGCAGTCATGAATAATCATTCTGGATATACGATTTCCAATAGGTTTGATGTTACGGCCGAAGAGCTCTTGTGGTCCAACAGCAGAATCGAGCTCAGACGGGTGATATGCTGATTGAAAGAGCATCTCAGTAACAGTCAGGGCTGAAAAAAGAATCCTGATCGCTCGCAAATCTGATGTGTTTTCGTAATATCAATCGAAACCTCGTTGGATGCAAGCCTAGGCACCTATATGTGATCGTTGCACCATTTTCGAACCTACATCGTTTCTGCTCTTGAGCTCCCTAAAACCACCTGCAGTGAGCGGGAACACGTCACAAGGACGTCACTTCGTTCCGATATCTGGCTCTACGTAGATTCAAATTATTTTACACAACAATTTGTCAGTACAGTTCCCATCGCGACGTCTCGGGTTGCAGTGCTCCGTCCAGCTACGTTGTCCGCTTGCACAAAATCCGCACAACCTCGCATAATTATGTACAAAGTTGTGCTCAACCAAAACAACCTGACCCGAACACCCCAAGAATCGTAACGCTAAACCTTGACTTCCCCACTTGTCATCCTTACTCTTTGATTTGTAACTTCAGGAGACGACGATGCTCAGAGTATGTTGGAAGCTTTGTCACCGTTTTCCGTTGCCCGTTGCTGTTCGTCCGAAGACTCGTCCGTGTCATAGGTCTTCGTACGTGACATGGGACGTTCTATGCAGTACGCCAAATCTGAAGGCCTTGAGCCGCCAATAATCAGTAAGCTGTTTTGGGAAAAATTGGTAGACTGAGAAATATATATTGCACACCCTTTTCCTTCCTGTTCAGACTCGCCCTATCAAGAGGTACCTACTTCAAACGCACACATCTTTCATCTCGTTCTCAATTTGCGAACTTTATAGGTTTCTTATCACAGCAATGTCTACGCAAATCAAACCTCTTCAACTCTATGGCGGTATACTTGGCCCGAACCCAGGCAAAGTCTCTATCCTTCTCACCGAATTAGGCATTCCCTTCGAGGCTGTGAAGGTTGCGATGACCGACATCAAAAAGCCGGAGTACACTGCGCTCAATCCCAATGGTCGCCTTCCCACTCTCATTGATCCAAATACGGGTCTCAAGATCTGGGAATCTGGTGCTATCATCGAGTGAGTAGCCTCGGAAGCTTTTTCACCTCGTCTTTCTCAACCTCTCCGCAAAAAAACTAAAACACCATGAACTAATCTTCCATCCTGAGCTAGATACATCATCGAGAAGTACGATACCGAGTACAAGCTCAGCTTCCCGCAAGGAACAGAGGAATATTTCCACTGCAAGCAATCTCTACATTTCCAAATGTCAGGGCAAGGCCCATACTACGGTCAAGCATGGTAAGTTGCCCTGTCCTACTTTCCTCTCCTTTGCCCATAACAACTTTCTCACAGCCCAGGTTCTTCACGCACCTCTTCACTGAGAAACTCCCCTCGGTAATCGAGCGTTATATGAACGAAATAAAACGCGTACACGGAGTTCTCGAGGCACACTTAGCCACACGGGATTGGCTTGTCGGGGACAAGTGCACATATGCGGATCTTGCTTTCATCCCTTGGCAGGAAACTGCTGGAAAGTTGGCGGGGGAAAATCCTATGTTCTATGAGACTGAGAAAGACTTTCCCAGAGTGAATGCTTGGTATAAGAGGATGATTGAAAGGCCATTGCTGAAGAAGCTGATGCAGGAGAGAGTGGAGCAAATGGCCAAGGCCATCGCTGCTGGGAAGCATTGATAATTTTTCGCTGCTGTTCAAAAAAAAAAACGCGAAGATAATGTTCTAGGCGTTGTTTTTGGTTTTTTGCTGACACGGATACCGTGGAGATAGACTGATGAATTTGACGGGTATTTGTCGTTGTTGATCTGGATCATTTCTGCTCCTGTAATGCTGAACATTCAATGTCAGATGGTCAAAGTCGAATCTTCCAAAAGATGCTCCCAGTGGAAGTGCTGAGGTCTGTAATCGACGTTGTGAACCTGAGCCTGGACTTCTTTGGGGCTGAAAGGCACGAATATTTGAGAAGTATAGCTAGTCTTTTCACCACTTGCGACAGAAACCTCACCACATACAATCTCAGGCTATTACTCCATTCAAAGTTGCGCTGATGACATTCGTAGGGCAATATGTTTTTGTAGTACAAGAGTTCTGCTTCAAACAGCGCACTAAGGGTGCTCTTGGAATTTCTCCCGGGGGCGGGGAAGGTGGGAGCAAGGCTCTCTCCTGACCCCAGAAACCAAATCCCATTCTCTATTAACCATTTCCTCTCCTGTTCCACGACTAAATTATTATTCATGGCATTAGAAACGTTCCGATACCTCGCTGCTGGAAGCGATGGCAGGTTTCACTCGAAGGTATCACATGAAGTATTCAGCAGTGGCGAGGTATTGATCAGCGTCCTTCTCTGGTGTTTATAGCAGACGTCCATTATCGGAATTCTGTATAATGGCTTGGAAATGAAGGCGTAGTAACTGGCAACAGAATGGGTGATACTATCACAGCTGTATAAGTTAGCCAGAAAGTCGGCTGGAGGTGTGTTGCACCGTCTTTTGTTTCCATTCGTCCCATCAGGATCACTCACAACCCTTCATAGTTTGCAATTCTCCAAAGTACATTTTCAAATATCGATAGATCCAGAACTTACCATAAACTTGCGATGGAAGAAGGTAGTCATGTCGGTATTGCCGTGAGTGCGCCTCTGGCTATCACCAAACTGTCCGGAGTCTCGTGGTCAGATGTACAGCGAGTATGAAGAAGGAACCCTTGCAGACTTCGCGCTCCAAGATCAAGATTTCGTTTATAACATTCCCAACAAAATCTAATCGAAGCATGCTGGCTCGCTGCAGTGTGTTGGAGTTAGTATTTCTCCTATCAAAAAAAGGACCATGTACTGATTTTCCCCAGGCCACGATTTACGAAGCTTTGGATGTAGCTCATACAAAGCCGTCCGATCCAGCTCAAATCGTCGATCGGGGCGGACTGGGGCAGGCATCTAGTTATGCAATACGCAAAAGCTTGGGGATTGGATCCTTTCGCATTCTCCCAAGGATGAGAGCAAAAAGAGACGATGCGATGGAACTTGGACGGATCACTTTTTTTGTTATCCCCTCATCCAATGACAGAAAGCTGGAGGTTTAAGACCGAGTGCATGTCTTGATTCTTTGCGGCAGCACGCCTTACCAGACTTCGGGAAGTGAGGTTTCTTAGCATCTTCATTCTGGGCGTGTCACTCATATGATTGCAGATTCATTCAAACTTTTCGTTCGATGGACGACAATCGTTGCATTGGTCACCCAGGGACAACCACGAGTGATTCGTAAGTCATAGAGCCGTTCTCATCATGTGTGCTCACAAATGCAGAAACATGCCCTTCTTTCTGCCAGGACATAGGTTCATGTAAGTACTCCCCCAAAATCTCCAACAAGAGATCTAGACTCAAGGTTGAATAGCCTTGCAGAAGGAGTACAGAAGCGTCTCGTAAGAACCTCCTTGACGCTCCCCCTTTTGAGGTGAAATCAAATCTTGATTTATAGATTTTGGTGCGAATTATCCGAGTTGGACAGACTCATGCAGTCATTTCGTGTGGGAATCCAATCTAAACAAGAGCAAGGGTTTCCAGAGAGGGGAACAAGAGCAAGGTTCTCCTTCATCTCGTTTCAAGGAAGCAGCCACGAGTGCATGAAAAACGGCGCGGGCCGCTGTGCGTGATGACCACGGCCGTTGGGAAAGAAGAAAATATGGCGCTTCCCCGAAGCTCCAAAGCTCTCTGAGAAACTGGCAACAACGTTGCAGAGATAGTGTAAGTCGTAGCGCCCTCCAGTTTGGATGATACGGAGGCAGGGAAGAATCGCTTGACGCAGTCGCGTATTCTCTGATCACCTCTTGTAACAGCCACCTTTGTGAAATCTACATTTTCTGCTGTCGTTCTCTTCAGTCAGCCGAGAGACCAGTTAATTAGCATGGTGCCATTTAGGCAGCCCCAATCCATGGCAATTTGGCTTGTACGACAACCTCAATACCCTCAACCTGGCTCCCGAGTCTTGGCAGTATAGCTACAGTACTCTACATTACAGTACTGTACTGTACCTACTGTACTCTTTGTTACTGGTGGCTAGGCGGTGGCTCCCTGCTTCGGTACCTTACCTTTGAGCTTCTTTAGCCGGCCACGGTCTTCACCAGGCAATTCCCAGTCCACTCACGCTGGCGCACCAATTCGATACGTACCTATACGCGTCTGGTTTTGCAGTCGATCTCAACAAATGAAGGTAAGAGATCCGGAGCTTCTCTTAACAGGCTGCGATGGAAGTGCCAATCGACTCCATCTCGTAATCGGAGTGTACGCTGTACAGTACAGTACCTAGGTAATAATTTACTCCTCGGATATATCCGTCCGTCATGTCTCATCTGAACTCCGCGCTCTCCCCACGCCCACGCCCAAGCCCACGCCCACACCTGGGTAAATTTACGCTATCCACCACTCCCGTCCTCCCTACTCGTACCCTCTACCCTACCTACGGGGCCTCGGAGCGTACTGTACTGTAGCAGGCTAGTCCAGCTCCCCCCGGCCGTCCCATGTACCCCATCCCCGTCGCCCCCGTCGCCCCCGTCGCCCTAGCAACGACGCGTTAAATTCGGACGCATCCGAACGCGCCGCGGTCCACTTAAATGGATGGAACTCATGAACCTTGAACTCATCTAATAATAATGGATGCCCGTGGACCTGTCAACGCAGCTCTCCAGCGGCCCGTCCCCCTGGACCAGTGGACTGGACGATTCGTCTTGGCTGCCGTGTGACCGAGTGAGGAGCCCTGCAGTGCGGAGCGGAGCTGAGCTGAGCTGGGATGAAGTGAATTGGATATGGCTCGACCTGATGTGAACACACTTCTGCACCAAGTGCAAGGTGCAGACGCTGATGCAACACCTGAGCTCGCCGTGCCACTGTTGTTGTAGCGATTCGCTCTCTGTCGGTGGAGACTGCTGCAACATTGGGCAGCTCTGGAGTCTGGACGAGTCGACGTGGCAGCACAGCATCCTCGAGTCGTATTCGCTGCGTGCCTTTGTTTTGATTTCCTGATCAGGCCGTCGATGTGAGGGTGAGGGTGAGGGTGAGGGGAGATGAGTGAATAAAATGAAGATAGTGGCGGGATTACCGTAATTTACGTAGTAAACTTAGATTAGAACTAAACTTCTAAATTTACGAGTACTGTAAGAAAGACAGACGAAAAGGCCAGCCAGAGTCCTCGGACCTTCGTCGCTGCAGAATAATGTCACCATCCAGCTCCCCTCCCCATAATCCATCCATCCATCCATCCACCCACGCTCCGATCGGGTGCTGAAGATTGTCTCGGAGAACTCGAAAAGTCGCCCAATACTAATCTCGAGGGAGCGCCAGCGACAGCCATCCGTATCTTACTGCAGCTGCAGCAAGATTAGGTCGATGGGTGCAGTGCCAGTGGGTGAGTGCCGCTGCCCTACCGTAGTTTTTTTTCTGGGCGGCCGCCTGTAAACAGATTGGCACTTGAACCACCGCACCACAATCACACAACGTCAACGACCTACGCCGGTACAGCACAACTCGAAGACGGTGCAACCGTTGCAAAATCGGACAATTTGTTACATTGAGGAGTTTGGGGTTCATCTTCGCCTGCAAGCGTATCAATTAATTCCTTTCCGTTGTGCTCTGTTTGCGTTGCGTCAAGGTATGTTGACATTCAACTCTACGATGACCATACAGCAACTGATGTCTGCCAGCCAGTTTCCTCACGACCTAATGACCTGTCTACGACTTCCTGATACCCATAACATCCATTTGATCCGAGACGGAGAATTGGCCGTCGCAACCGTTGCCGTGCACATAGACCGTTGGGCTCCAGTACAACAGGCGGGGCTCGCAGAAAAACAACAACCATGAATCCTCCACCACCTCCCCCGCATGGGGAGAACCCCAAGTCTTCAGGTCTGCCTAATGGAAAATATGATATCTTCATCATTCCAGAGCATTCAGCGGGATCGGGCTTCCTGTACCTTCCTTCACTCAAACCGAACGTCAACAGTTTTGCCGCAGGGTTTGCGTCAGCTCTGATACTAGTGGTGGTCGGTTCAGCATTGGCACCAGCAGTACAGGCGTGGTGGAATAGTGTGAAAGGTGCTGGAGGAGCAGGTATGATAATGCTCATGCTAGCAGTCGGTGTTGGTGCATGGGCATTGGGGAGGATACAAACGGATGGGGGTCCCGGACCGGGTGGAGGAGGCACCAGCGGATCGAGTCCGAATTCTGGACCACATCCTAATGCGCACTCGAATGCACATTCTAATGGGTACGCAGGTCCCCCTCCGGGTACAGGCCCAATGCCAGGTGCTGGATCGATGCCTGGCGGAGGTGCAGGTGGCCCAATGCCTGGGGCCGGACCTATGCCTGGAAGACCAAAACCATCATCGTGGCAACGCCCGCCACCTGGAGCAACTGGTGCTGCTGGAGCAGGCTCTCCCGGAGGGAGTGAGCCAAATGCAAGTACAAATGGGTCGGCTGGAGCTGGTGGAGCTGCTAGAAGTGCATGGGAAAAGGCGCGGGAAGAAACCAAAAAGAAGCAAGAAGAAAATAGAGCCAGAGAAGCAGAAAAGAAACGGAAAGAAGAACTGGAGAAGAGACTTCGAGAAGCTCGAGAAAAGGAGGCCCGGGAACGAGAAGCCCGAGAAGCTAAAAAGAGAGAAGAGGACGCCCGGCAGGCGAGGCAGAAGGCAGAGGAGGATATTCGCGAAGCAAAGAAGAAGGCAGACGAAGCTAAGAAAAGAGCAGATGAAACGCAAGAGCGAGACAAGAAGAGGAGAGAGGAAGAGGTTTTGGACAAGAAGCGGCGAGACCTTGAGATTCTGGAGAAGAGGTTGAAAGAGGCGAGGGAAAGGGAAACTCGTGAGCGATTGGCACGAGAACAGAAGAAGAAGGACGACGAAGGAGTCAGCAAGCCTAGGGGAAGTACGTACGCCTTTTCAGCTGTTGGAGAGAAAACAAATCCTTGGCCTCGGGGACGTCCAATCACCCCAGAGCCCCCTAGCCCCAACCCTCCATCACCAACTAAGAGACCTCCTCCACCCACAGCAAGGACGTACAGAGATGCAGACGAAGACGCGCATTCTTACCGACCTTACGACAAGCCAAAGAAGCCAATGCAACATAAGAAGTCACTATCCTCCTTGTACTCCGAATCTTCTTATGCAGCATCGCATTCGACTTCACGAACTACACCTCCTCCATCACATAGGGGTCCGTATAGCACCAAGGATCCCGACAAAATTGTTATAAAGGCCGTATACTCCTTCAACAACGCCTTCTTGAGGACGCCAACTTCGCAGCTCATTTCGGGGGTAGGACCAGTAACGGATGGGTTAATTCTCAGAATAACGACAGAGGGTCTGTTTATCGATGATGATGTCCGTGGCGTCCCACAACGAGAGTGGGACGTCAAGGCTTGGACAATGAAACTCGTAGAGGTATGGTGTCCATCTTTCCGCCAGGATCCCGCTGGCAATTCTGCTTCTGCGCGCACTGCTTCGAATGGATCTCCACAAAAACACAGTAACTTTCGTCGACTTTGGGGCTTGGATAAGGAGAAACCTGCCAGCTCCGAAGAGACTGATGCGCTTCTTATCGAAATGTTGCAGCTTTGCAAAAACAATTGTCGTTTGCGTTCGAATTCCTCTGCTTCTTCTGCTTATAGTGCGAGTTCTTACGATAGCCGCTCGTCTGTATCTGATTCAGCTTATGGTTCTTCTGTTGGCTCGTCGTCGCCTTCTAGGGATAATTTGAGAACTGACAATCGTGGGCATCAGACAGGTGAATTGAAGACCGCAAGACTACATGTCTTGAGAGCCAGCATCCGTGATCAAGAAGGTAAGAAGTATGTCTTTGTCGTACCCGAAGAAGAGAGCTGGAAGGTTGCCATTGGCCTACAGAGGCTACGAAAGGGAACCCAAGTTAGAGCATTGGGTGTCAGTGGCATGAGTGCTGGGGATGCCAGATCGACTTTGGAAAACCTGGGTTGGGGCAATTGAGGTCGACAACGATGAATTCACAATAAACGTCAAACACGACACGAACACGATGGGGACGTTTGTGCGGGATTGGAATGCGTGAGTTGTCTATGGAGAGGGTATGGAATGTGGATGGATATTGATTGATTGTTTATCTGGAATGTGCGAACACAACCAAGCAAGCAAGCGTTGAGCGAACTGAGCGGCATTTACATACATCATGGCGACGGAGTTTAAATTTTCTCCCTAACGGGAATGGATGGATAGACATTTGGTCTCACTACCAAATTTCACAAGATGTCAATCGCCAGTTGGGGTACCTGTGGAAAGAACGAAACGGAAGAATAAATACAACTACTAATTTTGGACTTTTCGCGGTGCATTGTGTGGAACGAGAACTCTTTCGATCACTGTTTCATATACCCTTCGGCTTCAGCCTAGTCTCGATTTTCCCCGAATGTTTATCTTCTCAGATAAATAGGCTCCATCTCGCTTCGAAGCTCCAACTCCGTGATTTGCCACGAGCACCGAAACTCGGGGTTGGCGGTCCAGTAACATGCAAATGTGTCAACGTACGACTTTGTTTGTTTTACGATCCCGTTGTCTTTGCCAAATATGCTCGCAAATGATCCTGTCCTTGGGTCGTACCTAAATAAATTCAAGGCAACAGTCACAACCATGTTACTCCGAAGCTTACACAGCGGATCGACGCCGCAGAGCAGCGTCACACCATATTCATAACGTCACTTGGAGTGAACTTGTATAAAAGGAGCCTTTACAAGCGCCCCCAATATAATGACCATGAGAATCAGTACCTCTAACACCCTCATATCAGTTATCAACAATCTCTTAGAATATGACCAAAACGACAATCCCGATTGGGCTGCCATACCCCAATCCAACGAAAGCCTATTGGCAGACCCCTCCCCACCACCTCTCAGACCACCGCACCACAGCCTTACTCCCATCATCAGCCAAGTATTTAATCGTGGGATCAGGTATCACGGGGGCTGTCACAGCGTTTAAACTTCTCCAGGAAGAGCCAGGCGCTTCGATCGTGATCCTTGAGGCTCGACAGGCGTGCAGTGGTGCGACGGGTCGAAATGGTGGGCATTGTCGTGCTGGGAGGTATTTGGAGTTCAGGACTTACTTGGAGGAATTCGGAAAAGAAGAAGCGTTATTGATGGAAAAGCTGGAAGAAGAGAATGTGAGGAAATTAGGGGAGTTTGTGAAGGAGCACGAGATAGACTGTGATCTAAGGGACGTTGAGACCCTGGATATCTTCACGGATGACAGGAAGTGGGAACGTGCTTTGGCATCATTGGAAGCGAGGAATGACGTCTTAGGCGGCAAGGTTGAGACAAATATCTTGACGAAACACAGGGTATGGAGTGCGAAGGAGACCAGGGAGCGGTTATTGATTCCCGAAGGGGTGGGGGCCATATCATTCCCTGCATACGTCCTGTCGCCGTACAAGTTCGTCTGCCGTCTTCTGGAGATATGCATCGAGCAAGGCGTGAACTTGCAAACCAACACGCCGGCACTTGAGATATCGCAATCCTGCCCACGGGGCTCCCAGAGCTACTGGACGGCCCACACGGATCGAGGAGACGTCAGGGCTGAAAAGGTCATCTTGGCGACAAATGCTTACAGCTCGGTACTCTATCCTCCTTTGGCGAACTTCCTCATTCCAACAAGGGCCCAAGTGGCTGCTGTTCGACCAGGCTCGAACATTGTCAATAATCCTGCGCTAACGAGGACCATGGACTTGGAAAGCCATGTCTCGGGAGATTATATGCAGGCTCGAGCTGAGGGAACAACTGGAGCAGGAGATATCATAATTGGTAAGTTGTTCTTCGAGTCTGCATTCTTGAATGGTTCTTACACAGGTGGCACTGAATCGAAAATCTAACCTCACGCTACGCCACGAAGGAGGCGGGAGGCGTCTAGGAACTCCTCTTGGGGAGCATGGCGAGCAACCTATTCTAGACGACACTGTGATCCATCCCAGGATCTCGGAGTACCTTACCCAGTACGTCTTGTTCCCGTAACTTTACGAGTCATTTTCGCTTCGTACCGCCGTAATGGCTGGTCAGGGACTATCTATCGATCATTACTCGTATCTGCTGCATATTCTCTGATCCTGAACTCGGACATTTGAACGCATACGTACCTGCCTGAGGGTAGCATGCTTACTTACACAACGTACTGACGTTATCTATCATCAGTGCTGCAGCGAGTTATTTTGGGAGAGAGAATTGGGGAGATGATGGAGAAGTATTGCAAGGTAGGTACGGTATGGCCGGTAGCGGTTGAATGGCTCTTGTTTTCGTTCATCGTTCCACCCGCCCACACCAAACGGCACTAGGCATCTTCCTACATAGTCAATACCCACTAAGAAACGTTGCTAATTTGTTCCTTACCGGCCTATTAGAGTGGAGTGGCATTATGGGGTACACCGTTGACAGTCAGCCAATTGTCGGGCAAGCTCTTGGCCAAGATGGGCTGTGGATCTGCGTGGGCTTCAACGGCCATGGCATGGCTTTGGCGTTTCAATGTGCAGAAGCGCTGGTGCAGCTTATGATGGGAAGGGAGAAGGAAGTTGATGAGTGGCTGCCAAAGAATTATGGACTTGGGCGGGTGCTTTTGAAGCGACGTTAGAAGGATGGCAAGTCATTGAGCATTTGTTCATAGGAAGGGGTTCTCGGAAACGTATTCTGCCCCCACCAACAGTTTCCTCCTACAGAGTGAATCGAGTCATTGCATATTCAGTGTTTTCCCCTCCTGCCTCATCTTCAAGCTGTTCCTGATTCGCAGTGTTTCTCCAAAGTCGAAGCACCCATATCAGTCTCTGGTCTCCAAACCACGGCTCAAATCCAGCGACTCATTTTGCTCGAAGCTGCGAACAGTAACTACTCCTAAATCTATATCATCACGGCTCCAAATTTGTTCCTCTCCAGCTCTCGCTGTCGAAGCACAGATCAACAAAAGTCGACATTGCACCATTTCATGTCTAAAGAGCCCAAGCATGGATTTCTTTCAGACTACAAACTGAAGACTTGTATAGGGACATGATTACATGAAGCAGACTTGTCAAGATCGGGATGCTGATGACCAAAGTCGAATTTGGTGTCTATTCGCAAAAGGCGTGAGCTTGTCTGAAGAACCTGCTTGGAACACCAAGTTTTAGCTTGTTGCGTTTGTTGAGAGGTTGTTGCTACCCACGGCTACTCCGTGTCATCAAACGGCGTGCAATTTTAGACTTCACTTCTTCCAAGAACCCCGAAAATTCTTGAGTGTGGTGAAGTCGGCGCAATTGGCCTATATCGTTCGAAGTGATATTGAGCCGTGGAATTAGCTCTCTTCAAAGGCTCCCATCATAATTGCTGGACCCAAGTATCAGACACATAAGTATCTCAACCAAGTCGTCCAGGAAAAGAGCGTCGTCTGCATCAATAGTGACTGGTGGTTGACTAGATTGACCGTGTTCTCCTGAATCTATGACAGTAATGTAGTGTTTCGAGGTACGAATTTTGGACATGGAGAGGAGTGTGTTACTAAGATATATACTTATTGAAACCGGAGTGAGCACTACAAAAATGTCTACTCAATCAAGGAAGGCAGGAAGGAACGTAAAGATCAGATTGATTAGCCCCTCGAGATCTTGCTGTGCCTCATCTCCTTTATATAATCTTCCGGCGAAAGCTTAGGGGCTTCCATCTCTCCACAAGACAGGTTCTTGCAGAATTCTAGCAGGAGTTTTTACCGGGGGATGTCTGTAGACGAGACTACTGCACACGCCGCATGGTAAGGCTGAATCAGGGGGATCTTGGAACCAAATGCCAGTACCGCAGGGCTTGATTCCGGAACCAACAAAGCTGTATCTGTTGAGGACTACAAAAGGCACCTTCTACAAGTGGGTCTCAATCGTCCAAAACGGCACGGCCATTAACATACCGACAGCTCCGATCCTAGCAGATACAGCACCCAATAATCTGACAATAGCTCTCAGTCTTTCTGCTCCATATTAATCAAGACTACGTTCTAACAGATGTTAGAATGTGTTGGCGGACAAGAGGAGTCTAGAATAGCTTGCTTACCAATTCGTGTACAGCCACAATCGGGCATGGCCAAGCTCCAATCTGAATGAGCAGGGGCACATCATGCTTCAGAATTATTTGCTGATATTGTTTTCACCTCTCTGGTTATCTCTCGGTTCCAACTAATGCATGTCTAACGTTTAGTTTGAAAGCTTCAGGGTCTCCGCGGGCGACGCAGCCCTATCCCCTCAACTGCCGAAAACACACGTTTTGAGGGCACGGCGCTGAAGCTAGGCGCTAAGCCTGCCTGGACGAGAACGAATTTCAGCGTTCTTTGCTTGATTACAGGGTCTCGCTACAGTTGTGTTTGATACGGCAGTTGACGGGATAGTGATACCGGACGGCATCGCGGCTTCGCCTGTGGATGAGCAATATGGAACCATTTCAGAACCGCTAAATGGTCAGTAATACGACTTCTCTGATTGGAAAAACAACCCTTGAAAGAAAAGAGAAGGATCTACCTCCGTAGATCATTTTTGGCAAGTAATTGGTAACTTGGCACATGAATAATCCTAGATTAGTGCCATGTGGAGCATCTCGATTGCGAACTACGAGAAGCGAGGAGGTCCGCAAGAAATGCAAGCTATTTCATGTTAAGATAATTTTTTAAGATCATATTACAGCAAGTCCCCAAAGGTCTGTTCCCATCTGAATGAATACAACTAACTGCAGCAGCTGTATTTGAGCAAGATAATGACAACCTTCTTCTCGCGCAATACTTGGAGTGTGGTACTAACATCATACCAATTGGTTCTGGAGTCAATGCCGTCCCCAGTGTTACTGGCGCTTGTAAGCAGAGAAGCAGATTACCGAGTTCTATTACATCTTCTTCCTTACAGTAAACGTCCTCTTTATCAAATATTTTGTCAACGGTGAAGCCTTCAACGTCGAGGTCGGTGTCAATATCACGGTCGGTGGCGACAATACTGACAACTTCCAGAATCACTCCCACATCAAGCCCAGTAAAGTCTTCGTCATTCAAGTCATCGAAACTCAGATCTTCGGAAATTATCAACTCGCTATCATCACAATGGCCTTCCAGCTCCAGTTCAGCCAAGCCCTCTCCTTCTCCGTCGAAGGACTCAACAGCTAGTTCTTTACAGACATCATCGTCCTCGACAAAACCTCTCACAAGTGCTTCTGCAAAGTCCAGTCTTTCGTACAGGTACTTGAAAAGTTTATCGTCGCCCAAACCAGTATCAAGTTCTTCCAAGTCCACAATTACCCCTAAATCATTCTCAAGTCTGTTGTCGACCAAGTCACGCTCAAACTCCAACTTTCCAAGTGCAACAAGCAGCATCAAGCCTACGTCATCAATTAAAAAGTCTCCAGCTTCTGTCAGCACAACAGCTTCAAGCCAAAAGACATCGTCCACGATAACGGTGCAAGGTGCTAGCAAGACTTGTGGCTACGGACATATTGGATGCTTCAAAGAATCCAAATCCCAAATCTATGACCAAGATTCTAGCCAATGATACCATGTCCATCGAGATATGCTTGTCAGTGGCGAAATTACATACCCCGCCATACCCTTATACCGGGCTAGAGTTTTGCACGGGAATGCTGGACAGCGTTGACATCTCCCGCTGCCGCTACGCCAATTAGCGGTGCAGGTGCATGTACAAAAACTTGTATTGGAAATCCGACTCAAACTTTTGGAGGAGCTGGCATGTTCAATTTGTATTACTCGGCTACATAAGTTGTGGAGAAAATTTGGGCGTCCCTTGGGAAAGGTCAAAGTGATGTCTTCACAGCCGCTCAAGTACTTGTTTACCACCCAAGAATAAGCGACGACCTAAATTTAGCCGAGACGAAAACACAAGAATTTTAGGTAGCGGTGACCGGGTTTAAATCAGACATCGCACCCCAAGATTTGAGAATGAATGAGTCGAACCAATTGTGACTAACTCTACTCAATAACTTTCCGCAACCTAGAGTTTCTTGAAATGACGTTACTCGATTCCCCCAGGATTCCCAGCGCCTCCACATAGCCGCCATTAGACAGCGGTCTTCTCTGCCACTTCATCCTTCTCGACTGTTGCCTCCACGTGCTCAGTCATCAGTTCTTTGACCCCCTTCAAGAACCAGATTGCCACTAGTGCTAGAACCACAAACGGAATAATGCTCGCCCACGCCAGCCTATAAGCAGCAGCATATGCGTGCTCACTCGCACTTGTAGCTGCAGCAAGGATATCTGGACTAACGCCTGGGATGTCTGCGAAGCCCACCCCGCTGGCAAAAGATTCGAGCAGAGCAGGTACTGACGATTCAGGGAGACCCGCCTTAGTCGCAGCGTTCGAGACTGAAGGTGCATAGTGGGAGGCAAGCTTGCCATTGATGATGGCATTGAGCACCGCGGAGCCGAAGGCTCCTCCCAATGCTCGAGCGGAAAATGCAAGGCCTGTTGCAGTTGAAAGGTATGCATGCGGTGCTGTAAATTGGACGAGCGCGACGAGGAGTGTGAGTGGCCCACTTTGGCCAATTCCAGCTGGTATTCATGAGTACGGTAATCCCGTAAATGGTGGGACTATTTACTCACAGATGACATTAAATCCTAACTGAGCGTGGTTCATGCTGGGGTTGATATTGGCGTAGCATATTGTGCTTGGTGAATATTAGACAGATTTCTCAGTCGGATTATGCTCGTAAAGACTTACACAACAAGGAAGAGCGCAAAGGTAATCAGAAGTGGACTCTTGAGATCCTTCTTCCACGTCGAATATAGCCTTTGGATGTATTAGCCGTGGCCCAAATAATATATGTAGATGGCACTACGTACGTGATAGGAATAGACGCGAACAAAGTCACCAGTGTGTAGGACAGCTGACGGATGGAAATTTTCCAGGCGGAGGTCTCAAATCCAAGATGCAGGACAATCAATGGCGTCACACTGTTCACGGCGCTATAGAAGATCCATCTACAAATAGTTAGGGTCTGTTTTTTAAACTGCGTTGATATTTAGGAAAATACAAACGTACCCTTCTACTGCAAAGGCGAAGACGGAAAGAGCAAAGTTCGGAGAACCCTTGAAAAAAACATGCGCGACCTTTAAGAGCGTTAGCGGCTGTAGAGATTAGATCTAGGTTCAGGATCTTGGTTCCCAAAGCAGCAGTATTAATATGCGTCTTTTGGCCGAGAACCGAGGTCTTAGGGATTCAATGGGGGAGGGAATGTACATACAAGGCCGTCATCTCTTCCTTTCCACTCTGCCAAAGTCATCAGAAAAGTCCACAGAATTCATGGAAATTGCTTACCATATACACAAAACGCTATTAGCATTACGATCCCAACAGTAAGTGGGGCTACGACATGGGCATCTTTCCTAGTAAGGAGTTAGCAATTGCCTATAGGGATGTTTTGTGACGAGTCTTGATGAGATCCCGACATCCGACAAGAAAAGCAAAAGAGAAGAACGGGTCGCCCACTACGTACCACGGGTAGACTCCACCTGCCCAGTCCAAAGCGAGAAGCATCAATGTTGCGCTAACAATAAAGAGAGAGGAGCCAATAGGGTCGCACTCCCAAGCAATTCTCTTCCAGGTCATCTTGGGGAAGTCAGATGACCTTTTGGGATGATAGAAGAGAAATAAGCCCACAACGGTGGCTGCGAAGAAACCAGCCTGCATCCAAAAGATATTTCTCCATCCACCTGCATCGGCGTTGGTGGCAGCACCTGCTCCCAAGCCTCCAACTAGGCCTCTGAAGGTAACGAGGGAATTAGCAGTTGCCACATCTCGAACGTTTGTGGAGGAGCGGAGATAATACGTACCCAATGGCGCCGCCGAGGAAGGCAAATCCGTTTGCAAGAGCTCGATATTTCATGGGCAACACCTCAGATGGGATTGCTTGGACGATTGAAATGGTCGACAACGTACAGCCCACCAAGATGCCACCCCCAATGAGCATAGTCATCGAGGTTGCTTTGGCTGATATGACTGCTCCGATAAAAGAGATTGCGGGCGGAGCCATGGCCAGGTATTTTCGGTCGAGAACATCCGAGAGGCGACCGACGATAGGCGAGAGCACACTTTGCATCAACAAAGGCCCCTATTTTGCGGTAGCTGTTAGCAATTTGAAGTTTTCTGTGTAGGGAATCTAACACATACCTGTATGATCCATCCAGCAATTGCTCCATCGCCGAGATCTCTCACAATGAAACCGATGACAGATCCAGCAGCAACTACCACAAAGACCTGCGCCATGATGCTGCATCTGATTAGACCATAGTAAGTTGATGGACGTATCGAGAACATACGCAAAACATGTTACACTGAATGTGTTAGCTGCGTATACCACTTATCCAGATATCCTACTTACAAAACTACCATCCATGACCGCCATGTAAGGTTGATGTGACGGTCATCTCTGTAAGAGTCGACCTTGATGACCGGTCCACCTGTCGATTGCTCGACCTGGGACACAGCAATGTCATCATCTGCCTTCGAGATATTATTTACCGTTGTGGTATGTGATTCAGCCATGACTGAGGATTTAATAAAAGTGTCAGATCGTATCTCCTCCTAAACGTGTGTTGATTGAAGGTACATCGGGCCGCCTTTAAGACAACTTCAGATGAGTATTCGTGCATGAGTTTGTAGGGAGTTTCTCCGGAATCTGAGGTGACCCCTCTCGGCACGCCAGGCCGCTGGTAACTAGAATGCAGATGCGGCGTGCGCCAAAAGGAAGCAGAATGGGCTTGGCAAGTGCGCCCTGAAACTATGTCTCCTAACCGCCGTGTCACCAGATGGGGACCCCGCGCGACGCTACGCCCAGGCTTCTCGGCAGATATCTTATTTGTCGAAACTGAATCGGGACTCTATCTTTTGCTAGTGGTTAGTGAGCATGTCAAGATGGGTGCGGGAGCACCAGGATAGTGGTTCTAACTTCGGGAAACCCCCAGGCTTGGAAATCAGAATCTCTGGAAGAGGGGCCCAAGCAACATGAACCCCCTCCAGAGAAGTGTGTGGCTGAAAAAACTGGGCCACATTCATGAATCAAGAAACAGAGCAGACATGGCGAGTCAATATGCCTTGGAAGCTACTTCTGGATCTGGATTCGAGACAACGAAAATAGTGGGTGCTTTGGTCTAACACCTACTAATGTATGAAAGCCACAGCGAGACTCTTAAAGAGCTCCTCTTCGGCAGTTGAACTCCATCCATTTATGACTCCAGTCAAGAAGTTGTTCCGAGCACTGCGCGTCGGATCTATTCCCCAGAATTTCTTAGAGGAATTATGGTGTTATCACAAACGCGAGTGTAGGCAGCGTCAGCACCATTACCATATATCTGATCTCTTCTCTACAGAGTAATCCCACCGAAAATACTGCCCAGCACGCCAAAGACACACAGAACCCCATCTTTGACAGCCAATCATTGACAAATATGTTAATGGAAAAAAAGCAAGTGTCTGGCAACGAGGTCTTTTCCCTGGCGGCCCTTCGCAAGCTCCGGGGCCAGGGGACCTCGCTTCGCCACGGTCTAGCCAATTAAGTCGAATCATCGCTCGCAGGCTCGCGCTAATCCGACGTGTCCAATCAGGATCTTTCACGTGACAGTATTTTTTAAAATCGGATCCACAAAACGCACAATGTAAGATAGATGAACACTCGAGGAGTCAGCCAGTAACGCTTCTCCACGGACTGGACGGCTTAGTCTCTTCGCTCAAGTCCTCATCAGACTCGATTATCGAAATGTACCGAGTTTTGAGTACCACAGTCATAATCGTAAAACCGTCAGCGAATATTTGTCCAATCCAGTGGGTCTGATAATGAGTAGATACTCGCAAGCCGAAGAAATCGGCAACGTCACGGAGCAACACCAGAAACATCAAGACAAGTCGAGACCTAGGCTCGTGGCTTTTCTTCGCAAAGTATATGCACATGAAGTCGTTAATTAGTCCCAATATTTTCTCTCCAAGTGATGTCGTCATAAATTGGAAGATCCTAATAAGCCCTGCTCCCAACAATAAGACGTTGTTTGGCCACTTGCTCTCGAGGTCCTCACACATAGCTAGTATTTTACCACAGGATAGAACATCAGACTCCCTCCAACGATGTGCCCATTGATCAAATTTTCACCTGAAATTCTACTGTAGAAACAAGTTCCAAACAGGACTTCTCGTAGTTCTCCGATGAACAGACTGTAGGTTTGCACTCTTACACTGTACTATGACTTCGTGTGGTACCAGACCAAACCCAGAAAGAATGCGACTAATGTTTTGCGGAGTTGTTATTCTTAGAGAACGCACCTCAGACACTATATGCAAACTTGATTATGTCTAAGTTGAAAACTGGTCTTATGCCCAGACGGCGACAAATGTATTGACAAGGAATAATAGGGCCAACCCGGCTCTGCATGAGGGTTGTCAAAGGCCTGATCTGAAGGACGGCCTTGATCCAGTGCTTTGTATAAACATATGCGAGGATCAGCCAGGATGTGTTCAGTGCAAGCTATTGATATTGATGGAAAATCTGCTCCAATACCAACGAAGTCGGAAATAACATAGGTTCGAAAGACTCGACAACTGAAGCTGAGAGCCCCACGGTAAGTAGGAAAGCATAGCTCTTCCATCTCGACCACCGAGATTTCGTCACTAAACGTTTCAGAGAATGCCAGGTACGACAGACAGCCATTGTATTGTTTCGAAAGACCGAAGGACGAAGATCGGGGATAAACATGCGACTACCCCTTCGTATTATGTTCCGATTATTCTCTTGAGGAACCGTCTCGTATTCTCGTGGAATATTGGACTGGTCATTCATGAATCACACAAGCTTCTTGTGTCAAGGTGCCGAATTTTGATCAATCCTTATATTGCCGGAGTGACGTCGTCAGTGCTTTCCTGTCCCAGGACAGAGCTGGTGAAACTGGTCTTCAAGCATATCCAATGCAATATGGGTTTATGTGACCGTTCAAAATGGTGGCACAACGTGTGAATACTCCACTTTGAGAAGAAATGCATGGATGGCTTATCCTGGAGCGGGAGACAAGCTTTTCGTCCCTGTCAAGTCTGTGGTCAGATCCTAATAAGTTTAATGGGATCACTGATAGAGTTGGACGCGATGATCTCATTGCTGAGCGATGAGTGGTCGTGATAATCAGGGGCCCAAAGTTCATGCGACTCCAACAGGTCTCTCCCGCACTTGCTTTGTATTTTTGTGATGATTATTCGTTTTTTCAACTTGACTTTGATAGTTGTATCTTGCGTGTGAAGAGAGGTTGCTGACTCATTATTGAGGAATGTTGGATCCAATTCATGCTCTTACATAAAAGGTGTAAGTATTCAGCAAAGCCGAGAACATTCAACAAGTGACTGTAAACCGACGATCTCTTCTGAACCCACGATACCTATATTTGAATATCAATGTGACCAACAGCAAACCCGCCCTTTCGGTATGCGGGGGCCGTGTTAAGACCACCCCGCTTCACTTCCTCCCCGTTTGGATGTGGGCTGGCCCTGAATAGGCTGAACCTCCCCGAGCATGTCTTTGGTGATCGGATGCATCAAACAAACATGGGTCAATTGAATGCTGTCAGCTACCTATGCTAGAAATACATCTTTTCCCGCGACATATCACCCAACAACTTCAGTTCCATAACATTCCAAGCACTACCGATCATAATGACAACATACGAACGGCCACCGCCGACCGGAATCCGGGTTATCATTGTCGGAGCAGGATTTGCAGGCCTCACAGCAGCAATCGAATGTCATAGGAAAGGCCATTCAGTTCTCCTGCTGGAATCGTTTCCAGAACTAAAAATTCTCGGAGACATCATCTCGTTCGCACCTAATTCTGGGCGCATTTTCCAACGTTGGCCTGGTGTTGATGCTCAGCTAGACCCTATCATCCACAAAAGTGATGGCTTGCTCATGAAAACATGGCAAGGGGATACGCTTCTTAAGCAAACTTGGTCAGATGAGCAACGAAGTTATGGGAAAGCGTACAATGGTAGGACAGCCTCATGAGACTAGTTTTGAAGATGTTATTGACCAAGTCTAGGACATCGTGGAGAGATACATGAAATCGTGTATCGTCACGCTTTAGATATCGGTATAGATATCCGCTTGGGCCACAAAGTGGAAGACTATTTCGAGACCGATAGCGAGGCCAGTGTTTTTGCCAATGGACAGAAGTTCATAGGTGATGTCGTTATGGCTGCTGATGGTGTCCGTTCTAAAGGTAGAACTATTGTTCTGGGCTATGAAGACAAACCGAAGTCTTCTGGCTATGCAATCTATCGTACCTGGTTCGATTCTGCAAAATTAGCGGAAGATCCTGATACCGCTTGGCTTGTGAATAATGGAGACAAACATTGTGCTTGGCTTGGAACGGACATCCATTTCATTGCCGCGTCAATTAAGGGCGGGAAGGATTTCAGCTGGGTATGCACGCATAAAGTACGTGTAAATCAATAGGTACTCGTACAAAACTGACAGAAATAGGATGAAGCAGATGTGAAGGAAAGCTGGCAGGCTCATGCTCCTTTAGCAAATGCTCGGAATGTGTTGGAGGGATGGGATCCTATTGTCCAGAAAATCTTGGATGCAACACCAGATCCGTTGATTGACTGGAAATTGGTGTACCGAGATCCATTGCCAACCTGGGTTTCTCCAAGACGCCGTATAGCTCTAATCGGGGATGCAGCTCATCCTTTCCTCCCAACGTCCATTCAAGGTGCATCCCAAGCTATGGAGGATGGTGCGACCATGGCAGTCTGCTTATTCAAAGGTGGCAAAGCCAATGTCCAGCAAGCTGTTGCAGCTTTTGAAGGCTTAAGATACGAAAGAGTGAGAGCCGCTCAAAAAACCGGAGAAAAGACGAGAGATACTTGGCATAAGGCCAACTGGGAAGAAGCAAAGAAGAATCCTGAAAGTATGAAGTTGAAACGTGAGGAGTGGTTACTGAATTTTGACGCGGAGGAGTATGCAGACAAGAACTATACTGCAACGGTGGCGTTGCTGAACGATACCGTCGCTGTCAGGGAACTCAACATTCCATTTCCCAGAGAAGTATTGGCTTCAGCATAGAGCACGACGAGTGCTATTTTCAGAATTTCTGGACTAAGAGTACCTTGACGTAAATAGCAGAATCTGAGAATAGTCAATCAACACAACCTCCGCCCGAGGAATTCTCTCATTCAATACTTACAACATCCAAAAGCATGTAGTCTTGAATATCCAGGTATGTACCTTATTGAACTACTCGATATACTGGCAGTGACTGTCAAGCCTATCTGGCAAGTGGTGCGTATGAGCCTCCACATCTCAGGAAGGTCGGGACTTAGCTCTGTCTACTGAGTAAGGTGTCTAGTCACGAACCACCAGGGGGTGCAGGAATTCGTGGGATTAAGCGAAAACAGCAAAATAAGGGGTAAAATGCAATTAATTCAAGCTTTTATTACTATAACTTACTCTTAATAGGTTTCCCCTTATATTTAACTAGGTCTTTGTATCACTATGGTATCTCTAAGATACGCGCACGAATCTCTTCTATTATAATCTCATCCTATTCCTCTTATAAAGCTCGCTTTAACTTCTTTATATTGTTTTACACCTTATATTAAATTCTGACCTTAATTATATTCTAATAAGCTTTAGTTAGATTTAAATCAGGTAATTAAGTAGGGTGAATAATATAAGAGATATTATAGTCTCTTTTATACTGCTTTATAAGGTTATTTCTTTTCTCACGCGTTCTATAAGAGCTATTATTATCTTCTTATAAAACTTAAGGCGCTAAAGGGTCCCTTTACCTTATAAAATTAAAAGCAGCTACGTAAACTAGTAATAAACGCTTTATATAGTATTTCTATATTATAAAATTACTTTTTAGTTTGACTTTTACTAACTAAAGCTTCGTAGTATCTTACTCTAGTATACGAGCCTCTTATTCTTTTAAAGACTCGTGTTTTCGCTTTTTAGGCTTTTAAGGGCAAGAAGGCTAAATAACTCGTTCTTTTTCGTCGTAGTAGAACTTAAGTTTCTTAAGTTTCTTATATTTCGTATACTAGTTAACTTAAATTATAATATAGAGTTTATTCCCTTGTTTTTTCAGTCTTTCTTATATGTTTTTAAAGTTCTTACGTGTTCCCTCCTCTTAAAAAATATATCTTACTCTTATAAAAGACGAATCGACATATGCTTTATTTATAAAGTGGATATATTACTAATATAACTTAATTATCTTATTTTAATTCTCCTTTCTATATTTTATACGTTTTACCTTATTTACTATAGATATCTTTTTCTTTATATATACTTATTTAAAGCGCCGGGTGTTCTTTATATGTTTCTTAAGTTATATTATAAGAGCTCGTAGTTTAATAGGTATTTTAAAGTAATTAAGTTAAACTTTATAAAGTTAATTTCAGATAAGATTTAAAGGCGAGAGTAATTAGTTTATATACTCTTTTATAAAGTTAGACTTCCTTTTAAGCTTTATTAACTTTTTCCTCTTATATTAAACTATAGGAGAGCTAAGTTTTTTACGTTTATAAAGCTAACGATATATATTAATCCGCAGACTTATACTATGGAAGTATAGGGGGTAATCAGGGGAGATAAGTAATCCTAGTTAAGGGAAGAACTACCTTTAGATACGAACTAAGGGTTATTTAGGAGGTAGTATATATTCTAACCTTTAGATATTCTTTATAATATATACTTTTAAATACCTTTAAACTAAACCTTAGATTTTAATATATATTAATATATACTTATTATTTATTTACTAGTATAATACTAATACTAATTAGTAGTTACTTTATACTATAGAATAAATAAGTTAAATATAATAGAGTTAACTCTTAGAATATAATACTAATTTAATATTAGTAAGCTCTTATTAAAACTAAGTAGAGTAAGTATTATAAAGTAACTAGAGAACTCTTATTAAAATTAAGTAGAGTAAGTTCTATACTACTAAAGAATAATAGCTACTCTCTAATAATTATTAAGATATTTCTAGAGCTATTTAGTTAAATATTTCTAAGATATAGAAAATATATCTAGAATACTTATAAATCGCCTTTAATATAATAGCGACTCTAATAGACTAAGTTATAGAATAACTTAAAGTAGAAGTTAAAAGTAGTAGGACTTTAATATAAGATAAAATACTAGTACTTAGAGTACTTTTAATAGGTCTTATAAAAACTAATATTAATAATTGTAACAGTCCGGTATTTACTCGCTATAAATACAGAAGGCTACAGTTAATCTCTGATAATTAAGAGGTAAGTATATCACGTAGATAAGAAGATAGTTACTAAGTATTAGAATACTATTTAAAGTTAAGTATGAAGCTCCTATCTAATAGTAGACGTGCTAATCTTATATAGAACTTTCGTTTACCTTAGATCCCCTAGGATACTAGATCCTTAGATCCTTAGATCCGCTTTCCTATAAGGGGATCTAGAGATCTAAGGATCTATTACATAACCTATTATCCACTATAATCTAAGTAACTATTACTACTAAAGCGTGAGTATACAGTAGTACTACTCGCTATCCTATATTATTCCCTAGCTAGTACTACCCTATTAATAGTACCGCTCTCTTATTAGTACTAATACCCCTATAGTACTACTAATAGTTTTATTATCATATGAGTACTAACTAAACCGTAGCGCTAAGGGTCTGTAACACTATCCCTCTCTTAGCCTAGTGTAGTCCCCACGCTTAAGTATAACCTTAAGAAATATCAATAGTTACTAATAACTATCTTCCTTATCTATCATATCTAGTATTATAAAAAAATCGAGTATTACTCAGATAAAGAAAAAACAGAGTATCTAGCTTATGCTCTATATTAAGTGTACTATATAACTCGTAAAGCCTTATTCCTTCTACTGCAGCTTTTCCTGTACCTACTTCTTAGATTTATCTATTTTAAAACAATACTCCGAGTATATTCGCTTAAAGTATTACGATTATAATACCTCGGGGTATATTAAGAGGTTCACTCCTAAATAACTTATATATCAGTTTAAGATAAGAAAAACTATAACCCTTATTTATCCTCTAACGCCTCCCCCTAAGCCTATCGAGGATAATCCTACTTCTTAGTTCCCTACCTTTAAACCTAATACCTACTTAGTGTCTTTCTTTAAGGGCCCGGTCCCTAACCTTAGGTCCCCTTCCTTCTAAGTAAACCTAGATTTCTTTAATAGAATTCCTATAGAAGCCTAGGGTAGTAGAGGTTAGATTTAGGTTCCTAAGTGTTTTCTGATTATAAGTACCCTTTCTATTTAATCAAATATTTTAGTTTACTATAGAAATACTAATAGTTAAGAATAGCTTCTACTTCGTATTCGGCGTTCGGATTAATCGGTTATATTTCGGTAATAGGAGTAGGCGGTGCTCCTAGTAGTGCTAGTTCAAGGAGAGATATATGAAATACCGAGTAGATATTTATTATTTTTAGCAGAGCTAGTTAATAATTAACTAGTCCCTTAACTTTAGTAATCCTAAATAGTCCTAGCTTTTTATAATCTAATTTATAACTTAGTCGTTTAGTTACGATATTCTTTCTAAGTAAGTAGACTTTATCCCCCTCCTTAAGCGTTAGTCCTATACTACGCTTTCTATTATAATAGATCGCAGATCTCTACGTGATAAAGAGAATATTAGCTGATAATTCTTTATAGAGCTATTTAAGCTCACCTACCTATAGTATAGCTTCTTACGCGGTACCCTAACCAGCTATTAGTAAGTTATATACCATAGGATTATACCCATAATTCGCGTAGAATAGTGATACTCTAATAGTCTCTTAATCCGCGCTATTATATATAAACTAGGCAAGTAGGAGTAATTACACCTAGTTATCCTACTTATAGTTCATATAATACTAAAGATAAGTCTCTATTATCTAATTAATTTGTTTTATCTATACATTAGTCTAAGGATAGAATACAATTAATATTTTCTACTTTATTCCTAAGAGCGCGATAAGAGTTTTTCAGAACTTCAAAGTAAAGAGCTTATCTTTATCTAAGATAATCTTATCTAGTATTCTATAGCTTACGAAGATTATTCTAAGGAATACCTGCGCTATTATAAGCGCGTCCTATATTCTAAGTACTAGTATTATATACACGTACTTTATAAACCTATCCGTTATTACACAGATCAAGTCGTATATAATTCCTATAACTAGGTCTTTTAAGAGTAGTAGCTCGACTACGAAATCCAAAGCGATTAATTTCTATAGGCGAGGTAGTATTATTAGTGACTTTATAAACCTATATAAAGTATAGTATAATGCCTTATTCCGGATATATATATCATATAATACTACTACGTCTTTAACTACTTTCCTTATTCCTAGGAAGTAGTATTCCCTAGATAGCCTAAACAGCGTCTTAGCTACCCCTTAGTATCTATAGGCAGGTAACCTATACTAGTACGTAACGAATTTAATCCTATCCCTAGTAGGTATATAGATTCGTCCTTAGTATAAGAGTATGCTACTTATAGTAAAGGAGAACTCTTCGCCTAGCTACTTCTTCTGTTTAGCTATAACCGGGTTATTAGTATAGCCCTTCCAGATTTTCTTAGCGACCTAGCCTGTTAAGGCTAGCTATTAGTAATTAACTATTAGCGAATCGCTATCTTTCCGTAGTATAATATAGGATTCGTGAGTTTTATTTGCGAGATATTCCGGTTTCTTACTTAGAGCGTTAGCCCTAGCGTTTTCTGTTCCCTTAATATAAGAAATTTAAAGTTTTATAGTAGAGAGTGTTTTATACTAATAAACCTGCTATTAGTTTAGTTCCTTAGTAGTTATAAAGTAAATAAGATTCTTATAGTCTATTAGGATCTATACTTCGTAAGCAGCGCCCTCGAGGTAGACTTTCTATTCGCGTATTATATCTATAATTACTAGTAACTCTTTATCGTATATATTATAGTTAAGTTCTACTAGTAATAGTTTCTGCGAATAGTAAGCGACTAGTTACTATCTTCCGTCCTCGCCCAGCTAGCTAAGTATAGCTCTAATAGCGTAATCCGAAGAATCTATCTCT